TTATACATGTATGTGTTATGTGATATATGTGTATGTGATATGTGAGGTATATGTGTGTAATATGATGCACATTGCATATATACATATGTGCATGTGTACACATGTATGCTAAGAGAAGGAGATTTGATATCTTTCATATTTCTACATGCTTACTAGTTGGATGAACTTGGGAAAGTCACTTAACCTGTCTGCCTCAGTTTCTTCAACTGTGAAATGGGGATAATAGCAGCATCTGCCTCCCAGAGTTGTTACAGCAATCACGTGAGATATTTGTAAAATGCTTAGCACAGTGCCTGACACATAGTAAGTGCTTAATAAATGCTTATTTCCTTCTAGAAAGATTGTCCCCATCTCCTCCCCTTTCTGAATCCATTAGTTGAGTTTGGGGTTGGTCCCTAGATGCACCAGTCTCTAGAACACACTGGGTCTGAGGGAAGCTGAAGCTCAGATCACCTATTGTACAGTCAGGCACCTGTGAAAGGTGCTTTGAGGATGCCATCCATTCCAGGCTGGGCCAAACCTCTGAAAAACAGTGAAGCTTGTGAAGCTTGCCCTCATGCTTTGTTTTTTCTAAGCTCTTCTCTCCTTTTGGGCTTCTGTCTTACTCAGATGCCTATCCTATATTGCATTCTCCCAGGACAGCTGGCTATTAAACAACTGTGGCTAAGGTATTAGCTGACAGTTAAATGTCACCCCACCAAGGACATTTGCACTCTAATACCTCACAGTTCCATACTGCTTTAATTTTAATAGAGCATATTCTTCATAACAACTCCATGAAATATATTGCAAGTCTTATTATTTTCCCTTCATAGATAGGGCCCTCAGCCTCAAAGAAGTCAAGAGATTTGCCCAAGGTCACAGTAGGTGCTAGTAGGTGCCACAGCATAGATTAAATAAAATCCAGGTCTCCCAACTCCCAAGTCAAGTGCTCCATCAACTATGCCTCTGAGCCTTCTATCAAAGGGAGGCAATAGAGGAGACAGAACTGGACTTGGGAGTCAGAGAGACCTGGATTTTAATCCATGCTCTGATATCTTCTAGTTTGTGATCTTGAGTTGGTTGCTTGATTGACCTGACCTTCAGCTTCTTGTAAAATGGGAACAAAGGTACTTATTTCACAGGGATGTCATGAGACCCAAATCAAACAATGTAAAACAATGTGAAGATGTATAAAAAGTTCAGTTTAAAATAACAAAGGAAGGCCTCTTCTAATGGTAGAGTTTCTGGTACCAAGACAAGTGGTAAGACCAAATAGCACTCATTATCTGGGACTCCCCTCAAGTGATACAGGGAGCTGCTTATTTGGCCAAAGGCAAGTTCTATTTCTAAAAACTGCTATAGAAAGAGGAAGTCAGTCTATTGAGGAAATGGGGGAAAAGGGCTGATCTACAAGAGACTTGAAATTTCTGGGGTAGCCTCAGTCTTTGGAAAGAAGGGGAAAAGACTTGGAGTTTTGTACTAAGTGGTTGCTGGAACAGTAGTAGTACCAGATCAAGAATGAAATTGGTTTGTGCCTTTCTTCGATCCAATATAACCCACATGGGACACCTACAGATCTGGTCTGAGCAAGAAATCTCATTTGTGACAACAGGCTTAAGCCAGCCCTGAGTATGCTTTGAAAAAAAGAAAAGGAAAGGAAGGAAAAGGAAAGAAAAGAAAAAATAAAAGGTAGGGAGGAGGAAGCCCTCCCAGTAACCTTGAACAACAAAGATGAACACAGGCCAAATGATGGTGCAGTTAGATGTATTCAAAGTTAGTTAAGCAACATTATCTAAATAGTGTACAAGAAGTAGGAGGGAGGCATTTCCAGTGAGTTACTGGAGAGCTCTGTCCTTGGTCCTGTTCTGTTCAATAGATGTTCACAGATGATCTGGATATAGTGATAGCATCATAAAATTTAATCGCTTTTCACCTATCCAATTTCAAATTTTTAAATATGCCTCAATCTGAGATTGTATGTAACACAACCAGGAGGCTTCCTCCCATACACAAAGGATACAAGTTTGTAACCTAAGGAAGTTAGTGCTGACTAGATGAGATTTTGAGTTTAAACCTTTCCCTTTACAGATGAAGTTGATGAAGGGAAGTAGAAACATGCTTATCAAATTACTGGATGATACTAACTGTGAGGGATCCAATCTGTGGTAAAATTAGAATCCAACAATATCATGACAGGTAAAAGTTTCATCCAAATCTAATAAAATCTAATAAAAATAGCCTTAAATGTAGAGAGTCCTAACCTTAAGTTAAAAATGCAATTATGTAAGTACAGGATGTGTACAGCTAGAAGTTCACATGAAAAAGATAGATGAGTGGGATGTAAGTTCAGTTAGTCAACAATGTGACATAGCAGCCCCCCAAAAAAGCTGCAATTTAGGGGGCATTTATTGAAGTATAACCACCAGCCTGAGGGAGCAGATAGTCTCGCTGTACTCTGCCATGGTCAGACCATACCTGGAGAACTGAGTGATCTCATATTAGGCAGAACTTTGGATTAGATGACCTTTAAGTTCTCTTTGAATTCTTAAGATTTTTATTCTATAAGGACAAAGGGGAAATTATGTATAGCTACTGGCAAGGAATCATCCAGTAGACTGTCTGTCCCCTAGGAAATCTAATGCAATCCAAGTAAATTAGCACCTCCTTCCCTACTTCAGGCAACCCAGACGTCTTAATTCTCTTTCTTGGCAGTTAAGGGAGCGTCACATGTATGTTGATATGACAGTGACTTGTTTCCTTGGGCTCCTGGGATAGTAAAATAGTGGCCCAGGATGGAGAATTCCAAGAGGGCTGGATGAGCTGAAATCCACACAACCCTTGAGATTGCTGTTATTAGTGAAATGGGTTTATTACTTCAAGGGAGGAGAGGGAGAAGGGGAAGGACAGTGGAAAGGAGATTAGACATGGCCTTGGCAGCCATGAAAGGGAGGAATGTATGTTTCAGACACGAGGAATGGTGTGTACTAATCACAGGAAGAGAAAGAGAACACAAAGAAAGAGAAAAGATTGTGAAAGAGAATGTAAGGAATAAGGATAGCAGCAGCATGCTGTAGAACTCATGGGATCACACTTGCAGAGTTAGGGAGAGATTAATAACAGGAGAGAATGTCATAACCTGTCCACTCAGTAAGCTCCCTCCCAGTAGTACACAGCATGGGCAGGCTGGGGGGCTGTCCTTTGCCCATCAGGCACTTCATGTACGGTAACCCTGCCCTCTAGTGGCAGCCTATACCTCCCCAGAAGTTGAGCAGTGAAGAAAAAACTCAACTTGCATCGGATGGGAGTAGCATCTTGACAGTATCCCAAATTACAGATTGCAGCATACTGTAAAATCTGAAATAGAAAGGATAACGGGGCAGACACTCACTGCAGATAATACAGAGAAAATGAGAAGGAAAGAAAATGAGTGGACAAAAGAGGTGGACAGGCTTCTCAATGCTCCCAATATTTCAGAAAGACTAAAGTTTCCTAAAAAAGAAGCTAAATGCCCTTTCACATTCCTTTAAGCCCATCTGCACATTTTTTTTTCAGTTGTTCCCTCACTTCTCCATCAACTTATATCAATTCTATATTATACTTCTAGGGCTACTTTGGCATCCTATTTCATGTCTGGTACTAAACACAAATTTTAAGCTCTGATATGGTTCAGATACATTAGAAGCTATACAACTACTGAAAAATTTCATCATCAAGGGAAAAATTTCATCATCAAGGAAAAAATATCAATCAGCAAGTGTTTTTTTCCTTTTGATACCTTTTGTTATAAAGGATGGCTCTCTGTGAGAGGGATGGGAAGATATATGTTGCGAAATGAAGGTAATCTAAAAACAATGTATCAAAACTTTAAAAAATGGGTTCATCAAATTATAGATCATTGTCATTTCAAATGTGGAATCACATTCTCTCTTCCTGCAATTCCCAGTTAGAGACTCCAACCAACTTTACAAAAGCAAAGAGAAGTGCCAACAAGGTACAAACTAAATGCAAATTCAATTTATTTACATAATTACATATAAACATCTATTCTTAATCCCCCTGCCCTGATCCTCCATTCAAATGTTTTCTGTAAATATAAAAATCACAGTGATGAAAAATGAATATTACACAATGGCCAAAATAAGTCAATGGTTTTACAATGCCATATTGCACATGGGAAAGAAAATGATTAACCTAAAGAACTTGTCTTCCTCCAAGTAATTAAACATCCACTGGAAGGAAAATGAATCATTATAACTATAAATAGAAAATTAAAAGATATAAGAAGCAGCATTTATTATTCCAAAATAGAGACAGTGCTTTCATTTAAAAGTTGCAAGAAGTCAGCAGACCTCGTAAAACCAAGGAAATTATAATTCTTAATATACTGCAAGTCACACAATGACCAATACTCAAATCCCAGAAGTTCCTAATATGATGAGAATTTTTTGAAGCAAAGGAACATTGGTATGTTGCTGCAGAATATGAACCCAACTTAGGGTGATCTGCAGGCAACTAGATGGTCCTGGGGGTGGGTCTGAGGTCTTATTTCTTATTTACCTTTCATAAATATATCTAGGGGGCAGGTAGGTGGTGCAGGGGATAGAGCACCAGCCCTGGAGTCAGGAGAACCTGATTTTAAACCTGGCCTCAGACACTTACTAGCTATGTGATCCTGGGCAAGTCCCTTAACCCCAATTGTCTCCAAATGTGTGTGTAGATGTGTACATACATACATATATACACACACACACAGAGTCTGAAACTTTCTACGTGTTAGCTAATTATTTGACATGGGAGTAGAAACATACATTAACCTCAGAACAGAATGCTGTCCCAAAACCAGGATAAAATTTAATAGACATATGTAAAATGCTACATTAAGGTTTCCTTAAAAACCTGAACAAAGTACAGGAAAATTTATCATTTTAGCAAATAATGTTTGTTGTTGTTGTTTTTAGGCAACTGGGGTTAAGTGACTTGCCTAGGGTCACAGAGTAAGTGTTAAATGTTTGGTCTGAGGCCTGATTTGAACTCAGGTTCTCCTGACTTCAGGGCCAGTGCTCTATCCACTGCGCCACCTAGCTGCCCCTAGCAAATAATGTTTTGAATAAAACTAACAATCTGGGTTTAAATTGAGCACAACTTTGCTATGAGCTAAAAGATGTTATTACTAAAAAAAAAACTCATATAATTTTAGGCTACAGTAATAGTAATGTTCAGATCACTGAAGAAAGACTTCTCTAGTCAAATATGTTCATGAGGGTCGATGGAAGAACTGGATGAATAAAAATTAAAAGAATTGATTTTGTTTGATATGGAAAATACTAAAGGAGACAAGACAGCTGCCTTACAATTATCTGAAGAGTGTTCATCTATAAGTAGATGTTTTTTTTCTGAGTTCTCTGAAGTCAACATACAGGCAAATTTAAGCTAAACCTTACAAAGAATTTTCTAACATAAGTTTCCAAACAACAAAATGACTGTATAATGAGGTAGTGAGTTCCCTGTTTATGGAAATATGAACGACTACCTGTGTAGGGTGCTATAGAAGAGATTTCTGCATCAGGTGAGAGATTGAATTAGGTGATGTCCAACATCCCTTCCAACTCTAAAAGGCTATGACTCTGTGACATTCTACTTTAGCAAACAGGGTCTTGCAGATAATTCCAGCATTAAAAATTCAATAGCCTATTCATCACCTCCAAAAAAAGTAAGGAAGTTGAAGGGAGAAAAGGTATTGTAGCTTGGATTTGATCAGTGTCATTTATTAACTCTGATAAAACACTCATTGAGAAAGAGGTTGAAACTTCGTTCAGATTAGTTTGTCTAGGATTGGGTTATTTTGTTCTTGAATCTCAGGTTTCCTTCCTTCCTTTCCCTTTTTTAGACTAGGTCTCCCTATGTCACCCAGACTGGATGTGCAGTGGTCACTCAGCCCAATCCCACTTCTGTTTGGCATGGAAGCTTTTACCTGCGCTATTCCAAACCTGGGGAGGATTGCCCCTACTTAGGCGGTCTGGTGGCCCTATCTCCCTGGGGCTTACAACGTTGGTGTTGAACTCTGTTTGGATACCCAATTAGCTTTAGCCTTACTGTAGCTGAGAACTCCAGAGCTCAAGTGATCCACCAGCCTCTGCCTCCCTGATAGCAGGGCTTACAGGTATGTACCACCATGCCGGCATGTTTTTCATATATATAATTAAGAGCTGGTTGTATGTTATGGAGAAAAAAATAAAATTAAGTTAGCAATCAAACAGTGACCATAAAAATGACAGACTACCTTCTGGAACTGAGTAGTAAGTGGGCACTTTTATAGGTAATGAAGACTTTGCAGTGGCTCCAAAGACTGTCATACTCTCAAAGCAAACCTGATTGTTCCTACTTTCTCCCCTTGGTCTTTTTACTAGGATGACACCTAGTCTCTGTAATAGACTAAATATAATCAACATGAAGGTGGACAAAGTTATAACTCCTCAGATAGCCTCATCCACCTATGTTAATCCAAGACTGAGGGTAGGGGGAAGTATTAAAAGCCTATGGAGCTCATGACCCTCCCTCCTTTTCATCTGAAAGTGATATTGCAGACGAACTGCTTTCTCCACACACGAATGTGACTAAAAGCCTATGAGCAAAGGTCCCTCCTACAACGGATGGCACCAAGCACTGTACCATGGCTTGTGGCTACACCACGTAAAAACTTGCCAATGTCTTGAGGTCCAACCTCCTGGGTTAACAGTCTCAAAAGCTTTACTCACGAAGTCAAAATGCTAATTCTTAGAGCACAGAATGTAATATTCCTGGCTCCTGTGTTTAGGTTCGGTTGGTTTACTTGTCACTATTCCCTTCCAGGAGGTTGCAGTTGTACGTAAGCATTTAGCATTGTTTCTTGAAGATTAGTTTTCTGGCCTCCATGTCACTCCATGGTAGCTTACCACACAACCTTGGCCTGGAATTCTCACTGCTACCCATTTATTCATTCCATGCAGGAAGCTAAACCTAACTGTAATCTTGACTTCACCTTGAATGTTAAACACTAAACACTAAAAATACAGGAGGTCTATTTAACAAACATCTCTGCTATTCAGATTACAATGTAAAATCAATGAGAAGACTCCTGGCATCAAGTCTACATTCAGTTTCACAATGAATTTTCATAAGGTGATCTCCCCACAAACCTCTTATTCCTTAGCAGATGCAACCAATAATATTCTTTATTTCTTAAAATTCTTTACAAACCAAGTTCATTATAAATATTATAAAGTTCTAAAAGTTAACAGATTGAACATAATTTTCTTTAAAGTATATACATTGCCATTTGATATTTTCATTTTCTATGGTGTTAAGAGTTAGCAACTGCAACCTTTTCCTCAAAGAAATAGTACAGAAATGCTAAAATCAGAGCAGCAAGGATGGTTTTTCAGTCAATCCCACTCAAGAAAATTTATTAAGTGCATCCCATGAGCAAAGCACTGTGCTTTACAGCAGTAAAGAAAACACTGCCAAAATGCCCAGGTTAAAAACTAAGAGTTTCGAAGATTTTGATTATGTACAATATGAGGAAGACAAAGAGAAATGGGCACTAGAGAAATAATAAAGCCAAAAGAGTGGGGCAAAAATCAGGACCCTGATGACATTTAGCCAGGAAAACTAGGAAAGGGTCAATCTGCTGAATAAGCACACATGGAAGGCTTTTTAAATTATGCTTTAGAGAATGTTTCTCTGGGGTAAATTTCTTCTACTTAATTAATGAATTTCAACATAAAAGTGCTTCTCCATAGCTGCTATATATAAGACTAAACACTCAAATGGTTATCTGAGCAGGGAGTACCATCAGTCCATTAGATCATTAAAAGCTCTCTATGACTGTGGAGAAAGCATGAAACAACATGTTCCTGGGCTACAGTTAAATACATAAAACATTAAGCAACTGAAACAGACAAAATGTATTTCAGGCAGGCAGTGCTATGATTATAGAAATTAATTTGCTAATTTCTAGAAGAAGGAATATGCAGTAATAATAAACTGAAAAACAGCAACAGAATGTGGTTTTACTATAGCCAGACTGTGGTCATAGATATTTAACAACTGAATGTACTTTGAGGGACAATAAGGTGCCCTATTTAGCAAATCCAGCGTTCAAGAATATCAGTCTTCCCAGACTAGTAAGCCTTAACTAAACTCTTTGGGATTCTCAATGGTCCTCTACCCTCTACTAGGGTTCAAATAAAGAGCTAAAGGAGGCAACAAAAAGACGTCCTCATTCTTTCCTCCCTTTGACCTCAGTTTTATGAATGAACAGAATCCTCAATGAGTGAATCATCTCATCAGCCACCTCACCTTCTCAGCAGCAGCCAGGACGTGGTGACCACTGTTGCAGACAATGACTGACTTCTAAAGCACATTTGACTTCCAGACATTTCACTTTTACTGTGAGCTGACTCAGGGATGTGGTATGTGGAAATAAAGGGCTTGCCAGGGAAAAACCCACACCAATCATCCTCAGATGTTCCCAATGGAACTAGTCCCTGGATTCTTGAAAGCTAGGCCAGCAGAACACAAACTCCTGCAGGTGCTAGACAGCCAGGAAGGATTCAAAATAAATACCCGGCAAAGTGTGCTGATGTGAGAATGGGCCCACAGAGCTCATCAAAAAAGTCTGGCTATCAGGAAATGATATTCTTGGCTCCAGTAACTAAAGACAACTATGTACAGAAGTATAGAGGAGTTTTGACCTGTGATGTAGGAGCAGGCATACTGATGGACTCATAACTAGTGAGAAGTAATAAAGGAAGCCAAAATAAATGTGGTTATTTAATAACATCTTGGCTTCTCTCATCTAAGGGAAAGAGCAAACTTTCCAAAGGATTTTAGAATCACAAAATAGACCTTACTTTTGGAAATACAAACAATTTCTAATTTTCAGACTAAATGTGACTATATTTTTGAGGAGATTCAAAGTGTACCTTTTTCACGTGACTATAACTGGTTGTAGTTCTAACATGAGAGCCTCAGTAGTTTTTTTGTTTTGCATTGTCTTCAGGGCAAGGAGAAAAATGAAAGAGAAAAAAAACTGTCCCATGATCTATGACCCTTACTGTGTCATGGCTTTGTATCAGGGTGGAACTTAATGATGTTCCTCATTTTCACAGGAATAAAAACTAAATAGTCCTTGGTGCTTTAACATAATGTTACTGTAACAGCTAAGAAAACACATGCACACAAACATACACACATACAACTCTCGCATCCAAAGTACCTGGTAGAAATAACCAGTGCCCACATCCCTTCCAACCATCCTCCTCATTAGTTGTACTTGGTTCTACAGCGGACCTAGACAGTCAAAATTACTTGTGCAATAATAACATCAAATGTAAACAGAAATCATCACAGGGTTTTCCATGGAGCTCAGTGCTGCTATCGAATAACATCCAAATAATGCACTTCTGGGTACAGAGAGTTAATAAGAAGAGCCAGAAAACTTTTCCCATCCTGAAGACAATGGCCAGGATGCTTTATAAACTGGGATGCTTGGGAGATCTGTTCCTGATACTCTACATACTGCTTGCTTGAAGACATGGATTCAAGAGTATTTAGTGCCTAAAAAACAAGGAAGATGACATTGAACTGTACATAGGCATCTGACAGCACATACCTATTTGAAAATGCAATTTAAGTATCAATCCCAGGGAAAATGCACAAAAGTAGAAAAAAGCATCTTTATATGCCTCTCTCTGTGTATACTTACATATATGCTATAGAGGAGGCCCCAACAAACAACATTTAGAAGCAAAACTACTGTCCCTGATTTCTGAGGTCTTCAATAACCTGACTCCACACCACCTTTCCAACCTTATTTCCTAATTCCAGCACTAGCTTCCTCAAATACCAGCTTCATTCTGAAATTCATTCTTCTGCCCACTCTTTTCTCCCTACTTGGAAAGCCCTCCTCCCCATTCTCACACAAAACCAATCCAATCCATTCTGCAGAGCCATCTCAAGTCCTCTCCCCTCTAGGCCCATCCCATCCTACACTGCTCTTTCCCTTGCTGAACTCCTCTTTCAATTAAGAGTCAAGACCACATAGTCTCATTCTATTAAAACACTCTTAGAACTTAAGGCCTAAGTCATCCTGTCATTTAAAATTTTGTGCATGAACCAAGCTTCAAAAGCCATTTGCTAAGTGCTAAAAGAAGCCTGACTTAAAGACTCTTAAGTCAGAACACCCCTTCTTTATGCACATCACATTCCCTCTTTTCTTTGGAGGATATGAGTCAAAAAGTTGAAAGGGGTCTGCTATGCTTCTCTCCTAGGAGAGCAAAGAGAAAAGAAGACATTCAGATCAATGAGAGAAGAAGAAGCAGTGTTTGACTCCAGAGGGAAGGGGAAGATGCCCTGGCTTTCTACCCTTCTTGAGCGGATGTTCCTACTGTGCATCAATAAGGGAGTTACAGATCAGGAAAACAGCACTAACAGGGACAGCTGGATAACAACAACAATATAGATAGATGTATCTATCTATAAACATATAGTTATAGATATATGGTTTTATCTGAGCAGAAGAAAGATCTGATAAGGGTAGGAGGTGAGCTGGCAGGTTAAACATAAATTACCAAGAGCTTCATATCATTTGAAGTCAGGTAGCTGCAGACAAACTAATGGAGAGTTCTTTTGCATCAAATTAAGATTAAGAGTAGCATAAATTGTTATAATAACTGTTGAGAATTAAAAAGCAAAGACACATCCATGTGTCTTTGAAATTTTACAGTTAGGAATTAGAAGTGACCTCAGAGTCATAGTCAAACCCCTGGTTTAATCTTAGAATTTTATTTTTATTCTGAATTTAACAAACACAAAAACATTTCCATATACAAAATAGAACAGAAAAAGAGGATTATATGTGAAAATGCAAATCTCTCATGTATAGCTTTGCACTCGAGACACACACATACACACACACACACACACAGACACACAAATTCAACATATTACTTTCAAAGCTATCCTACCTCACTTTGTTTCCTTTTGACCTTGCTTTAGCTTCTTCCCATTAACTGTTAAAAATGCTTCAATTACCCTTCTTTTCTTTTTTGCCAATCCTATCACTAGCTCCCTCTTCTTGTTGTGTAATTACTTTCTGATTCTGCTTACTTCACTTTGCATCACTTCACTTAAGCCTTCCCATGCTTGTCTGAATTCTTCATTTTCTTAGCTTCTTAGATGCAGTGAGTGAGATGCATTCACGCACCACAACTTGGTCAGCCATTCCTCAATAGGTGGGCAGTGGCCACCTTGTTTCTAATTCTTTGCTACTACAAAAGACATTCACTGCTAAACTTTTTCGAATGACATTTATTGTTTCCACTGCTTTACAATCTGGCTTCCCTCCCCAGAATTCCACCGCTAATACTACCTCCAAGGGTCACCCTTGACTTCTCAGTTGCAAAATTCAATGGCTTTTTCTTCATCCTAATTTTCTTTTACTTTTCTGTAGTGTTTGACACAATCATCTATTCAATGCCTTTTTTATTCTCTCCCCACTTTGACTTCTATGACACTGCTCTGCCCAGGTGATCTACCTACCATTCTATTAGAAGATCCTCCTAACTAGTTTACCTGACCCCAATCCCTTCTTCACACAGTTGCCAAATTAATCTTCCTGATCTATATGTCTGGCTGTGTCACTCCCTTGGTCAAAAACCTTCAGTAGCTCCCTATTAGATAGAAAGAGGCTATTACATACCTGCTGAGCTTTGGGAGAGAAATGTAATTCAGAACCAGACTTCAAACGAATCTGATCTTCCGCAGGAACTTGAACTGAAAGGAAGGCAGCCATGCTTCTTGCAACCACACGGAACCTTGGAAAATGCAAAGGCAATAGGAGGAACCAATTATAATTTACACAGACATTACAAATCCAGTCCAGGAATTTCCACCAAAATTCAACTGTGGTCAAGAGTAGCTCCATTTTTTGTTAATGTGTTCAATAAATCATAGTAATCCCAAGCAAAAAAAAAAAAAATATATATATATATATATTACTCATGCCATATAGAGCTTTAGTTATTTTAATCCTTCATCCATAACATCATATATAGCACATCAAATTCAGATACAAGAATAAAAGTACATCCCCTCAACCAAGGGAAAAATTTGATACCAAGGAACATACTAGACCTCAGGGATTTATGAAATTAATTTGTAGCTCTTGAAGATTAAAACAAAAACAAAGCCAAACCATATATTTTTTTTAAATTAAGTATGATTAAGTTAAGGCAGCTAGTAAAAGTGATATACTGTTATACCTCAGGCTACTCAAAGATTAATTTACAGATTTGCTATTGATCATCTATGGTTTGTCCTTTGTTCTCGAAAAGGACTATGACATCTAGAAGATGCTGACATGACTTGTGACTGAACTGGATTTGAGTGAGGGAGGGCTGTGCAAAGTCACCAGCCTCACTTTCTCTTCCAGAGCCATCTGGGTCCAGTGGCCAGATATAGCTCAGGACAACTGGTGAAGGCTCAGGTTGCAGTGGGACACCTTGGCCTTGCAGAGGTTCCCCAAATAGGCAATACTATCTCTGGAGGGCACTGGAACCATTAAGAGGGCAGTAGTAGCCTTAAGTGCAACTGGGGGTTGTTGAATAAAAATAAAGGGGCAGTAGAAGCATAAGGGAAAAAATACACCCAAAGAGATCAAACAAATGGGAAAAGGACCCATATGTACAAAAATATTCATAGCAGCTCTTTTTGTGGTGGCAAAGAATTAGAAATTGAGAGGATGCCTATCAATTGGGGAATGGCTGAGCAAGTTGTGGTATATGAATATAATGGAATACTAGTGTGCTATAAGAAATGATGAACAGGCTGACTTCAGAAAAACCTGGAAAGACTTATATGGTCTGATGCTGAGTGAAGTGAGCAGAACCAAGAGGACTTTGTACATAATAACAATCACGTTATGCAATGACTAAGATTGTTAAACTGAACCCTTCTCAGCTTTACGAGGATCTAAGACATCTCCAGAGGCCTTGGGATGGAAAATGCTGTCCCCATCCAAAGAAAGAACTATGGAAGTTGAATCGCTATCACTTATCTTTACCTTCTGTTGAGTTTTGTTTCCTCTTTCTGGTGGTTCCTCTTGTTGGTTTTAATTTTTACTTACAACTTTACTAATGTGAAAATATGTTTAATGGGTATTGTACGCTGTCTTGGGGAGGGTGGGGAGGAGGAAGGGGGAGAAAAATTTTCAACTCAAAAGCATATGGAAGTGATTGTTGATAAACCAAATAAATTAATAAAATAAAAAAAATGCTTGAAACACCCCCCCCAAAAAAAAGTGAGTCAAGAGAAAGGACAGCTAGGTGGCGCAGTGGATAGAGCACCAGCCCTGAAGTCAGGAGGACCTGAGTTCAAATCCAGCCTCAGACCAAACACTTGACACTTACTAGCTGTGTGATCCTGCTGGGCAAGTCACTTAACCCCAACTGCCTAAAAATAAAAATAAAAAAATAAAGAATAAAAAATAAAAAGAAGTGAGTCAATGGATGGCCCCTTTAATCAAAAACAAAAAATTATCAAACTGGGAGGGGAAGACCCTCAGGGTTGCTGGTCAAAAGAGAAATAATTACTACTTATATTTACTGTGAGCCAGGAGGGCCCAAAAAAGTAACCATTGAGTGGTGCTTGGACAGGGACCTATTGTTTTCCAATCAATAAGAGCCAGAGTTACATCAAATATTGGATAACATGAAAACAAACTTTTAAGAGAAATTAACTTGCAGAATCCCACTGAATTCTACAATATGCTAAGAAACATTGTTAAAATATACACTTGTTGGATTTGGAATGGCTGTATTTCACTAGGTCTGGCTCTTCCACAGGAATGCTGCTATTTCAAAGGTATAAAAAATATCTTCAGTATTGATTAGGACTAGAAGAATGTAACAGGAGATAACTAAGCATGAAGAGATAATCTAGAAGTCTAACCAAGCCAAGACACATATTCTTTCATACAAGATTCACATTCAAATCTTTGGGGGTTTTTTGTTTTTTTATTTTTTAAGACTACTCAGATTCCTTTCTCACCAGTTACCCTTCTTACTAACAGGCTTTAACACTATCTTTGATGATTAAATTTTGAATTCAACTGTCTGTTTTGTCCTTGTGCTCGCTGATTTTATGTATCTTAATACATAAAGCAAATAAAGTCATGGCTTTATATGAGATTATAAAGATATACACACTTTTTTTTAACTGTCATTCTGGAAAACCTAAGTTTTTAAGCTTAAAATATCTGCAAAGGTACCAAAAGGACCAAATAGAATGATAGGATTTAGAACTGAAAGAGACTTTGGGGGCATCTAGTGCAAACTCCCCGTTTTACAGAAAAGAAAGTTGAGTCCATAAAAGGTGGAAGTCATTTGCCAAGATCACATAGCTTGTAAACAGAAGAGTATGTCCTCTGACTAAATCTATCACACTTTCTACTATAGTATATTGTCACCATAGACTTCTGAAACCTACTATATGAGTAGAAATATAGGCTACGCTTTCCCCCAAAATACGGTTTATGTAAAATCTGAATATGGCCTAGACATCAAAACATCAACAACAAACTATCACTGAAGCAGGTCAAAACTCCTCTATACCTTGCTAGTTTTCTTAAATTGCTGTGGCTAAAAAAATTCATCACTTGGTGGCCATCCTTCTGCTTAGAAGCTCCACTCAAGTAACATAGGTTGGTCCAAAAGAATGTAAGCTCCTTGAGATTTAAGGATTACTTCACTTCTGTCTTTGTATGCTCAGTATCGAGTATGGAACCTGGCAGAGATTAGGTGTTAATGAGTGAATGGTCCTTAATAGCAGGCATACAGTCCATCACTGGGCCCATGCTCAGGCTTCTTCAGGCTCAGGGCAACAAGCCAGAGCTTCCAAAACATAGCTCAGTGTCCTCTCCATATGACAGTGAGACACTGGAGAAAGACTCCAATGGAGGTAGTTTGGTCTATAATTGGTGGGGGTCTTTACTTCACACCTTTGTATTTTTTTTTCATCACAGACTTCATTTAGTTTTAAACCAATGGGGTGAATCAACAGTTTTTTCATCAGCATCCATACCAGTTCTAGAATTAGGAATTCACAAAGAGGAGTATTTCCTTCCAATTCTTACCTGTTGGACAACGGAGACTTCCTGCCTAATCCAATGGCACCCAGTATCCCTGAGCTCAGTCTCTCCTCTGCTGCCTGGCTCTGTCTATTCTGGATCCCAAGAAGAGTCCGGATGACGGATCCAATCAGCACACTGTCATCCTGCTCAGCCTGGATCAGGGACAACTGCAGTGCTTGGTGCCACCACAAAAAGAGCTTTGCCTCATCTCGCACAGAGCTTGGAGTGGGTACATAGGGAAAGAAAAGGAAAAATAAGGAGCAGATGTGCAACCTGCCCTGCTATTCTCTTCAAGATTTAGGTTTACATTTGGTTTTCAAGTTCATGATATATGCTATAAACCATAAAGTAAGCTGAAAGCTCAAATAAAAATATTACTTTTATAAAAGAAACCTAAAAGGAAATATGCTTAAGATCATCAACTTGTAGTAGAAACAAAACAGGCTTGGCAGTCTGGGAGCTAGTCCCTACATTCTCAGAACTAGCTGTATAACCTCAGGCAAATCACTTGATTTGTTTAAGCCTGTCTCAGTTTCCTCATCTGTAAAATGAAATGGACAGGAAAAGAGGAAGAGTTTGTATTACATGACCTCTAAGGTCCTTTCCAGTGCCAATGTTCCATCATTCCATGGGTTTCCAGTAATTTGCTTTACTATTTGCAACCAGAGTTTACAGTAAAAAATGTTTTACTTTTAATGGGAGGTTTCATATTTTAATGCTCCATAGCTACCTTTGTAATCACTTAGCAAAGTCTTCTAAGGCACAGGTGTCAAACACAAGGCCTGGCACTGAAACCAAATTAAAATGTAATGGGACAATATTTAACAAAATAAATAAAAATACAATAGAATATTTGTAATGTTAACACATGATTTCTAAATCAATATACAGCCCACAGGGATCCTTCTGTAGGGTTTAGTGGTCCCATTTCTATTTGAGCTTGAAACCAGTGTTCTAAGCTATTTCCAAAGACATTGAGTCATCCCAGCTATACATTCAATTCATCCATTTAATCAAAAGCACATTGAGAAAACTCTGGCTTAGGACTGTCCTTATTTATTTTATATACCATTTGTTTCTTTGTGTTTATGCTTAATTAAAGCTTAAATGCTCACATTAAAAAAAAACATTAAGTTAACCAAGCAACATGTTTAATATGGCATCCAGAACACCAACAACATACCTGGGATATACTTGTTCCAGCCACTTTCCTAACATTAGCAACATTTTCATTTCATTTCTTAGTGTTTGCTCACTATTTAAACACTGAAGCATATAGACGTACAGCGTCAAATAACTTCCAAGGGACAGGCACTCCTGAATAAAGTCTTCTATGGTGAGTTCAGGAACTTGAAGGGATACCAGGATAGGGCCCCATCCCAAATGATAGTTGAGGGAGTCTAATAACAGAACAGGAAGCAGAGAAACTAAGTAAACAGATCAGAACCAAACATAATAACTCAATTATTCTAATAAAGCCTTTCATTTTAAACTTCATAATGTGAAATTATTTCTTATATTAGTCTTAAAGAAAATCAGTACACCAACTCTTACGTAAGAAACATTCAGGAACCAAACACTTGACTGAGATGAGATGCAGTATAATGTAGAGGAAATCTGACCTAAGGTAAGATTAGAAGTTTCTAATTTGTAGGCCATCATCTTTCATCTTGCTCAAAAAAACATCTAAGTTACCTAATGAAGCAGACTGCCATGCCAGATACTATATAAACAGAATATGTGAACCTCTTTCCTGACCCTAGAAATTGCAGTCTTGGGAGACAAGAGGAGGGGGGAAATATATATATATGTGTGTGTGTGTGTGTGTGTGTGTGTGTGTGTGTGTGTGTGTGTGTGTGTGTGTGTGGTGTGTATTTTTAGACAATTGGGGTTAAGTGACTTGTCCAGGGTCACATAGCTAGTAAGTGTCTAGTGTTTGGTCTGAGCCTGATTTGAACTCAGGTCCTCCTGACTTCAGGGTTGGTGTTCTATCCACTGCACCACCTAGCTGCCCCTGGAAATACATATATTTTTAAGAATACCATATTAAGGGATTAGGAAAGCTAATGGGCAGGGGAGGGAAATAAGACTATTCATTTCTCAGTGTATTATTATCATGTTCAGATAGTAATCTGTTAAAAATGTTTCACAAAATCATTAAAAGGTAGCTATTGGTTTGAAATCAGAAATTTAAACAATTAAACATTGCCTTTTTTCTCTGGTAATAAGATTCCAGTAAATTTTCTGAGTCATGGGATGCTAGGGTTATAGGAACTGGGGCTAGAAGAGTCCTGAGAGGTTATCTAATACAAACTCTTTATTTTTACAATGAGGAAAATGAGATAAGTGATATACTTCAGGTCACACAAGCTGTAAGTAGCAAAGTGAAGATAAAGTTAGAAATATAATAAGAATTACAACCTTAGAGTAGTCTATGTACACATTATGTCATGAACTTGCAAAATTATCATTCTGATCTCAAGAGTGCTACCCACTTGCCATGACTCTCAAACTTGCAAGTCTCTTGATACTGAAATGGACAATATCAAGGGAGACATCTTTGCAGACATGCAGACATGCACTTATTAGGGTAGTTTTGGAGACATACAAAGCCCACTTCTACCTGTTAGTTGATATTGTGTGTGTGTGTGTGTGTGTGTGTGTGTGTGTGTATACATATTCTATTCACAAGGTATACATCTTAAAAAAAGAGAAACTTACATAATAACTTTATTATATATTTAAAAGGACTAGAAAGTTGTATATAATAGATTTGCAGTTTCATGTGCAATCATCTTTTTTTATACTACGTTATGGAAATGCTTGTTTTATTCCATAAATTAAAAATAAATGAAACATAAAAAATAAAATTTTAAAAAAAAACTTACTTTAAAAGCTATCTTAAAAATATTGAGAAAAGTGCACCAGTTAAACAATATTCTTAATCTGAGAGTTGGTGATGATTCTATGTTATTATTAGTTATGTTACAAGGGTAACTTTTCAATCAGATGACAGAAAAGAAAGCCATACCTAAAACTGAAGAACTGGGGAGAAAAAAAGGAACCTCAGAGGTCATCCAATCAATCACCAAGGATTTATTAAACACCTACCATAAGCACTGTCCTAACTCCAGACCAACTCTTTAATGTTATACATAAAGAAATGGAAGCCCAATAGTTAAATGTCTCGCCTGAGATCATATAGTGAGTGGGAGAGCTGAGAGTAGAACTCACACCTCCTAACTGCAGTGTTGTTTCAACAATGCATAACTGAAAACTTAACAACTGAAACTGGACAGTAAAGCAAGCAGCATAAAAAAATGTCAAGAACGAACACTAGGATTCAATCATGGTTTAGTATGACTACATAGTTAAGTTTTCCATAATAAATGAAGGATTTGAAGTAATGATGACTGGGATAATAAAATTCTGTACCACCAATGTAATATTAATCAAAGATATAATCAAGGAGCATAAATGACATGAGTACCATTTATTTAATAAAAAAATACTAAGGCAGCTAGGTGGCACAGTGGATAGAGCACCAGTCCTGGAGTCAGAAGGACGTGAGTTCAAATCTGACCTCAAACACTAACTGTGTGACCCTGGGCAATTGCCTTTAAAAAAAAATACCCCCTTCCCCATCCCAAGAAAGGGAGCTATATTCACAGACACACAAGAATTCAGAATGACACCTCCCTGATTCATATTGTTCTTTTTCACCTCCTACATCCCAATATATCATCCTTTGTAACTGAAGTTTTCCCAGAAAAGATAAAACTAACTATGATGCAAGATGATGCTCACTCACCATCCTGGAAGTACGCAGTGATACAGGCCTCTGTAATTTCAGCCATGTGTCGGACAGAAGCCAAGCTTTGGCATGCTGCTGTCAAAAGGGGCAGCACCACTAGCCCATGTACTTTCTGGTCAATCCAGTTCCGGACACTGCCCCGAAGGAACTCGGCCATTGGGACACTAGCATTATTCATCATTGTTAAAACTTCAACAAAGAGTCTGCTGAGGGCCATATGACGAGTCTGGTTATCCATATCTTAAGGGAATAAAATATATACACATCCACTAATACACACAGGTAACCCATCACTGGTCCTCCAATGTTATTAAAATTCATCTCATGAAGGAAAGAACAGCAACATTTAAATTCTTAGCTACAGTCTGTGCAGACTTCAGAGTTTAGTAATTTCCAAAAGAACCAAAACATAGCCATCCCACAGTTCTAGCCAGTTAATAAGTGTTGGCCTCCTGCATGAAAATGGTACCAAGGGGAAGTTAATGCTTTCAAAACATCTAGGAGCCACAGTATATGAAAGCAGCAATATGCTAAGTGCTAATAAAAAAGCTACTTTTGGAATGTTTAGCTAGATGTATTCAGCAAGACTGACGTATTTCCTTTTCATTTCTTAGACATTCAAATACAAAAATAAACAAACAAAATTTCAAAGGTTAATGGTAGTCTGAGAAGCAGAGAATTGTCATGGACAGAGAGTATTTGAGTCAGGAAGACATGAATTCAAGTTTGAGCCCTGAAACGCATTGGATACGTGACCCTAGGCAACTCTTTTAGAGTTGTAGAGTAAAACTATAGTTACAAAACAATTGTCGATCTGTATTGGTAGAACACATTTCTTCGCAAGTCCAATTTCTCCAGCCCACTGATCCCCAACCCCACCAAAAAAAGGGTAGGATACTTAGAAGCATTTATTACTATGTTAAACTTCAAGATCAATGAGCCCATTAATAAGAAGGAATATCAACTATCATACTAAGTTAGACTGAGAAGTAAAAGTACAGAAATTGGTAAAGATTGTAGGTTAGCAGGAAGCTGTAGCCCAGTTCTCTCCCCAAAGCAACTGTAATAAAGATCAAGGAAGAACACCAAACCAAGGAGAGAGAGGGAAATCCAAGGATAAACCACAAGAGGTCATTTTTCCATCCCAAAATTATGAAGTCCTAGACAAGTTACTAATAAGGTAACAGACCAGGGACAGACCTACAGCTCAGTTGCTTTCATCCTGAAGCAGGATCTCCATTCATCCTGCAGATCTGAGGTGGGGCCTGAAGATAGGTAAAAAGGGCAAGGACAAGCCTTAACACAAAGTTTCAATTCAGGAGATAAGTTGGAAGAATGAGAATGAGAAAGTTGGAAGAATGTCATGAAAAGACATGAATGATAACAAGATATTATGAAGCCAATACAAAAACCTATATAAAGAGAATAACTCCAAAACACCTACAAAGCAAAGCATCAAATAAAAAGTCAACTTGCTATGAAGTCACTATAATGACTGGAAGAAACAGACTTTTTTAAATGTTAAAAATCATATAAATAAAGTGACAAGAGGCAGAGTCAAGTGGCAGAGTGAAGAGAAGCATTTTTGCTTAATTCACCTACCACATGTCTTTCACAATAACCTAGAAAACATGCCAGACCAAATTCTCATCAGGAAAGTCATGAAAAGGGCACAGTGAGTCATTTTCCTAGCCTAAGGAAGCTTAGGAAGACAGACAGAGATATCTGAGGACCTGAGGTGAGGGCTGGTGACGAATGTTGTGTGACAGCAGTCATGATGGCCACAAGAAGCATACCAGTGCCCAAGGACAGAGAGGGAGCCAAAACAAGAGTACCAAGATAGTAAGTACCAGGGCAAAGAGAGATCCCAGAGGACCCCTGAACTAGTGCTGGGAGCAAGAATGGTTCCAAAACTTGCAGCTCTATCACCTACTGTCCAGTTCTGGGTCACATATCTAGGGTAGAAAGGTGTGGTGGCAAGCGAATGGGGCCCTAGCTTTCCCCCCCACCCCAAAAAAGGCAGACTGGAGACAAGCCCAACAAGAATTCCTAAAAGAGTTAAAGAAAGAGATAAGAAAATTATTTTAAAAACCAAATGAGAACTATGGAAGAAATATATGAAAAGAGAATTAACATTTTGGTAAAAGAATTACAAAACCTTACTGAAGAAAGTAACTCCTTGAAAATCAGAATCGGTCAAACAGAAACTAACAACACCATGAGACATCAAAAAATAATAAAACATTAATGACTCCATGACACATCTAGAAATAATGGAACAATGTCAAAAGACTGGGGAAAAAAAACCAAGAAAATGTGAAATATCTCATAAAAAAATGACTTAGAAAATAGATTGAAGAGAGAGAATCTAAGAATCACTGGACTACCTGAAATCTATGAACAAAAAAATAGCATGGATACCATATTTTGAGAAATTATAGGGGAAACTACCCAGATATCTTAAAATCACAGGGCAAATAGAAATTGAAAGAATCTGCTTATGACCTCTTAAATGAGATCACAACTCTAGAGAAAAGAAATAGAAAAGAAATGAGAACTCTAGAAGAAAGACATAAAAGAATTAATGGCTTAGCACAAGAAATATGAAATCTTACCCAAGTCACAGACTTCCTGAAAATCAGAATGGCCTAAATAGAAGTTAATGACCCTGAGACAAAAAGAAATACTAAAAAGAAGTCTAAAGACAAAACAATAGAAGAAAATGCAAGGCATCTCAAATAAAAAAAACAAATGACTTTAAGAAAGAAAACAAGGATAATTTTTAAAAATTTTAGACTACTAGAAAGTCATAGACAAGAAAACTGAGCCTATATCCACATCCAAAGAAAGAACTATGGAATTTGAATGCAGATCAAAGCATACTTACTATTTGCTATTTTTTTCCTTCTTCTGTTGAGTTTTGTTTCTTCTTTCTGGTGGTTTCTCCTATTGGTTGTAATTCTTACTTACAACACCACTAATGTGAAAATATGTTTAAAAGAAATGTATACGTATAGCCTATATCAGATTGTGTGCTGTCTTGGGGAGGGTGGTGGGGAGGAAGGGGGGAGAAAAATTTTAAACTCAAAAGCATATGGAAGTGATTGTTGATAAATCAAAATAAATTAATTTAAAAAACAGCCTGGATATCATTAATACCTCAGGAAATTATGAATGCAAGTTTCTCTGATCTATTATGCCCAGGGGGGGAGGGAGAAAGAAAGAAAAAAAAGAAAGAAAAGAAAGAAAGAAAGAAAGAAAGAAAGAAAGAAAGAAAGAAAGAAAAAGAAAGAAAGAAAGAAAGAAAGAAAGAAAGAAAGAAAGAAAAAAAGAAAGAAAGAAAGAAAGAAAGAAAGAAAGAGAAATTAACTGGTTAACTCCTGAAACTCCAAAATGAAAACTTTCAGGAATGGCATAGCCAAAATCCAGAGTTTCTAGCTAAAGAAAAAAAAAACTTTAAGCAGCCACAAAGAAAGTGCTCAAGTTCTAAGGAGCTACAGTTAAGACTGGGTAATATTTGGCAGCTCCCACCATAATGGAAGTGGAGAGTACAACATATGATATTCTAAAAGGCAAAAAATATAGACTTACAGCCAAGAATAACTTACCCAGAGAAACTGAGAATAATCCTATGGAGAAACAAATGGAACTCCCAAACATTCCCTATGAGAAGAACAGGGCTACATATAAACTTTGGAAGAAAGACACAGGAGTCAAAAGAAACACAGAAAAGTAAACATGAATGAGCAATCAGGAAGGGCTATATAAGGATGAAGTGGTTATATTCTAATATTAAGAGAAGACACAAATGTCTCTTCAGAAGATTAAGTTCATCACATTACTGTACTGGCAGTGAAGCTGTGAATTGGTACATCCATTCTGGAAAGTATACCCCCAAAATCACTAAACTATGCATATCCTTTGACCAGTTGATACTACCATCAAGCCTATACTCCAAAGAGTAGAAAGAACATGGAAAAACTCATATGTACAAGAATATTTATAGAAGTTCTTTTTGTAACACATAGTAAAGAACTGGAAACCAAGAGGGTACCCATCAATTGTGGAATGGCATTACTGCACTGTAAGAAAAGATGAAAAGGACAGTTTCAGAGAAACCTAAGAAGCCTTTTATGAAGTGATACAGAATGCAGTGAGCAAAACCAAAAGAATAACTTACATAATAACATTATAAAGACAAACAGCTTTGAAAGATTTAAGAAGCTTACTGGCATAAATGCAAACTAAGGCTAAAAGGCAGATTTGACAAAAGTTTAACAACAGAGGTGGAAATAAACACTACCAAAAAGTACTGCAGAGGTCAGAGAATCTTTCTTCCGGAAAGAACAGAAGACCAGGAAATTTTACAGTGACCTGCATATATAACCATGACCCAGTCATTGCTACTACATTATACCTACATAGTGCAGGTTGGCTGACTCCCTTCTGAAAAAGAAATAAAATTAGAATGCTTCTCCACTCTCCAGGTGATCAGAGAGAATAAAATGTTTCTTTAATAAAAATGAAAGGGTTTGGGGTTTTCTTTTTTTTGCCCCCTGAGTTACAAACAAAGACAAAAGGATGTGAAAATGCAGAAGGGAACCTACTCTGGGTCAGGAGGTTAGAGAATGAAAGAGCATGTGTGACACAGAAGAAAGACTTGAAGAATGGCTGCTGAACCCCTGAAGCTAAGTAAGTAAATGAAACTCTTCCCATTGAGAGAGAATTGGATCTTTGGAGGAAGAGATCTTTCCCATTTCATTGTTACCATCGTTCCAAGCTATTTGGCTAAAACAAGTTAGCAGTTTTTCCATTTGTCACTTACCTGGCGGATTAAAGACAACAATGTCATCCAAAAGCTTGGACATTTCCTGTTCTAGTACTGCAAAAGTAATTTTTCCATTTTGTTCCAGAGAGCTGAGAAACTGTACCACCTGGCGAGTGAAAGCTAGGCATTTTGGAACTGCATCCTAATGGAAAACAAAAGATTTTCAAGTCAATTCAACTAAAATTCAATGAATATTCACACTCAACAACAGAAGCATTTTTAAAAAAAAAAGTGACATTCATTATCTCATTTGATTTTCACAACAATCCTGGGAAGAAATGGTGCTGGCATTAATTGATCCCAATTTAAGGATAAGAAAACTGAACTAAAGGGAAATGAAATTACTTCCCCAAGGTCACACAGCTATGAGCGGGCAGCTCTACAGACACAAGCAATAGTCCAACAAGTATTTTCAGCAGCGGGCACTGTGCTTGGCATTAGGGATGCAAAGATAAAAATCATCGGCCCTGCCCTCAAGGAGCTTATGTTCCAAGTAAGAAAGAAAATGTGTACATAAGTAAGCATATACAAAATATCTTCAAGGACATTTGGGGTAAGGGCAAGACTGGCAGCTGGGGGGGAGGGGGGAGAGGAAGGGAAGAAGTCAGGAAAAGCTCCATATCAGAGGCTGGGCTTGAGCTGAGGTTTAAAGGAAACATGGTATCCTGAGACAGACATGGGAAGAAAGCATCATAGAGGCTGGAAGGACAACCACAATGCCAAGAGACAGAGGTTAAAATGATTTGCAGGAAGCCATGCTGCAGATTAATAAGAATGCCAAGACTAGAACTCAGGTGTCACAATTAGTGGCAATTCTTTGGCCAGGCAAATGAAATGCTACCAAAGGTAAACCATTTAAAGAAGTCTCTGTGCAGATGGCTCCCAGGTGTATGTGTCTCTCTGTGCGTGTAAGCTACTTGAGCTGAGTCCCACATTACCGACTACCTTTTAGTGTCTCAAACTGGATGGCCCATAGGCATCTCACCTCCACATGTCCAAAACAGAATTCATGATGGCTCCCCCTACCCCCAACTCATCACTTTTCCAAAATTTTCCCTTTCCATAAAGCATAACATCATCCTACCAGTCACCCAGGTTCACAACCTTGGGGTCATTCCTGACACTTCACTCACAACACATCTCTAATTAGGTGTCAAATCTTGTTGCTTCTTTCTCCACAACATCTCTCACATATATCCCACCCCGCTCTTTACTCACACTACCACCAACCACCCTCATTCAAGCCCATGAGTTCTCATCTGAAACACTGCAACAGTCTTCTATTTGGTTACCCTGACTCAGGTCTCTCTTCACTCCAATTTATTTTACACATAACCACCAAAGTAATTTCCCTAAAGTGTGAGTCTGAGCGTGTCACTCCCTGAACAAAAAGCTCCAGCGGCTTCCCACTACATCAAGGACTAAATATTTTGGGAACATAAAGGTCTTCCTACCTTTCCAAAGTTTGTACATATCACTCCCCTCTCCACAGTCGGTGATTTAGTTATGATATCCTATTTACAGTTTTACACACACAACACTTCATATCCCATCTCCATGCCCTTACATTAGTTATCTCCTATGCCTGGAATACACCCCCTTCTCACATCTGCTTTTTGCAAATGCTGGTTTCCTTTAAAACTCAGTTCAAGAGCCACCACATACAAGGAGACTTTCCCAATACCACATCCCCATACTCCCTCCTTCCCACTGGTAGCACCCTCCCTCCGATAACTACTTTTTATTCATTTTGCAAATATTCTGTATGCTTGTGTATATCCATGTTGTCTCTCCCGTAAGAATGTAAGCTCCTAGAGGGCAAGGACTATTTCACTTCCGTGTTGAAGCCCCAACACTTAGCACATAGGAAGCACTTAATTAATGCTTCACTAACTAATAAAGATAAATCAACATTTCTAATTTATCATGTAGTATTTCAACTGCAAAATTTAAAAACTAATATATTTACAACATACATTTCATCACCTTATGTTTGATGATGAGACAATTTATGAGCTATAACTCAGTGAAACTCTCCTATAGGCCACAATAATATACACCACTATACATTTCCACTATTATTAGTCATAGAAAGTTCCTAGAACTTTGTAGCACGTATCCTACTTACGAGATGCATTTGTCCATCAATAGGAACACTGAAGCCCGCAGATGCTTTCAAGAGCTTTACTATTAATTCAGCTGAAGAAGCTTTTGCTAGGATGATAGATGGAGGATAGTGGCTGCTAAAGTATCCAATGACACTTTGGTATGACACAGTATCTACGAGATGCCAGGAAAGAGAGCTCGCCTGTCCAAGGAGACTGAGTAATGGGGAATCCTGAGGGGAAAACAAACAAATAAATATGATGTTTAGTTCTAGAATTACAGACATTGATCCATTTTTCTAGCAGGGAATTTTTCTCAGTATTTTTGTAGTGGTTATTGGCTATGCAGCCTGACAACAAGTGCAATGTAATTGAGAGTCAATATATTGCAACATTGCTGCAGACAGTAAACACAATAATTCAAGACATGGTAAAAACACACAAACACTGAGGTTTATTAATATCATAGGCCCAATTTAAAGGGAACTTCTCTAATTGGTGAGAACTCTGTAAAGACAAACAGAAGATTATCAACTATAACGTCTGTACCCCCTAGCCATAAGGCAGGATCTTGTATCAAAAGAAGTTAACTGGGTAATTTTTAGAAATGATACTTCTAGATTCCTTCTAACTCATCTTAAATACTAATTTGGAAAACAATGCTGACAGGCTCCTCTCTGAGGAGAAGCATGTGTTAATTATGCAATTAGGGAATAAATGCACTAAAGGGCAGCTATTTGTGACGGGAGAAAAACGCAAACTTTTACATGTTAAAAAGGTTTCACATTTTTCCTCCTGTTGCTTTGCACAGTGGAGCTGGGCTCTCACTAAAAAGGGCAAAGGCTGGATAACCCTGGAATGGGTGAGTTGTAGAGGGAATTCTTACTGAGGCATGGATGGACTAACAGTCCTTGAGATCCTCTTCAGCTCTAAGTTCTTATTATAACTCAGTGATGATCTGAAGGGATTACTAAACAGTGAAATATCCCAAGACTGGCCTTTTAGTTGAGTCACAGGTGTGACAATTAAATAATGAGAACCTTTTTTTTTATTTAGAAGAAGCAGAAACAAAATGACAAAGTAGCAGGAAAAAAATACAGTCAAGTTCTCCCCTATAATTCCTCCACAAATAGGAGTAAAATGAACGAGACCAAGTCTTGAACAGAAAATCCAACAAATAAATCACAGTGAGTCACTTTTCCAACCCAGGTGAATGCAGGAAGATAAACAGCTAGGTCTACAAATATGGGACAGAGTCTAGCCAGGAATATTATACATCTTACCCCCTACCCCTCACTCCCACACTTGCTGAGGGACTGAAAGACGACTAAGGCTATCACCAAGGCAGGAAAAGGTCTCAGACTAACAGAGAAGGGCTTGACCTTATACAAGGTACAGGAACATGTGCAAACTGGCAGTTTTGCCACTTACTACTCAATTTCAGGTCACAAATCCAGGGCAAAATGAGGAGGAAACCTACACCTGGAGCAGCATTCCAAGATGAAGAGCTGTCTTGACCTTAACACTGTGTGCTTAGGCAAAAAGAAAGCTCAGAAGCAAGTGGCAGCTGTGTGGCTCTGACCCCAGGAGCAAACACCCCAGTTCTTGGGGTCTTAGTTCCAGCCTCTAGTCTAGTCTGAAGCCTACCAGGCAGTAAGCAGGACAGTAATTCCAGACCAAAGAGGAGCCTGTAGTTCTGTCATTCTGAACCTACACAGCTCTCCAACTAGGTGACAGTGGCTGAGTTCAACAGCAATCCACTAGAATTCCCACCAGGGGCAAGTCCATATTTTGCTTAGATGCAAAACCAACTCAAGAATTTGCAGAGCTCAGACCAGAAGATTAGAAAACAGATTGTGTCCTGGATCACATCACTCTGGGAATATTGAAAGCTTGCAGATCCCCAGCACAAACTGTCATTGAGATACTAGAATACCCCAAGAAAAAAGGCCCCAAGACATAAGTTCAGATCAGTCATTCCAAAAATAAGTGCACAGATCCCAGATCTGACACAAAGTCCAAAGTTAGAAAGAAGGCTAGAAGAATGAGAAAATTTTTTTTAAAAAATCCAACATAAAAAGCTTATTATGGTAACAAAGACACTCACAACACAAATCCAGAAGAAGAAAATGACACCAAAATATCTATAAGCAAATCTTCAAAGAAAAACAAAGCTTGGACACAAGTTCAACTAGAATTCCAAAAAGAGATGAAGCAAGAGGTTTCGTTTTGTTTTTTAAAAGAGCTGAACATGAAATGAGCACTAGAGGAAAAAAATGGGGAAAAAAAATAATAGCTAGGGAAGAACTGGAAAGAGAATTAACAGCTTAAAGTAAGAAATATAAAACCTTAACCAAGAAATAAACTCTGAAATTTAGAATGGACCAAAAGAAAACTAATGATTCCATGGGACAACAAGAAATATTAAAACAACATCAAAGGACTAAAAGATAGAAGAAAAAGTAACTCCCAGTAAAAACAACTAGCCTGGAAAACAGATCGAAGAAAAATCATTTAAGAATCATTAGACTTCTTGAAAGACATAACCAAATAACCCCAGACATCATATTTCAAAAAATCATAAAAGAAAATTGCCCACATCTCTTAGAACAGGAAGGCAAAGTGAAAATAGAAAAATACATTGGTTATTTCCTGAAAGCCCCAAAATGAAAACTTCTAGATACATTACAGCCAAAATCCAGAGCTTTCAGATCAAAGAAAAAATATTACAAGCAGCCAGAAGTAAAGAATTCTAGTACCTAGGAGCTATAGTCAAGATTTAGCAGACATCATAATAAAGGAGTAGAGACCTTGGAATATGATATTTCAGAAAACAAATATAGAGGCTTACAACTAAGAATAAACAAACAGCAAAACTGCATAAATTTCTACAGAGAAAAAAAAAACCTTTAAAATGCAACATGAGGACTTCCTAACATTCCTAATAAAGACCAGAGCTGCAGGGAAATTCTGAAATACAGAGGAAACAATAGAAATACATAAAAGTAAATATGAGCAAGCATTTATAAGGGAATTAACAAGGATAAACAGTTTACTTTCTAAGATGGGGGGATGATGTATGTATCCCTCAGAATTCTATCATCATCTGGGTCGAGAGAGGGAATCTAATAAGACAAGAGGGCTTGGAAGTGACTGTTATGTTTTGATGTTCTTAAAAGAAAAAAGCAGAAGAGGAATACAATGGGGGGAAATGGGGAAGGTAAAGAAAAGAAGGCATGGGAAAATTATCTCACATAATTGGGAGATAGACAAATAGAAGACTATGCAAACAAGGAAGAAGAGAAAGAGGGAGCAGGTGACAACTGAACTTCACTCTGACCTGAACTGTCAAAGGAGAGAAAGAATACACTCACACAATTTCTCTCTGTCTCTATCTCTGTCTGTCTGTCTGTCTGTCTCTCTCAGACACACACACACACACACACACACACACACACACACACACACACACACACACACACACAGTGACAGAGCTAAAGAAATATATTTCACTCAACAGAGAAATAAAAGGGAAAAAGGTAAAGGTTATTAGATTAAGGAGGGGTTAGTCCTAAGTAAAATTAACTCTAAGAGAGTGGATGGTAAAGAGGGGTCTCAAAGAAAGAAAGGATAAGAATCGTGACTGAGGTGTGGGTAAGTGAAAAAAAAAAAAGGAACAGGGAAGCAGAAACAGACTATACCAAAACTAGACCACTCATGCTAAGCCCACTTCTCTTTTACCGTCCTCTTCTATATAAAGAGGCAAGTAACAAAGACATAGTAAAGTATAAGAGAATAGAGAGAAATATACCATTAACCATCGTAAGTGTGAATCTGAATGGAATGAACTCACCTATAAAATGGAAGAGGATAGTAGAATAATTAGAAAGCAGTATCTAACAACATGTCATTTAAAAGAAATACACTTAAAACTAAGACTCACATAGAGTTAAAATGAGGCACTGTAGCAAATTGTGACGCTGAAGTAAAAAGAGCAAGTTAGCAGTCATGATCTTGAACAATCAATAACAAAAACAATTAAAAGAGGCAAACAGGACAATTACATTTTGCTGAAAATGCAACAAATGCCTAAAGGAAAAGTTAAATTAGTTACAGAGAGAAACGTACAATAAAACTGTAACAGTGGAGGACCTCAATTTACCCTGTTTAAACCTAAGTAAATCTAAACAAAAAAATAAAGAAAAAAGTTAAGGATTTGAATTAAGAAGAAAACTCAAGATGTAAAAAATATTTTTAGCAGTTCTTCTTACATTGGCAGAGAATTAGAAAGTGATATGGTCCACAAATGATGAAGGGGGAGGTTTTTTTAAAGATCTGGGATGACTTACATCAGCTGATGCAGAGTGAAGTGAGCAGAACCATGAAAACAATTACACAGTATTGGTAATATCATACAGATAATCAACTGTGAAAGACTTATTATATCTGATCAACACAATGACCCACCACAATTCAAAAAGACTCAATGAAAAATGCTATCCACCTCCAGATACAGAAGTGATGGACCAGATTGCAGACTGAAGTATATGTTTTTCCTCTCACTTTATTTTTCCTCTTCCCACTCACCCTCCCCAAACACGCTTAATGCAGAAACGCCTTAACAACATGTAAGATTAAGTATGTATATGTTTTGTATGACTTCATATTTCTAATGAATTTTGTATTTCTTGCATTCTCAATGGGTGGGGAAGGGGAGAACCTGTAACTATAAACAAAATAGAATTTTTTTTAAAAAGAAAAAAAATGATGAAGGGGATGTTTTCAGAGAAGCCTAAAAAGACATGTATGAAATGATGCAAAAGGACGTGAGTAGAAACAGGAGAATGATTTATACAGTAACAACAATACAGTAAAGACAAAACAACTTTGAAACACTTAAAAACTCTGATCAACATAATGACCAACCAGGATACCAAACAACCAAATAATTCACGATGAAACATGCTACCCACCTACAGACAGAGAGGTGTTGGTGTCAGAGTGGAGATGGAGACAATTTTTTTAAAAATATGGCCACCGTGGGAATTTGTTTTGCTTGACTAGACATGTTTCTAACAAAGGTTTTATATTTCTTTCCTCCATTCTCAGCAAGAGGGGAAGAAAGGGAGGGAGAAAAGGCAGATTTTTGTTGATTAAAAAAAATTAATTTTTTTCTAATTTAATACCTCCTAATGAATATTTTCCCTTCAAAATACTTATTTTCAGAGTAAAGCTACATAAGAAAATAAGCCATATTACTTTACAGTCAAGACTCATATATGTTATATTCAATGAAGCTATGTTCTTACTGCATAAGTACTCTCCACCATTTCTAGAGTCCAAACCAATGACACTCTTATGCAGCAATATTTTTGTCCAGTCTTTCCACACATCTTCCAGAAAGGATCTGCTAGACATGGTGGAGCTCTTCCTCTGGCTCTTTTAATAACTTCTCATACTAAGCATCTATCTAAATGTATGTAAGAGAAATGTAAACATGCTAAAATAATGTGACTAAAATATGTGGGGCCTAAGTAGGAGAGGGAAATTTACGAAGATGTGCCAGGCCTTTAACCTCTACCCTAAGACTTACTTCTTGATCTACGAGCTGATCTTCCTTTGCCAGTAAGATGATCATGAAGAGCAGGCAGACAATCATGCTTCGTGTTTCTGGATGGGGACTGGGATTCCAGGCATCAGCCAGTACACTAACCCAGTTTACTTCACACAAAACAGATCCCATGAATAAGAAACAGCTCTTGGGGCTTCCTCTTTCCACCTAAGAGAAAACAGATCAAAACTGTTTAAAAAAATTATTTGTTCTGGCCATGGAGTCAGGAAGACCTGAGTTCAAATCCAAACTCAGTCACTTGACGCTTATTAGCTATATGACCCTGGGCAAGTCACTTAACCCGACTGTCTGACCAAAACGAAAAAAAAAAAAGAATGTTTTATGCAATAATGATGTCCTGAAAAATGTGTTAAAATTCTGTTTTTGTGAATTAAAAGCACTTTCAAATACACCAGAGGAGCTCATTATTTAAAGGAATACTTTGATTACTTTTTTTATAACACAAATATTGATTTCTCCAAAATCTTTGTTTCTTTCAAAGAAAGAACAATATAAAATCATTTCCTTCCAAAGACAAAGTCAACAACCCACTCCAGTCTACATATAGGCACATTATAAATTCTGTGTAGTTAAGTTAGGATAAAGCATTTGTGTGTCCTAGGCAAAGGCTAAAAACTACAGGACCCCTGGTACTATTATTATCCATTGCATTAATGGAACAAAGACTTGGTTTATCACCTAAATAATTTTTTAAACCACCTACAGGTCATGAAGGAAAGAATTTTCTGGCATTAAAAATGTACTGACATTTTAAAAAAATAATATCCAAAAATATTCCTTATTTGGGTCTCCTGTGTATTGTGTCTTACATGACTGCCTTTTTTATCCCCTAATTCTGGCTCTATAATTTGATAATGATACATTCCCCTTCGTTCCTGTCTTAATGATATGCTAGCTGGCGCTTGCTCTTTGTTCTTAGTTAATGCTCCCCCACTTCCCTAAATATCATTATGCCAATACATTTTCAGGCTTGAAAAAGACCAACTGACTCTGGACAGGTCAATGTTTTAAAATATATAAGATTTAGTATGTATATCTAACAAATTTATAAGACAAAATTCTTCCAATCTGCCTATTCCACTGTTGTTATGAACCTCCTTATAGAAAGGAAAGAACATTGGATTTAGATTCATCCGACCTAAGTCTCCACCTTGGTTCTGTCATTTACTAGTCATGTGACCATGGGATAATTACTTAACCTCAACAGGACTTAGTTTCCTCAACTGCCAAACAGAAATAAGGACTCTTTCACTATCTACCTTAAGGCTGTAAGGAAAACTCTTCATAAATTATAAAACACTCTACAAAAGTCAACTATCACTATTTTTAAAACTTTCCCTCACCATAAAGTTAAGCCCATTTCCTCTTGTTTATTCCTTAGTGCAGATAAAAAATAACTGCTTGGCACCCTTGTTCCTTTACAACCTCAAATAGTTGTAAAATCACTCAGTAATTGTCTCTTTTCTGAGATGGGAAATAAAACCCAATGGCAGCTTCTTTAAACATTCCTCAGGATTCAAAATATAGAAGCATTAATAAAATAAGATTCAATGAGATGTCTTCCCTTCTCACGGATCAAGGATACAAAATCATGTTAAATAGTTTAATTGTGTTTTATTCGTTCCTGTAAATAACTAAATCTGAAAAAACTATTCTTCTAACGCAAAGGGAAAATTCTAATAGATGTGGTAATAGGTTTAGGATAGGACACAAGAAATTCTCCAACAGTTAAGTGGTCAACAGATATTTTTTAAAAATTCTCAAAATAATTACAAACTATTAGCAACCATATGAAAAAATGTTCCATAGTACTAATAATAAGGAAAATGCCAATCAAAACAACTCTAACATTTCACCTCATACCCAGTAAACTGGCAAAGATGACAAAAGATGGGAATAATTAATGTTGGGGTTCTAGAGAGACAGGCCTTCCTGACTCCACGGCCAGAACCAAATAATTACAATATTACTGGAATTACACATTGGTCTAACAATTCTGGAAAGCAATTTGGAATTATGCAAAGAAAGTAAATAAAATGTCCACAATCTTTGACCCAGAAATTTCACTACTATGTTCAGACCTCAACAATTCTGGTGAAAGACCAAAAAAAAAAAGCCCCATATACACCAAAAAATTTATAGCAACACAATTTTTGTAGTAGTATAGAAATGTGAACAAAGTAGACATCTGTTAATTGAGGAATAGTTAAATAAGTTGTGGTATGTGAATGTAACTGTGCATAAGTATAGTTGTAGTCATTATACATACTGCTTTTCTTGTTGTTCTTACTTTACTATGCATTGAGCAATTCATGCAAGTCTTTCCATGTTTCTCTGTCAATATAGTCATCATTTCTTATAGCACTAGAAAATTCTGTAACATTCATGTACCACAATTTGTTTAGCTATTCCTCAACTAATAGACATCTACTCTGTTTCCAATTCTTGGTTATAAAAGGAAAGAACAAAATGATGAAAACTGGAAGCTACAAAATTATAATGAGCAAACAGGGCCCCCAAAAAGAGATATGAGAAGGCTCCTCTCTCTGCTTCTTTGCAAAGTCAGGGGCTGTGAACATTGCACAGAAAACACTATTGTTTCTGGTTGGGATATGTTGTGCCAATCTACTTGCCTATGGCTCCACTCACCATCCTGGTACCTTTCCAGACTCAAAATGCTTCCTTGTGGGAGGAGCAATATTCTAACCCTTCCCCTTCATGCAAATTAAGCTATTTTTAACTTAACAGCTATTAAGATCATCCTCAAGTCTTGGTTGGCTCAGGACACTAAAAGTTTGGATTGTTGACATCACTTTTGATTTGACTACAAAGCATCCAGGTGGTGTTTCAGGGGGTGCCCTCAGACTTGACTGTTAGATTACTAGTACGCATAACTCAGGCAAGGGGGAATCTGCTTAGGCCCTCTGCAGTGATCATGATACCTATTCTTATTAAATATCCTTCTGTTCTGTTAAAAAGTACATCTATTTTTGTTAATTGTTCAATGACTTCCAAGAGTCTCATTTTGTTCCAATACTGAACCTAAACTACCAGAGAATTGGCCTGAGTCAGGCCAGGTGGTACAGTAGATAGAGTGCTGGTCTTGAAGTGGATGGAGTGTTGGGTCTGGTGCTAAGTTCAAATCCAGCCTCAGATGATTCTTAGCTGTGTGACCCTGGAGAAGTCACTGAACCTTGTATGCCTCAGTTTCCTCAATGTAAAATGGATTGTAATAGCACCTACCTCATAGGATTGTTGTGAAGATCAAATCAGATAATATTTGTAAAGCACCTGGCATAGAACTGACATTCAAAAAGTGTTTATTTTGCCCCCAACACCTTCCCTGACCACCACTCCCCTTCATTTGAACCTAAGTGTACTTAGATCAAAAACTTTCCTTACTTTTATATTTGTAACCTCGGATTTAGTATACAGTAGGTAAGTAAGTAAGAAATGGTTTTTCATTCATAATTTTTCAAGTAAATGTTTGATAAGATCATATTAAGATGGTTAAAAATGTAATATACCAGTGAATGTGGCTGATGGTACATTTTGTACACGTCATTCACAACTAAGTAATGTAATGATCAAAAACATTTACTATTTTTTTTTGTAAAGAGTTAAACATTTACATGCTAAATCATTTCCTTGTGCAATCTCAAACTCTACATGATAAAAAATCAATGATGCCTAATGTGCATATATGGCAATCCAAGGCACTCTTCCTCCCAATTATATACTTCACAGAGCAACTTATGGAAAATAAAGATTCAAGAATCAATCTAAGTTTTATTTTCTTAAGAAGTAATTTCAACTTTAGATAATGCTATAGTGTCTACAGCTAGACAGCTAGTCATGCTGTCTAATCAAAGAGACAGTTTAAAGGTAAATGTCATTATTAAAGAAATCTTACCCACTGTGAGCAGATACTCACATAACAATACTACTAAAGTCTAAGGGGAAAAAAAAGATGATATGCACTGAACTTTTGTCATTGGCTATTTCTGACTGGAACTGTAGATGTTACACGTACTTAACAGTCTCAAATAAATTTGACTTAAAAAAAAGATCCAGATTGCGGAAAATAAACTCCATCAATTCTGGTGTTTTTCAAAGTCTTTTAAACACTGACAAATACATTAGAAAATCAGTATGTTTACCCTACTACAAAGTGCTTACTTTGAAGAATGCTTCCATTAGCACTTGGTCTGGGTACATATCCCTCCATGGAAGTTTTCGATACTCATTATGGAAAGCAAAGAGAATAAATTCTGGCATTTTGGGTGCTGTGCATGATTCACAATAATGCATCAAGTGTAGCCGAAGTGCTCCTTCATCACCAGGCAAGAGTTTATCTAAGTTTAAAAAAAATTAGTTTAAAAATATTACAGTTATTGTCCTATAAAACAAAATTACAAAAAAAAAATCAGCTATCAAAAACTCAAAGTTGTAAACGCTGACCAAATTTTGCAGGCTTATTAAATACCTTCTATGTACTGTGTTAAGCACTGGGGATACAATCTAATGACAGAACACAACACATAAAAATAAGCTGAAAAGTGGAAATCAAGAAAGCAGAAGAGGGTACCAGTGGAAGTGATGAGGTATCTGCTCTGGGCCTCTTCCTGTAAATACAGGATCTTGGAAGAGCTCCAGCTCTCTCCTCTCTCCAATCAGAGGGAAGGAAGAAGGCATACAAGAGCAGAGGTGACATTATAATAATGCCAAAGTATGTAAGTTCTAAACCCAACTCTGCTACTTACAACCTGTGTGACCTTAGACAGGTAACAACTGCTGTAGGCCTCAGTTTTCTTATCTGTAAACTGATGAGGTTGGACTTGATGGCCTCTAAGGTCCCTTCAACCACTAAATTTATGATCTTATGATCTCTTCTCACTGAACAGTATTTTTCAAGTGTAGCATAAAGTTGCCTTTAAAATGTAGAGGTATACTGGAAGGCCCTGAATAGAGATACTGCACAAGAATATGCCTCAGGCTCCCATGTAGAAAGCCTTCAGCTAAACCAAATAAGGAGAAGTGTAAAAGCTATGAGGCAGCTGGGTAGAATAGCAGAGAAAGAACTGGAGTCAGGGAGGCCAAAGTTCAAATATGGCCTCAGAGATCCTCCTTATTAGTTGTGTAGCCCGAGGCAAGTCATTTCACCACTGTCTCACTTTTTTCATCTGTATAATTCAGATATTGATAATATGTACCTTACAGGGTAGTTATGAGGATTAAATGAGTTAATATATGTAAAGCACTTAGCAAATCTTAAAGCTGTATATAAATGCTAGCTATGAGAAAATTCTTAGTGAGCACTAGTAATTCTTGGTAAAGACACAGGAGACATGAGATAAAATGGGGGGAAGGGAATTCAGGGGCTATAGATTTCTCCCATGGAGAAAAAGTGGGGAGACAGGCTTAAAAAAAAAAAGACAGAACACTTCCTATGTCTGACTAGAGAGATAAAGAAATTATGCCCTTTTTAGAAAGTTCTATGTCACAGGTTGGAAAGAACCTTATTCATATAAGTCCTACGACAGAAAAGTCCATGGTAGTGGCATTTTTTTGTGGTAGTAAAAACTAGAAACAAAGTGATTACTGATTGACTATAGAATGGCTAAATTGTGGTAAATCAATATATGGAATATAGTTTCTTTTCCTAAGAGACATGAAGACCAGCTAAAGGGAGAGATTTTGTGTGATATTTTAAAGGGGAAGCAAAGTGGATACCAAAGAACAATTCTAAGTCCAAGGGCCAAGGACTCAGAAGCGAGGCCTGTGGACTAAAGTTGGTGCCTGCTGATCCTGCTACCCCCCCATATCTCAAGCCATTGTCCCCTCTTTCACCTCCCCTTCACTGTCAAACATCTAGAAAACAACTCTATACAGTTCCTTTTCTCTACATTCTTTTCTTAAGTGCCATCATCCCCTCCCCCTGCTTCAATTATTTCCTCTAAGGATATGACTCAGAAATCCATCTCACCTCTACTATCACCCCTGAACTTCTGTCTCATGTTTACTACTGTCTGTTGAACATTACCACCTGAATGTCTAATACTTCAAAAATCAACATTCCCCACACAACTCATGTTCTCCCTAAAACCTATGCCTACTCAAATTGTCCCTCTTTCTGCTGATGGTACTACTAGTCTCTCAGTCATAAAAACTTAAAACTTCAGCACAGTCTTCAGTTATGCCTCATTTCCCACATCTAATCAGTTACCAAATCCTCGCAATTCTACCTCTATGATGCCTCTCACACCTTCTTCCCCCTTTCTCTCCACCACTCTAGACAGACTCTCGAAATGATGGTCCCCGGGTGCCATGGCTGGGCTCAGGGTAAGGCCCAACAGTATGTGGACCAAGCAGCAGGGCAATAAGCAAGGCCTGTCCGTTCTCTTTTCCTACCTTTGTTAAGATAAACAAGCATGCTGTCATTGCATATTTATATTATTTCTCACAAAAATTTCGTAGAGAAGGAAGTTAACTTATGTGCTGGTAGTAATTGATTTTTCCAAACTTTTGGTAGTCTCCCCTATTTCAGCTACCTTGAGAATCAAACCTCAATGCCCTAAAAGTCATGCTGTCTCCAGCCCGGACCTCCTCTATGTATTCTTCCACTCTTCCACTCTTTGTTTCCATGAGTGCCATTTTTACTGCTTACACAGCACACTGGAGACCGGATGTTAGAATCCAAATGCAGTGGCTCCACCGTCAGTGACAAAATATTTTATCATACAAATCTTTAAAGATCTTTTCCATTTTTTTCATCTATTGATTATCTTCTTTCCAGTTTCATCCTTAACTACTCTTGAGATGATATGGATTACTTAGGTCTCTTGCTTTAATTTCCTTCATTAATTTTTACAGTTTTATGAGGTAATACGTTATCTTCTATAATCCCCCTTTATATGTTTTTTAAAATGAGTGTATGTTCTACACTGGTGTGGCCCTTGGCTGTCATATTTCTCCAACTGGTAAGCAGATAAAATGTTGGCTGGACAAGACATTTTTGTCTTGTTATGGTGAGTGATTTATTCCAGTTAAGCTTCCTTAGGAAACATGGAACATTTGGCACATTTTTTTCCACTCAAATTTGTTTTCATTCTGTGATCCAAGGCCAAATTAAAACAAAAGAAAACACAAAAAGAACCTCTTTCTCCAGGTCATCCTGGAGTCTTGTGGAAAATCCATGTACCATAGCGCACTATTAGAATGAAACAAACACGCCCAGGAAGATAATGCTTACAATCAAAATGAAATAAAAGAAAGGGTGTGTAGACCAAAGATTAACTGAATGACTTCTATAGAGAGAGAGAAAATTACTGCTGCCATCTACAATTTAGATTTGCTTACCTTTAAAACTTTCATGTAAAATCTCAATACATTCACTGAACAAATGGACCACACTTGAGGCCATGGATGCATCACTTTCCAGCCATGGATAGTAGCGCTGATTGCTTTAAAGCAAAGAAATGAACAGTTAAAAACCAGAGTACCAGCGATTAAATTAGGAGTGGTTCAATTTGCCTGATCTGTGGAAACTCTACAGGAAATAGCCTCATAACATTTAAGGCACATCAAAAGCATTAAGTTGTAAGCCTGTCTAGGTGAAATAGGGATGAGGTCAATTGGGCCACTCCTCTGTTGTTTCACTGTGGTTTAGGGGATTAGCCGGGCACACAAAGCATGTTATCAATAATGTCATCACTTGACATCTTTTGAGTCATTCAGTTTATATCACTGTATCTATTCCTCATGACCATATTTCATATATATGCATTAGCCGTTGCAACATACTGTCCCAGTCATGGGCCAAGCTGAATGCCCTGAAATGGCTAGACTGTCATAAGATGTTCTCTATAGGAATAACTTCTCATATTTGTATAACACTGACTAAATAATTCAGAATGCTCAAAAGGTAAGATGCAAATGCTAAGACAGCCACAATAAATGCCACTTTAGGCTTGCCTAAACAAAGTCAATTTCATACCATGTGGCCACTACCCCACAGAACTTCAGTCACTACATTTTGATTTCCAGAAACTTCTCAACTCTTTGAAAGTACCCTTTAGACAAAATTGGAGTCAGAATTTTAGAATCAAAAGGTACCTGACTCTAGGCATCATCTAATCTAACCTCCAACCCAATACAGAAACCCTCTCTCTCTTCTAGCACCCCTGATAATCATTCTTCTGCTCAAAATATTTTTAGTGACAAAGAGCCTCACTACTCCATAACATCCCATTATAGCTTCAAACATCTCTAATCTCATAAAAGTATTTAAAAATAAGTTTTGTGTACTTATTTGATAAGAGTCATATGTTAAATTGGATGAATTAAAGTTATTAATAAATACTATAGTCAAAATATTAAAGTCATGGCTCTAAAAGAAACATTAACTCATAATACATAAGAATAAATGAGTAATTTCAATATGCAACTTCTGAAACTTCGAAAACCATAAACGTTGGATAGCAGCACCCACCCAAGTAAAGTGAATAGATTTCTTTACTGTGGACAACTGAAAGTGAGTATTCAATTCCATCACTTCATCGTATTACCACAAAAATAGGGGATGAGTGTCAGTAAGCATCAAAGGTAAGAGAAAAGAAAAACAACTCAAAGGGCAATGTCAAGATGGATGATGGGTATCAAGTAACCCACAGGACATAATCAGCAATTATGTAAATGTGTGAAATGTAATAAAAGATATTACTAGGGACATAGCTATAAAAAAAACTTTAAGCTACTTAAATAGCAAGATTGAGAGACAAGAGATGGACAGTTTGAATTGCATACTAATAATCTGCCAAATATAAAACCAAAAACAAGAGGAAGGCCAGTCTGTGTGTTCTGTAGATTCCAAATGAAGTATATACATTAATAATGGACAAGAATTGTACAAGTATGAATGTTTCAATCTGCATCAGAGAAAAACCACACGAGGGAAGTTGTGGACCGTACTAAGCTTTCTAGATAAGAGGCTTCAACATACTACTGAGTTTGAGACACCACTGGGACATCCAGGTGGAGATGTTCAGCAAGTAATCAAAATGTCAACAACAAATTTAAATCACTGTCAAGAAATATTTGTTACACGCCAATTCTGTGGCTATCACATTAGAATGTGAACGCCTCGAAAGAGCAGGGGCTGTCTTGCTTTTTTCCACTGGTATCTCCAATGTCTAGCTCAATTCTTTGCAGTAAGCATTAATAAATTCATCCATTCTTCTGTTTTTGATTAGCTACTATTCTAAAGCTATTAGAGAAAATTCTTTACCTATGATTAATAAGGAATCATTTTTAAAATTTAAGTGTTACAACACTGAAAATGTAACATGGCCACACACTAATCATTGACACTAAAATACCAGGGGAACTTGAAAATTATGACTTTCCTGGGTATTCAAATATCTAAAAAATATATTTACCTTGTATTGTCTTCTAAAACCAGAATCCATGGCTTGAAGAGCTGAACTATTAGTGAATGCAGAGATCTCAACACTAAAATAAGGTACAACAATTTTTAGAGAAGAAAAGGCATAGTCGAGCAATCTCACTCAAAAAATTATTTTAAAAATTCAGATCCTCCTAATCTGAATATCACATTCACATGGTAACCATGTGACTACAGCAGATGACTCATGAGTTAAAGTCAATTAAAGAAAGGAAATACTTTCATCTCTTTTAGTGAAGTTTCATGAAATCAAATACCTATTTTTATTATAATGAAATTTCACTTATATAAGTACCTGGAAATGCAATTTTTCATTTTCCCAGGATGGCTATTTAAACTTCTAGAGCCTTTTGTTCAAAGACAGAAATAGTATGAACAATAAGATAAAGATTAAAATTTTTCATCCTTTTTTGCCCTAAAGGAGGGTCAAAGACAAGCTGTATCAAGCATCCATAATGTATGAATGACTGTAAGGAATGATGAATTTCTCACCCCCACACTATATATTTTCCATCTTTTCCTTCTGACTGATAAGATATACAGCTTCATCACAAAAAAGATTCAAATGTCCTAACAAGTCTTTTCAGATTTCTTTAAAAGAAGGCCAGTAAGTTTGGTTTCATGTTGCACTAAAAGCTTATTACCTGTTCTCCTGTTAGTTAATGTGTCTTGCCCTAAGCAAGCCAATTCAGAGGCAATCAGCCGTTTCACAAGGTACTCCAATAACTTCCTCACATCAGCCACATAAGGAGTCCACTTTGAAAATAATCCAAAACTCTTAAAGTCCAACTTGGATATCCGTAATTTATAGAAAAAATTTGAAAGCCACTGTATTGTCTCCATTACCTGAAAGAATAATCAACAACCAACAACTTTAAGCATTATGGAGAATAAACAGTCTTCTGAGATGGTAAGATAAGTCATACACATATAAAAGATGACTAATAACATAAGATAACATAAAGCATATACTAAATTAATGTTATAAATAATAAGTGTTACTGAAGTTTGGAGATAGAAAGATCATGTTGAATTCAAATGGCTGAGTAGAGATTCATCAGGAGGTTAACTACTCCCTTAAATGTTCAGTGTAGGATTTAAACAAGCAAAGGCAAAGAGGAAGAAAGGGTAAGGGCATTCTAGATACAGGAAAAGGTAGAGATGGGATATCATACGGTGGACAATCAAATAAAACAAAAATGACAATACAAAAAAAGTAGCCTCTTTCATATAAACTGGTTTGCTTGTTCAACCTAAAATTTCAGGAGCATAAAAAACAGAGAAATAGATCTTAGGCCCAAAGATTTAAAAGATAAAAGTTGTATACCTGTTCATCTGACAAGAGAATATTGGGAGAACTTGGAAACACAGGGCTCTCAGTTATAGGAAGTGGACAGTCCCCTTCTTTGCTCTCAGATGACAAGCAGCCCAGAGCATTCAGGGTTGCCTTCCAACATTCAGGACTCAGTAGCTGCTCAGCTGAGCCTTGGGAAAGAAAAAAACAACTCATTATTACTACTAAAATAACCATATTATATACAGGAAAAATCAGCTTGATATCTAGTGGTTATTAAGTGATAATAAATCAGTAAAAAAAAAATCCCCAAACAAACATATTTTAGTTTGCCAGGGCACTGAGATCATAAGATGGATGGATCTGGAATGAACCTCAGAAATGATCTGGTATAATTTCCTCATTTTATAGATGAAAACTGAACCTAGAGAAATTGAAGTCTCTCTGTGAGATGAAGAGTCACTTGCTATAGGTTATCCAGGCAATCGATGAACAAGTATTAACTATATTCGAGGCATGCCAGGTATTGTATTAGGTGCTGTGTATACAGAAACAAAATGAAACAGTCTCTGACCTTAAGGAGTTTATACACTGCCAAGAGAGACACAAATATCTATAAGACAAACAGAAGCTCATTTGTGAGGGAGGCCTCTAGGAACTGTGGAAAAGTAGAAAAGGCCTCGCATAAAAGTGTGATGCTTCTGGTGAGTCTTGAAGGGGAAAAAAAAAGGTGGAAGTGAAGAGGGAGAGCATTCCAAGCATGAGACAGAAGCTGTTTAAAGGGAATGGAAAGTCTTACGTAAGGAACGGCAAAAAAGTCAGTCTGGCTGTACCAAAAAGTATGGAAGCAAGAGTAAGTAGCAGAGACAGGATTGTACCATAAAACCATATGTGAAAAAGTATGTGAATGTGGAATTAACACGGAAATGTTATGACTTCTAATGTTTCCTAACAGTTTGATTTCATCTGGGAATTAATGTTGTCAAGGCTACCCCGGGTTGAAGTGCTGATAGGGTAAGAATCTCTCAGTAGCCTGACCTTGACAAAAGGTCACCAAAATGCTAACTGTTCTCCCACCTAAGGCATAAGGTAAACCTAAGGCTGTAGATGAAAGAGAAGGAATGCTAAGAAACCAAGAGGACAATGAACACAGAGGGGGCTTCTGGAATACATCCTTAGTCAGGAAGAGAAATCAGTTTCATATGAACAGGCAGTTCTCAGATGAAGAAATTAAAGCCATCTATAGTCATATGAAAAAATGCTCTAAATCACTATTGATTAGAGAAATGCAAATCAAAACAACTCTTAGGTACCACATCACACCTATCAGATTGGCCAACATGATAAAGCAGGAAAATGATAAACGCTGGAGAAGATGTGGGAAAATTGGAACACTAATCCATTGTTGGTGGAGTTGTGAAATGATCCAACCATTTTGGAGAGTAATTTGGAACCATACCCAAAGGGCTACAAAAATGTGCATACCCTTTGACCCAGCAATAGCACTTCTAGGGCTGTATCCCAAAGAGATCATAAAAATGGGAAAAGGACCCACATGTACAAATATATTTATAGCAGTTCTTTTTGTAGTGGCAAAGAATTGGAAATTGAGGGGATGCCCATCAATTGGGAAATGGCTGAACAAGTTATGGTATATGAATGTAATGGAATACTATTGTGCTATAAGAAATGATGAGCAGGCAGGAAAACCTGGAAAGACTTGTATGGACTGATGCTGAGTGAAGTGAGCAGAACCAGGAGAACCTTGTACACAGTAACAGCCACGTGCGATGACTAACTTTGACAGACTTAGCCCTTCTCAGCAATGCAAGGATCTAAGACATCTCCAAAAGTCTCATGATGGAAAATGCTATCCACATCCAAAGAAAGAACTATGGAATTTGAATGCAAATCAAAGTATACTATTTGCTCTTTTTTTTCCCTTCTGTTTTGTTTCTTCTTTCTTGTGGTTCCTTCTATTGGTTCCAATTCTTCCTTACAACATGACTAATGTGAAAATATGTTTAATAGGAATGTATATGTATAGCCCATAACAGATTGCATACCATATTGGGGAGGGAGGTGGGGAAGGAGGGAGAGAAAAATTTAAAACTCAAAAGTTTATGGAAGTGATTGTTGATAAATCAAAATAAATTAATTTTAAAAAAGAATGAGAGATCAGTTTCTAAGATGATCAGAGTTTCCTGGTTTTTACTTTCCACATCACTGGCACCTACAGACATACAACTCCATTTCTCCCAAGGGAGAAGTATTAATAAACCCTTCTTCTGAAACTTTAAAATGAAATTACATAGTTCTTGCCTAAGCAGATAAAAAATTTTGATATACTGATAATACTTTACTGTAAACTGATGGAAATGCTGGAAAAAATATGAGCAGAGAAAGTTAATGGCAATGTTTTATATAAATACATTAGGTACAATTCTTTTGAAAATGTGACATAGAAATGGCTTCTCAGAGATAATTTAAAACTCAAAAGCTTATGGAAGTGATTGTTGATAAATCAAAATAAATTAATAAAAATTTTTTTTTTAAGTAATGATATAGGAGGCAGCTAGGTGGCACAGTGGATAGAGCACTGGCCTTGGATTCAGGAGGACCTGAGTTCAAATCCAGCCTCAGACACATAACACTTACTAGCTGTGTGACCCTGGGCAAGTCACTTAACCCCACTGCCTAGCCAAAAAAAAAAAAGTAATGATATAATCAAAGATATCAGAGCAGCCTAGGTAAACAGTGATGAATTGATGCAGAATGAGGTAAAGAGAATATTTGCTACAGCTAAAATGAATAGAAACAAAAACAACACTGAAATATCACCATTCTTTCATTAACTGTTTTCAAAAATCCTAGCCCTTGCCTGGGAAGCAGAAAATGAAAGTTACAGAAACAGAGGTTTGTATATTCTTTCAGATTCAATCATGTTGGTAGGTTTTGCTGAACTGTTTTTTATCTATGAACTATGTATGCAAGAATATATGTATGTATGCATATATCTTTGTATTACAGGGAAATGCTCAATGGTGAAACTGTAAATCTGAGAATGACCAGGTTATAAAGATATAATAAATCAATAAACTTTTTTAAAAAATCTAAAATAAAAATAAGCTTAAAAAAAAAGACACAGGCTCTCATCTTTTTACATTTTTTCCTAAAGTTAAACCCTGTATTACTTTAAAAACAATAGCATGAGAGGCAGCTAGGTGACGCAGTGAATAGAGCTCTGGCCTTGGAGTCAGGAGGACCTGAGTTCAAATCCAGCCTCAGACACTTAACACTTACTAGCTGTGTGACCCTGGGCAAGTCACTTAACCCTGACTGCCTCACCAAAAAAAAAAAATACCACGTATACAGCACATTTCAGTGTTCTTCCACTAGCACAAGTCCAAGGATTTTACATACACACACACCTCAAATCATTGATTTCTTAAAACTGGATTCCCAGGGAACTGAACCACACAAAATTTACAGTCTCAAACTTGTCCCCATTTTGAGTATGTATGCATCATACAATTCAGAAGGATTGGTGCTGCCCCATCCCTAGACCCCAAACAGCTAGTGTACATAGTGAAGGTGATCATTATTTAATACATTATTAAAATTTCACAAAATTCCCATAAAGTGAAATCTCATAGGAAGTTTCCATTCTTCCTTTTCCTCTGCTCCTATTAAAAGCTTTGGGGGAAACAGGACTTTCATGATACTCTTTTCTTGCCAAATATCAATAACTTTCATGAGTGAATTTAATGATCTATAAATTCCATTTCACAATAACAGGAATACAAAGACAAAAATAATACAATCCTTATCTTTGAGGAGCTTGTAGTTTACTGGAAAAGAAAGACGAAATTAATAAAAATGGTAAAACAGATCTTCATTCTCACTTCAAAGGGTAATATGTTGACTATGAGGTAACCTGATAACATTAGAATCAAGAACTAAATATACTTACTCTGCATAAGCAGCCTCAAAATGTCACTGTACTGGTCAGGGAACTGGTACAGAAGGAGATAAGTCCAGTGTTTACAAAAAATATTGAATGACATCAAAATGTCTTCATCAGGTTCAAGGCCCCAGGCAGTAAGTGCCAAATGAATGGACTCCAGGAGCCTGGTACGATCAGACAGAGGAGGTTTAGTGGAGTTTAACCATTGCTTAAGATCGAACTAAAAGGAAAAAAAATAAGAAGGAGTGTTTATTCAGAACAGAAAACTCACTGGGGTAGCACAAAAAGGGTGGGGGTAGTTTGTTTCAAATTTAATTTAAAAGTCAATAAATTTAATGACAACAGTATTTGTTTGCAAAATCTGTGTTGGCTGGGCCAAGCAAATTTTCTTTTGGACTAAATTTGGCCTTAGTCATTCAATCTCTCAAAAGAGTTCAAACCCCAAAGATGTCAATGTTATCAAGAATGACATAATTCCATCCCATTTAGGCTCCTTAACAACAGGGATTATTTTTGTTTCTTATCCTCGCAACCCCAGTAATCAGCAACATGTCTTGAACAGACTATGTGTATTTATTAAGTTTCTCAAATTTAATTTGCTGAATATTTTAAACACGCCACTCCCCTCTGATCAGGAAATAACAATTAACATTTATCTAGTGCTTTAAGGTTCACAAAGCACTTTAAAAATATTACTTTATTTTATTTCTACTGTACAGACAACAACAATAATAGTAATAGCAATAGCCAATATCTACATAGTGTTAACTATGTGCCAGGCACTGAACTAAGTGCTTTATAATCATTATCTCATTTGATTCTCACAACACTCCTGGGAGACAAGTGGTATTATTATTCCCATTTTGCAGATGGGCAAACATAAGTAAAGTGACTTGCTCAGGGTCACACAGCTGGTAAGTGCCTAAGGCAGCTTTGGCTAACTCCATGTTCAATACTCTATCTAGTGATCACTGTGTGGCATGTAAATATTTAAAGACAGTTTTTTTCAAGAGACTGGAAACAAAATGTTTTTTTTTCAAGTGAGAAAGAAGACAGGAGAGTCAATTTCCTAAAATTTTAGGTTTTCATCTTCTATTAACACCTCCAAGGTCTCAGACAGGAATTATTAAAGTTAGAGAGCTCCATCTCCAAGCTATATACCTCTGTGATCTTCAAATCTTGCCATTTATTCATAAATTGATTTAAAATTGTTTTTTGCTGTCTCAATGTTGTACACATTTATGCCAATAATCCTAGAAGGTGTGGATAAAACTACATGATTATTTTTGGACTATGCTGAATACAATACAATCCATAATCAGATTAGTAAAAAATGCTTTCTAATATAATTAAATGAAAGGAACACTACTACCTTGACCTATCATAGATAATCATTTGGTACAGAATGATTAAGGCATCTCTCAAATTAGTACCTAAGGCGCTGAATTTTCATCATACAATTGAAAAGGATCAGTGTTGCTCCAAACTGGCACAACAACCCCTAGGCACCAACAGGCTAGAGCTTAATTTTAAGACATTTTCTCTCCTTGATATGATAAGCTGAGCTCAGTCTCTGGGTCACTAAGAGGTTCAAATTTCATGGATTCAAAAGCTTATAAAGTTGGACCACTGGTAGTAAAACATTTACTGATATGGAATTCATTGGCTCAATAAAACCATTAGTATGGTATAACTGTAAGAGGATGCAAGTTCTTTCAGGAAAAAGACAAACTAACTTAGATGGGCTTTTTGCTGAGGAGACAAAACACTTGACAAATTAAATCATAACTGATGAGGAACTGTTCACAGTTATTTCAGAATATCTTCCCCTAAATGTATTCCGTTGTTATCACTATGGACATTTATAAATCCTTTAAAATATGAAGTGTTAGGAGTTTATGTTTAATATTATGTAAAATGAGTAAGTCCAACATGTCAGTAAGGAATACTAAAGCATCTAACTCCTCAACACGGTTAAAAGTCTGATAGAGACCACATGGATGATGATAGCATAGCAGAAGACATAGCCTCAGACAGACCCCTAGTGTTCTTCTCTACCCTCAAGTTAGGAAAAAGACTAAAGTGTTTATATTATGATAATAACCTCAAGATTTATTAATAATTTACCTTGGTTAGCAGCATGAAAATCATATCACCATTGTCTTCACTTAGAAACTTCACTACTTTTTCATACAAATTTATGAATTCTTCAGGTGCAGCAATTGGAGTAAAGTAAGGAGAGAGCAGAGTACAAAGTCTTCTATTCTTCAAAATCGTCTGAAGCACACGTTTGCACTCCGATTTGGTATCACTGATAAACACCTTGATAAGTCAAAAAGAAGTATACAAAATAGGATTCTCCATTTTTTTTTTTGCACCAACTGAGTTCCCAGGGTAGTGAAATGTCTCAAAGTACAACCTCTGTTAGATCCCGCCATACTAGAGGGTTTTCAAGAAAGGTTCAGATTGAGGGTCTGTCACCAAAGAACTAGCCTCATTCCAAGTTCACAAAAGCTTATCAATTCTAGGGAGGGTCTTTGTGGAGCTATAGCAACTAACGGGGTTGTGAACCATGTGAGTGGGGGCAATATGCCATACCAGAGATGTCAAACTCACAGACAGGAACCTCAAAACTTGGCAAAAATTCTCATAGTGACCTGAGCCAGATTCAAATGTAATTGGTAAATGTCTAACAAAATAAATAAAAGTATAATACATCATAGATAATGTCAATATGTGGCCAGTAGGGATTTATTTCTATTTGGGTTTGACATCACTGCTACATATTGATAAAACAATGGATTGTTCAAACTATGATAGTGAAGAAAGTCACAGGTTAAGATTCCTTCTTTAGAAGCTAAAACCATCAAAGAGATTTCAATAAATATGGCCAGCTCCTGATCATTAGCACTTACTTACATAGGAAAGAAAATGATAATTAATCCATATATTCAGTTTGAAGCTGTAGTCCTATTCCTTTAATCCCTAAATTACATAAGTGTCAGGGAACTTCATAGTGAGCAAATGAACAGCTGATGGTTTGCTAGTCAGCAGAGATCCCTGAATTTTGTACATGTGGGCTCTCCTTCCAGCAATGAGGGCAAGAGGGTAGAAGAGGGAGAGAGTGTAGATGGCTCCTGAATTGCACATGGGTGACTTACATACAGATAATTTTAATAAAATTAATTCTAACTACCTATTACTGTAGTGATATAAACCTGAAATGTTGCGATGTTTATACTGTAGCTAAAACCCAATAGTGAGTTCAAGTAGATTGAAGAAAATATTTTCTACATTTTATGTGATATAGCTTTTTTATTATGGATTTTGGGAAAACTCTGTAGGATTACTTTTATAATTAATATGTAGCCTTGGTGACCTCATCTTTTTCTCAACTATGTTTTAAGAAAGAGAAAGGCAAACCCTAAATTATAAAAATTAAAGTTGAAAAATTAATGGTGAAAAAATGTTGCTTGTTAATAAATATTAACAGACCTGAATTTAAATATGAATTGTACAATGTCAATGAGCAAAACAGTGGCTTATTTCACCTTTTTTTTTTTTAACAAACTTCAGATGATGAAATTATAAGTCTTTTCCTTCCCTGGTATCCATTGGTTCTGTGCAATAAGCTAAAAATAGCAAACTGAAATTTACTTCATTTATGATTCTGAAATATTTACAAGGAATCTCAAGTATGCAGGGAAAAAACTACCTATACTTGAAGGAACTATGAACAATTTTGTTCCTTGGTAATGAAATTCAATATAGAAAATTTTCAGAGTAGTATTTTGTTTTTTAACTTGAGTAGAAGCAAAATATTAGCTATTAAGTCTAAAGTCAACACCAACTTTACCTAGTTGACAAGCACATGGTATCAAACAATGAAAATTCAGTAAATAAGAATCTGTGAGATACATTTAGATTAAACTTACTTGTCCTAAGATCTCAATGCAGGAAGTAAAGAACTGCCTTGTAGGAGGGTGACGTTGTGTCTCATCACATACATACTCCACAACTGTAAAGAAGAGGCTAATGCCAACTTTCTGAATACCAGGTGTAGGCTGTAATTTATAGGCATTCACTAAGGCCCTGTTGAAAAATTTAAAAAAAAAACTGATTATCTACTGATAGAAAAATCACAATTCATAATAATCTTTTCTTATGTTCCTTGCATTATTTTCTCCAGCACAATCTGTTCAGGTAGTTTAAGGCTCTCATAGATAATTTCACTCATTCCATGGGGGCAATTATTCACCTACCCCATTTTCATGATGACTTTACATGTCATCTTTTGAGCATCTATGAATTTCTGGTTCTTCTAGGACAAGTTCAACCTTAATACAAACAAACTCTAATTAACCCATTTTTCCTACTCTCAACTTTTTAACCGAATATTCTACATGTACCATATTCATTATTCAACTACATATTAGCTACAAAATGTCATATGATCTTCACTCTTAACTCTGAAGGTCAGGTTCTCTGGTATTCTACTATATTGTTCCAAGTATGTATATAAAAGAAAAATCAGTTTTTAACTTAAGAATTGAATCCTCAGTGTTGCATTGTAAGCAGTAAGAGAATAAAAGGTATGTTTTCATTAAAAACTTATTTATTCTCAGAGTTTACAAAATGGGCTCTAACTGCCAGATTTGGAGCCAAAAAACTTGGGTTCCCATCCCAGCCTCGCTATTCACTCTCTTCACGACCCGCAGCAAGGCACTCAGCCTCCCAGAGCCTCAGTTTCTTCATCTACAAAATGAGGTTGCACTCAGTGACCTCTAAGGTCCCTTTCTAGCAGTTCTGACTCTCTTAAACATTTCTGCTACAAACTTTGTTTATAGCATATGCAAGTGGCCTGAAATAATTTACAAGGCACTCTGAAAATATAAAGGAAAGATACTGTAAATGCTGTAACTGAAAACACTAATTAAGGTCAGGTGATATTGTTTATTAATGCAATATAGCATTTATAAATAAGCTACTAAAGTAAAATTTAGAGTAAAATTCTTCTGGGAAGTAGACTTAACGATGTCTTAAAAACTTACGTAATCAAGTTCTCAGCATGCACGGCTGCTTCTACAATATTCTGTGATGGCGGCTTGGAGGCTTCTGCTTGTAACTGCTTCACTTCTTTACGTAAAACATGCAGTTGCTGGCTAATAGCTTCATTCTTATGCTTACCTTCAAACTGACAAAAATTTCAGTGACTTCAGTAAAAGAATGTTGAAAAAAGAATTGAACCTACTTATCTCCTGCCTTCCCTAATCTCCCACCATTTCCAAAGCTGAAACTGATCACACCCTCATCTGAGCTCAAAGAACTCTATTTTTCATCTTTTTTGTGGTTATAACTGTCTAGTTTTCATGGTAGTTATTTTTACACGTGTCCCCTCCCATACTAGACTATAAGTTCCATGAAAGCAGGGACTGTGCCTTATTTGTTGTTGTATAACTCTTGCCATCTAGTATGATGCTTTGCACACAGCAAGACCTGAATGATATTTGTTTAATGTTAATGGAAACAATTAAACAGAAGTGGGTAATAAGAGGAAGGCATTAAGGAGGACTGTGAAAGGCTCCTTCCCCAGAAGGTAAGACTTCAGCCAAAACTGGAAGAAAGCCAGGGTAACCAAAAAGAGGAGATGAGGAGGGAAAGAGTTCCAGGCATGAGGAAAAGCCAGTGAAAATGCATTTGGGAAGAGGGAATGTTATGTGCAAGGAAGAACAAGAAGGCCAGTGTCACGGCCCATAGTTTACATGGAGGAAAATAAGTTGTAAGAGAACTACAAAGGTAGGAGGGAGCCAGGTTATGAGGGACTTTAAAAGCCAAACAGAGGATTTTATACTTGATCCTGAAGGGAATAAGGAGCCCTTGGAATTGAATAGGAAATAGCCATGACACGAGTTAGACCTGTGGTTTAGGAAGATCAGTTTTACAGAAAGGGGAGGACAGACTAGAACGGAGAGCTGAGGTGGGGAGCTTACTGTAATAGGCCAGGCATGAAATTAGGAGGACTTGCACCAGGGATGGGGCAGTGTTAGAGAAGAGGGTATATCTGAGAGATGTTATAAAGGCAGAATGAACAGGATGACTTGGTAACTGATTGGCTATGGAGGGTGAGAGTAAGGAGTCAAGGATGACATCTAAGTTGCAGGTCTAGATGCCTAGGAGGATGGCAGTACTCATAGCAGTAAAAGAGAAGTTAGGAAGAGAGGACAGTTTTAGGGAAAAGGTAATGAATTCCATTTGAGACATGCAGAACTTAAAGATGTCCATGCAACATCTAGTTCAGCATGCCTAGTAGCAGATAGAAGATGGGAGACAATATGTCAAGACAGAGGTTAGGGCTGAAATGTATAAATAAGTATTGCCTCAGATGTGTCTTGGGGATACGTGTGCCTTATCAATCTCTAGTTTAAACCATACAATAATACTGTAGAATAGTGCAAATTAGGCCATTTTACAAAAAAAAAAAGGCAAACAATTTAACAGAGATTGATGAGACATTTAACTTTTAGAAGTCCAAATTTGTCATTTTCCCATATTGTTCCCACCACTGTATCCAGTTCTTTTCTATTTTTTGACTGGATAATTCAACCCATAATTACAATTAGTTTTAAATAACAGAACAAAAGAAGGACTGGAAGTCACTTTACTTGAGTCATTTACAACCACCAAGAAATTCAGAAAACTAGGAAGAAGAACCTAAGAGGTGATTCTAAAATGGTGCAAAGGGGACTAGAAGTTAATTTCCATATCTAGGGTGTAAGTATGAACCAACCCTTCACATGACAGTAAATCAAACACTGCAACACAATACAAGAATGCAACACAAGGCAGACAGCCACAAAGTCATGTGTTTCCTTAGAGAAAGTCACGGAATCATCAGGAGCTTCTATTAGGAGGGGACACCAAATGAGAAGCACATTCATTTTCCCATGAAATGTGTTCAGCTTTTCTCAGCCTAAAATAAACCATATGCATCTGCAGAAATCTGGAAATTTTCAAGGCTCCCCTTGCCACAAAAATTATTAATGAATCAAGTAATTTTAGGACTCAATGAGAAGTCTAAAATAAACTATTAAATGAACCTTTAAATATTTTTAAAATATAAACTATATAATAAGGGTTCTTAAAGCAGGTAAAGCAATCCCAAGTCTCCAGATGGCATATATTCCTAACCAGAATACTATCTCTACAGAAACACAAGATGAAAATAATAATGGGTTTTTATACAACCCTATAAAGTTTACAATTCTCATTTAAGCCTCACAAAAAATACTGTGAGATGAATATTAAAGGTATTATTCCTCATCTCATGCACAAAGGAAAGTTGCCTTCAGAAAGGAAGTCAAGTGACTTGCCCATCCTCACTCACCTAGTGTAAGTGACAAAGGAAGACAGGGACCTTGGTCTTCTAGCACCCAAGTTCAGCACTCTAACTTCTAAGATATGCTGCCTTGTAATCATGTGCCTTTATTTTCACTGCTTTCTCCCTGCTATCATTTGGATGTGTGGAAGCATAGTGAAGATACCTGAGAATGTCAATCAGCATTCAAAAGAATTTTTCTGGGGGAAGCAACTGAGAAATTTGAATTCTGTGAGAGGAGAGCAGCTATTTATCAGCTACTCCACTAGTACTTGACTGCTCACTAGCAGAACAAATGGCCTAAAGCTCCTTTCCAACTTCCACAATGAAATCACAACTGAAAAGTCATCTTCAAGTATTACATGATCAGGTATGTTACTTACAGAGGGTAATAGTTAAATGTGTAAGTACTATCTTTTCATACAATAAAAGTAACTAACTCATATTTACATAGAACTCTAAGGTTTACAAACAGTAGTCCTTGGAGGTAGATAACACAAGTGTTACTATCCCCATTTTACAGATGAGTAAACTGAGGTTCATCAAGATTAAATGAGTTGCTAGTGGTCATACAGCTATTAAAAGTCAAAGTTGAGGTTTGAATTCAGGTCTCCCTGTTTCATGTACAGCCCTCTTTTCATTACCCCATGATGATGTAAGATATATTCTAAGAACCCTGGCAGGGGCTGAGGGTATAGAAGGTGGCCACTGTCAGAACAAAACCAACCAACTCAATAAACATTTCTCAAACCTCATAGCAAGCAAAATTTGAATCTTTTCCCTGAATTTGTCTTAAAAGAAAACTGCTAACAGATACTAGGATAAGTTTGCCTCTAATTCCCATCTCTACTAAAAAGCACAAAACATTGGTCTGGACAACACTGAGTTAGAGGTTTCTATGCATTTGCACAAACAAGTCTAGGACACTAAGATTTCCATACTAGAAAAATAAGATGAAAAATGTATATGTATGTTGGGCAAACTAAAGCATGAATCTGAACTCACAGTTCTCAGTTAGTCCGTCAGCATATAAATATGTAAATTGTCTAATTCCAGAATTAATCAGGACAAAATCTGACTGGATCATACCAGAAGTTATACAATGACTTGATTACAATATTCTCACCGTCACAAAACTTATCTTTTAAATAGCAATGATTTCCTAATGGAGCTATAATGGCTATGAATAATGGTAGACTATGAACTTGGAGAAATCAAAATCACAAAATTTAAAAGAGATATATTATATATAATTGTAGGCATAAATAAGATGCTATGTAGTAACAAAGATGACCTGCAAGTGAGAAGAGGTATAAAAGATATGTCTGAAGACATGTAGGACAAAAAAAAAAAAAGAGGTGGCACAGTCATGCTGCAAAAATGAGAGGCAATTGATAAATCAAATGGCACTTTGATATCCCAGAAATAACCAACAGAAGGCCTCTAATGTATTTGGTAAATGTTCTATTGAAAACCCATGGAACTACCTAGGCAAAAGGACATGGAAAGGTTGCAGTCTACATCAGTGAAAGAATACTCACCCAGATGATATCACAGCTCTATCACAGTAGCTACATGGGTTATTTATAGGCTACCCATGAATGCAGTAAAAATGCATTTGGACAGCAGGTAAGCTGCTCTCTTCAAAAACTCCTTCAACTCAAGAACTATTGAGTGCAATAGAGCCATTGACACTTCTATTTCTGCCTATTTAATTCTGCCTAGAACTTGTCATTCTAGTTTGGGAAGATGATTCTGAAAGGCAAGTAACATTTCTAATTCAACAATTCTTTCACTTACATTTCCAATACATCCTGCAAATCACTACCAGATCCTACATTGCTTCAATCATTAATTCATTATTTATTTTTCTTACTCTTCTGCTCACATATTTTCAGTGACTCCCCATCAACTAATAGGCTATGGTCTATATTCTTTAGCCTAAAATTCAATGCTTTCTACAATTCAGACCTTATCTAGCTTTCCAATTTTATCTACAGCTTCTCCCCTAGAAGCTAGGCCAACTAGCCAGGCGTACTCGCTGGCCTTGGCTCATAATATGTATGTTTTCACCTCTGTGCCTTCATTCATTGCCTTCTCACCATTTAACCAAATTATCATGTCTCCAAATCTTTCAAAGTTCAGTTTATGCCCCACCCCTTTCATGAAACTCTTCCTCTGAACTCTCATGCTACATATTGTCCACAGCTCTTGTGTGACATTTCAATACAAGCCATGTGATTAATTCTATGTCTTCCGAAATACATATTAAAGTTCTTGCAGACAGTTTTATTCCTTTGCATTCCCCACAGTGCTAGGTACATTATAGACACTGAGCAAATATCTGTCAGATGAATCAAATGAAACTCGCTTTTACCTGAACTGTGACAACAGCTGCTCCCTGGCACTTCCTGCCACTGCTGCCCCGACACTCCAGATGCAGCGTGATCTGCTCTTCTCGATTAACATACTGTTTGGGAATGGCATCCAACAGCTCACTGTCCAGAGCAACTTGCTGGGACTCCCGAAGGGCTGCAGTTCTGAAAAACACCATCAGGACATCGAATAAAGCACTAGCAAAAATGTACACAAAGACAAATGCTGATCATCAGGCCCCCCCTGGGGCTACTCTTAGTGTACCCTCAAGGAACTCAGGAGGACAGACATGGCTTCCAACAACTTTTTAATCAAAGACTAAAGGGACTTGCACGAGGGTGAACAGAGATTCACAATCACAATCTCTGCCTTCGTACATAATTTTGCTGGTTGACATTAAGCTAACAGTCAGTAGGTTATTTTTCCCCCTTTAAAAAAATTGAGAGGAGAAGCTAGGTGGCACAGTGGATAGAGTACCAGCCCTGGAGTCAGGAGGACCTGAGTTCAAATCCGGTCTCAGACCCATAACACTCACTTAGCTGTGTGACTTTGGGCAAGTCACCTAACCCCAAATGCCTCACCAAAAATTAAAAAAAATTGAGATATTTGCCCTTAATCCCCCTTTTCCAAAATTCTGAATCTCCCAGAATTTGCCAGATGTTCCTCTTCTAAGAGAAAATTCCACCAAATGTTTGGATAATTCAAGTCCACATTGCTACTACATTCGGTCTATTTGCTAGATCTATGATGCATTCATATACTTTATCTTGCTGGGCAGTCATCAGAACAGTATATAATCTCACTGTAATATCATTTAGTGTAGGCAAGTAGGTGGCCCAGTGCACCAAGCCTGGAGTCAAGAAGACCTAATTCAAATCTGCTCTTAGACACTTACTAGCTGTGTGATCCTGGACAAATCACTTAACCCTGTTTGTCTCAGTTTCTTAATCTGTAAAAATGATCTAGAAAAGTAAAGTTGTATCTTTGCCAAGAAAATCCCAAGCAGGGTCACACAAAGAGTCAGATACAACTGACACAACTGAACAACCAATCACTTACATTCCTCTCTCCTTTTACTCTCGCCCAAATGCTTTCCATGCTGCTTCCTCTAAGGTTTATTGAAGTCTATTAAAAAAATACTACCTTCCTGAGCTACACTACCATTGTGGATCCCCTCTATCAGATCTATTTCTTATGAACAAGATATATACTTCAATTGGCATAGTCTATTTATAAGTTTCATCCCACCAACTCTTGGTGAAACCTATGAGGCAATTTTATCTCCTTATCTTAAAAACTCAATTTCATTCTATTTATACACAGTGCATTGGTATTTATGCATCTAAACCCATTAGTCTTATTTCTAACCATGTTTCTAATTATTTCTCTTCTAAATAACCAGGCAACATATATAGTATGTTGACAGACAACTTTAGCAAAAAGTCTTCAAGAAAGGAAGTCTTTAACTTAGAGTAAAATAAAGACTATAAAATGATGAAGGCTGGCTCTTTTCTAGTGGGCAAAGTGAAGTTATTCTGTATATGGCCCCTTCTTACAAAAATGTTGCTCTTTGTCCATCTTGTAAGATGTCCCCTTAAAGGAAGGAAGAGAGAAAAAGCATTTATACACATCTAACATATGCTAGGTGTTGTGCTAAGCATTTTTTACAATTATTATCTTATTTGACTCTCACAACCCTGCACGTTAGTAGAGTATGAGTGGAGACAGCATGGGGTAATACGGATAGAAAGCTGACCTCAGAATCCAGAAGACCCGCATTCATATCCTTCCCACTTGTGCCTCAGATACATCCTACAGGCTGTATGACCTTGGACAAGTCACTTAACATCTCAGTGCCCCAAGAAACTTCCTAAGACTATAAACTGTAGAGACAGTGCACCTTACTCAACTTTTTCATTCTTGTAAAAGTGTTTTGGTTTGTTTTTTTTTTTACCTAGGACAAATTAGTAATAAGAATTTTTTTAAAATCAAGACAAAAATCATTTTTTATAACATTTGTCTTCAAATAATATTCACTATCTACTAATGGGTAATCTACATAAAGATACAACAAAGAACAGAAAAAAAATATCAGAAAAACTGAGTTAGCTTTAGTTGGCATTCGAATTGTTACCACTTGAAACATACTAAAATGTACAGTCCCTAAGAATGTGTGCAATATTACTTCAGTTTTCTAAAAGAAATGAAGAGATTTGTCACAACCTGAGTGCTTAAACTCAGTTACTCAAATCTGCTTGGTCAGTGCTCCCAGGCTGAGCCACTTCAGGTGCTAAATCATTTGGGCTATGTGAGTAGTATGAAGAAGAGAGACATTTCAATTCATCATCTTACTTAGCATGCTGCTGCAAGAGATTCAGGTCTGGGCGTATAAGCTGCATAGTTTCTTTCTGATTGAGCAAACTAGTTGAAGAAATGATGGGCACTGGAGCTTTCAGTGCATGCAGAACAAGGGGAGGATGAGGAGCCTCATGTTTCTTCAAGTTACTCAAGATCCTCTCTTTGGCTGAAAAAAAAAAGAATCAAAACCAACAAATCTTAACTAAATATGAAGCAAATGACAACAGAAGGTGTCTTAACATTACTTTCTATCATTAAGAATCATGTAAATATAAAATACCTGTCTGAATACAAATCATCAGAATGAGCAAATGTAATGTTTTCTGACTCAGTCAACAAATCCTATATGAGCAGCCACAAGGTAAAAAGCATGTTAGTAGAAGCTCAGAAGTCTGCGGTTAAAAATTAACTATGACCTCATTTCCAAAAAATGTATAGTTTAATCAGAGGCAAGATAGGCCAAAAAGGGGGCACATATAGATAAACGCAATAATTGTAAAAATATTTTGAAGTGGGAAAGGAAGAAAGAATGTAGGAAAATTAGAAAATGGCTGGTGTTTAAACTTCATGGACTAAATGGGCACAAAGGGAAAGAAGTGTTCTGTGGCATGTGACTGTCTAGAAAGATTCCTGAAAGCAGAGTTGGAAAGACTAGTTGCACAGGCATAGAGTGAAAAAATATGCCTGAAACAGAACATGAGGGTCATGGGTTATAAAAGATGAGTTCACAGCCTTTAGGAGGGAGAGGGAGAGAAAGAGATAGAGAGATTGAGAGAGAGAGAGAGATCGAGAGACTGAGAGAGAGAGAGAGAGAGAGAGAGAGAGAGTCAGTCATAGCCTTTAAGGACAAAGTCTGAAATTAATTCAATTAGATATTTGTTATTAAACATTTACTATATGAAAAACATACACTAGGCACTAATGAGCTATAAAAAGTAAAGCAAAATAAATGACAATAGCTACACTTCCATTTATATAGTGTCTTACAATTTAAAAAGCCTTTTTCCTCACAATCGTGTGCTATGTCATCTCGGATCCATGAAGATATGAACATGTAATATTACAGCACTTTAAAATTGTACAATACAAGGTAGCATTTAACTGTGTATCTTGTTGTTAAATTTGTTTCCTAAATATTGGTCTAGAGAGCAAACTTCTTGAGGTCAAAGATCATATCATATACCTCTATGCCTCCATAGCTCCTAGCACAGGGCAGAGTACACTGTAGTACATTTAATAAATGCTTATTGATTGATTTACAATTTTAGGAAAACTATAAGATCACAGATTTAGCATAAACAATTCTCTGAAACACAATTGTAGCTCTGAATACATTTATACCAAGTCCAAAAAAGATTTGGTGATAATAAGTGATATTTCCAAGAAGAAAAGGGCCAGATCTGGAAAATAATTCTATGGAGAGAGACAAAAGGATTTGTCATACGGAGATCCTGGGCTTGGGGAATATATAATTATGAAAGTCAGGTAGTAAGGAAGGCTTATATGAGAAAGGTAAGACCTCTGTATGACACAGTCAGTCAAAAAATATTTTTTAAGCACATGCCATCAAGTACTATGCTAAGTGTTAGGGACACAAAGAGAGACAAAAAACAATTCCTGCTCCCAAAGACCTCTGTCTAACGTGAAAAAACATGCAAACAGCTATACAGAAACAAGTTATACATGGATATATTAGAGATAACCAGTAGAGGAAAGGCATTAAGATTAAGGACTGTGAAAGGTATCTTGCAGAAAGTGGGACTTCAGTTGAGACTTGAAAGAAGTAAGGAAAGGCAGGAAATGGAAATAAGGAGGGAGGCAGTACCAGTCATGGGGGACAGTCAGTGAAAATGTAATCAGGAGTTGGGAGATGGAGTATTTAGTATAAGAAACAGCAAGAAGGCCAGTGTCACTGAATCATAAAATATATAGATGGGTATAAGATGTAAGAAAACTGGAAAAATAAACAGGTTATGCAGGACTTTAAAAGCCAAACAGAGCATTTTATATTTGATCCTGGAGGTAACAGGGAGCCACTAGGGTTTACTAAATGGAGTGGGGGCACGTGACACAGTCAGACCTGCACTTCAGAAAGATCAGTTTTAGAGGTAGTAGAGGATGCACTGGAACGAAGAGAGACTTGAAGTAGAGAGTCCAATCAGCAGCTATTGCAACAGTACTGGCAGGAGGTCATGAGGGCCTGCACCAGGATAGGAGCAGAGTTAGAAGAGAAAGGGACATACATGACAAATGCTACAAAAGTAGAATCAATAGGACTTGGCAACTAATTGAATGTAGGGTAGGGGAAGTGAGAGAGAATGAAGGATTCAAGGATGACAGATCAGTTGTAAGCCTGTGTGACTAGGAGAATCGTAGTGCCCTCCTCCACAATAATGGGAAAATTAGGGAAAGGGGAGATCTTGGGAGGGGAAGATAATAACGTTTTGGACATGAAGAGAATTTAAGATATCTGTGGGTTGGAGATCAATCTGGAATTATACCCAAGGAATCTGTGTATACCCTGTGACCCAGCAACACCACTATTAGGTCCCAAGGTGACCAGGGAAAAAGGAGAAGTACCTAAATGCTCTACAATATTTATAACACCTCTCTTTGTGGTGGCAAAAACTGGAAACCTCATGAGAGGATGCCCATTAAATGGAGAATAGCTAAACAAGTTGTGGTATATGATTGTGATGTAATACTATCGTGCTGCAAGGAATGATGAGCTTGATGATCTCAGAAAAACATGGAAAGACTTGCATGAAATAATGAAAAGCAAAATGAGCAGAACCAAGAAAACTGTTGCATACAGTAACAGCTATATTGTTCAAAGAATAACTGAACAACTAAGTTATTCCGGGTATCACAAAAACTCAAATCAACCACAGAAGATCTATGAAGGAAGATGCTATCCACCTCCAGAGCAAGAACTGATAAACAGAAGTATGCATAGTATGGTTTTAGAACCTAAAATGTAACAATAAATAAATTAATTAAATTAAATTTTAGAAAAAGAACAAGATGTTGGAATAAGCAGTTGAAGATGCTGAGGCTGGAAGTCAAGAGAGAGGTTAGGGCTACTGAAACAGATCTGAAAATCATCTGCATAGAGATGATAATTGAAGCCATTGAAGCTGTGAAAATCATCAAGTGAAATACTAAAGAGGGAAAAGGAAAGAGAGCCCAGAACAGAACACTGGAGGACCCACCTGGTTAGCAGGTGTGACCTGGATGAACTCACCATAGTGAATGTGAAGTGAGCAAACACTGTCATTTCCTAAAGTCAGACATTAAACAAATTCTAAAATCTTCAAAAAAAACACAAATATTTATTGAGCTGGTCACTATGTGCCAAGTATTGTAATATTTATAATTACTGGAAGGAGAAGAAAGACTCAGGGATAAACAAATCTGGAAGTCATCCAAATACAGGTTAAAGAAAAATAAATGAGTTTCTCAAGACTGAGTATAAAGACAAAGTATAACATGGGATCCAAGATAGAGTCTCGGTAGACATACATTCAGAAGTGAGAGGAGCTAGTTACAAAAAATCTCCAACAAATATTTCATTTTTAAAATGTTTTTTGAAATAATAGAGAAGGGAGAGTTCAAGGCAATTTCAAGTCAGTAAGTGAAGGCAACAATTACTTATGAAATGCTTTCTGTGAAACTTTACTTTTGTCCCAGATGGAGCTCTATTTTCTATTCTTTTTGAGAAGCAGAAGGAAATTTTTGTTAAGTATGACTCTATTGGCATAAAGGAAACTGTATTGTTTATGCCCTCAAACAACTAAAATTTAATGCTCTCTGTTACCCTTATGTTAAGCCAGTATTTTTCCACTGAACAGCACACTAAGACATCACAATATGAGCACAATCATCAATGGTCTAAAGCTCATAACTAGTCCCATGTTAAAAGTTTTCCTTCTTCTAAATTAGTAAGGTCACTTGAACACAAGTTAATAAGAGGTCAACAGGAAAATTCTGGAACAATATGACTTATCAAACAAAGGAATTTAAATCCTAAATGTAATACTGACAGAATAGGAGATGTTCTATCTCTGAATTCATTCACCTACAATCATTACTCTTAACTACTCTTCATTAAATTGTTAGCTCCTTGAAGGCAGCTCCTTTCTGCATCACCAGCACTTAGCACAGTGCCTGACATGTAGTAGGGATTTCATGAATGTTTACTGATTGACTGATCAAACTATAATTTTTAAATGTTATGAAGCAACAAATGTCAATTAAAATAAATAAACATGATGGCTGAAAATTCATATTTGCAACATTCTTGTTTTAAGGAGGTGGGGGGAGAGGGGATAAAGAAAGGAGCAAAAAAATTACAATTTCATTGGTATAGGAAACTTCAAATGAGGAAACTACCACTACCACTATGGATCAGCACCTGCTGAACAATTTAGGGTCTTATGGAGTGCCTGAGGCACTGCTGTAACTACTATTAGTTGATTTGTGCCTGTAGTCAAAACCCAAGGTCATCCTTTGATCAAAGTTCCTTGTCAAGGTCAGTTCTATACGTGCATTCCTCTACACCCCATTCCAAACAACCAATTCTATCTTTACTGTGTTAAACATGTCCAAGTCTCTTCCTTCCTTAAAATATCTTCACTAGACTTTTCCATCCCCTCAAGCTATCATCCTTTATCTCTTTTCTCTTTCTTAATCAAACTCCTTGAAAACATTATCCCCACTCATTGCCTTCAAAACCTCTACTCTCAATCTTTTACATTTTGGCATTCACCTCCATCACCCAACTGAAAGTGCTCTCTCTAAAGTTACCAATGATACACTGATTGCCAAATCTCAGCATTATCCTCTACTCCCCCTCACTCCACATATCTAATAAGTTGCCAAATTTTGTCTTTTCTTCCTAAATATCTCTTACATTTGACCTTTTCTCTTTACCTTCTACCACCTTAGTCCAAACCCATATCACCTCTTGCTTAGATTATTGCAATAACTTTCTAAATGGTAACCCTGCCTCAAATCTCTCACCATTCTGGTCTATCCTACATACTCCTATCAAAGTGGTTTCCTTTAAGCACAAAACTGACAACATCACTACCATCACCACTATCACTACCTCAAAATTCAATAAATTCCAGTGGTTTCCTATTGCCTCTAGAATTAAAAAAAAAAACATCCTCTATTTAGCTTTTAAAGTCCTATACAATATGAACCTCCAATCTCCCTTTCCAGTCTCATTAGACACTATTTCCACACACACACATATATACACTGTGCTAAGCGCTACCAAATTGACCACCTCTGTGTTTCTCATTTACAACCCTCCATCTCCTTTCTCTATGCCTTTGCAATGACCATACTCCTTTCTTCCCTCCACTTCACACAGTCTCTCTCTCTCCTCCTTCAAGATGTAGCTCAGCATCTTCTGCATAAGCCTTTCTTGAACTCCTTATTAGTGCTCTCTCACTAGCTATCTTATATTTAACTACTTTGTATGTATTTGTATTTATTGTATTTATTAACTTGATAATTGTGTGTGTGTGTGTGTGTGTGTGTGTGTGTGTACTTGCTATCTTCCTCATTTAGAATACAAGCTTATTAAGAGTAGGAATTGTTTCATTCTCTGAACTTGTCTCTCCCATGCCTAGCACAATGCCTAGCAAACAGTAAAGCCTTAAAAAATACTTGTAGACTGACTGGGAAATAAAAGCCATCATTTATGAGTAGTTTCCTCAAAATAACAACAAAATTTCCCAACGTTTAAGTAGCAAACAAAAAAAAAATTAACTAAGAATACTAAGACTTACTCAAGTATTTAAATAATAAATTATACAGAATAGAAACCATTTTAAAATACCTCAAGTTTTATAATGCTGTCATAATTTACATTATCAAGATAATCTCAAAGCATAAGCAATTAATTAAAATTAATTAATTGGAAGTACAAGCAACAAAATAATCTTCTGAGGTCTAAAATGCATTAAGTCCTATACTTTGCCAAGTACCACTAACTACTTCAGTCTTGCAGCATACTGCCAATATTCCCTTGAAAGAGTTGTAAACAAGAAGGCAGAAGACCTGCTACTAACTAGCTATGTGACCTTGGGCAACTATTTGATCTTCCTAAGACTCAGTTTCCTCATCTTTATATCAGAGATAATAATATATATTATCTACCTCATTGAGTTATTGGGAGTATCAAGTGAGATAGATTATTGAGGAAAATGCAAAATATTACACAAGTATAAATTATTATCATTGACAATGATAATAACAAAAATAAAAGATCAGAAAACCAAGTCTTCGTTAAAAAGACTTGCCCACAATATAACAGAGAACAGAACTACTCTACTCACCAATCTTTTCCTCTCAAAATAACATCTTTGAACAATCTATATAAATATGGGGTGGGGATGGGGGGGTCTTTTTGGCTTTTGGTGAGGCAATTGAGGTTAAGTGACCTGCCCAGGATCACACAGCTAGTAAGTGTGAAGTGTCTGAAGTTGGCTGAACTCAGGTCCTCCCACTTCAAGGCCAGAACTCTATCCACTGTGCCACCTAGCTGCCCCGAAATCTATATTCTTAAGAGATGAAAAAAGTTCCATAAGGTTTCATAGGATAAAGATTAGATGTTTTCTGGTCAGGTGAGGTTTCAAAAAATTCCAAAAAAGGTGATTATTATTTGGAGATCATATTAAGCAAACCCCAAGCCCCCATGGTTTTGAAGAAGTTCATGATACCCACCTGACAAAGGATCAGTAAAATCCATCTGCACTGACAAACTGCTGGGTGTGGAATAAGATTCAAGTTTTACTTGAATCCAAAGATTGAGAGCTTCCTGAAATTCATGACGGATACGTTCCATGTTCAAATATTCCATCCACAAATCCTGGAATTGAACCACAATACAACTTTAACTTTAGAAGACGAATCACTATATATTTATAAGTTGTAAAACTTATTATATTTAAATGTACATAAGCCAATCGTTTAAAAAAATAGGCTCTTTAAAAAGATCTCACTCAAAGCTCCCTAACTTTAAAAACGGCCATATTTTAAATTCCCACCCAATCAAAAACCTCAGAAGTAGGACATCTTTCCTATAGCACACTAAATCATTTCTGATTTTTTTTTAAAAGGAAAAATGTAAAACATTCACTATCACTTCGGATGGTAGAGTCAGGATGCCTCAGAAATAAAATCGCAGGCTAGACCGTAATTGCTAGAAAAATTAGAGCTAACAACAAATGTCTTCCATTGCAATGTTTGTGCATGTTAACCACGTAAATGCACATCATCAATAGGAGACAGCATCATAGAATGGAATGAGCAGACTTGGAGTCCAATTACATGGGCTCCAATCCTCACCACATGCCACCAATGTGACTGTGGACAGGTTAGTTAGTCTCTCTGGGCCTCAGTTTCCTCATCTATAAGACAAAGGGAGTGTACCCTCCAGGTGTAGGTCAGCAACCCAGGAAGCTCCTACAAGCCTAGGACTTTTTCAATTCTTGGTGAAAAATATTCTCACAAAATCCTAAGTCATTAAAACCCTTCCCAAGATGTACAAGGTATTCTAGACCAGGGATGTCAAACTCAAGTAAAAATGGATGGATCCTTGTGGGCTACATATTGACTTAGAAAACTACAAAGTAATGTTTTATTGCATTTTTATTTGTTAAATATTTCCAACTACATCTTAATCTAGTTCGAGCTACCCTCGAGAGCTTTGCAGGCCACAAGCGTGAATCCTTTGTTCAAAACTAATCTGATTCACACCTTTAAAGAAGCACGGCAAAGTATAATTCTAAGCTGGAATTTTAAATCAAATATAAAATTACACTATTGATGCTTGTGTGCTATCCTCTCCCTAATAACTTACTGTACCTATGGATGACATCTCTTTGAAGTAGTCACATCACCTACATATTTATGCCGAACAAGAATATTTCTATATGCAAATGAATAGAGCTGTTCAGAAAAAATAGTGGTGGCAAACCAACCTCTTATCACTAATAGAGTCTCGGCTGGAGCACAAGAACTGTAGCAAGACCCAAGTACTCACACCCAAGGAGAGAACAGTCAAAAGGAAAGCAGCTCCATCCTACAGAAGCTGTGTACCGAGAGCCCTCAAAGAGCAGTGGAAGCCCAGACCAAGAACTGAGCGCAGCTCGTGGAGAGTAACAACTGGCCTAGAACAGATCAACCACTACTTCTGATGTGAAGGAACTCTACAAAAGTCCAGCTCGGACCAACTGTAGAAGAAAGGTAAAACCAGATTTTTCACATAACCAGAGAGAAAACCTGAGCTTGGAAAAGCTACAAAGAAATATCACAAATCAGAGATCAACAGGACTTAACTTCCTATTAAATTGAGTTCTATACCTACATTATATAACACTCAACTAATTAGTTTGTACTCTTATAAATCCACATAACTGTAATAAAGCACTTTAATCACACTCAGGTTGGCTGGCCTGAAAGTATGTAGCTAGTGAAAACTTAGTATAAGAAAAGGGACTAACAAAAAGAGGAGGCTTATATGGGTTCACAAGGTCATAAAATACAAAAAGTGTCCCCAGCCCTCCGGGAAGGCCACAGTTGTCATCATTGCTTCAAAATGAGACATTCTAACACCGAGATATGAACTTACATGAAAAAAAAGCATGATGTGGACCCTTGGCAAAACCCATAGAAACTAAGACCATTCAAGCCCCACGGCCATATTTAACAGATATCTTTAACCTCTGGATCAATACAAATCAATCAAATCAAATCAATCAAAATTTATTACCATAGTAACAAATTCAAATTACTGTCAGATATCCTAAGAGGTAAATAAAATATTGTAATAAAATCACCTGTTGATTCTGCATAATCTTTGCTAGTCTGTGTGTATCATATTGCTTTGGTAGTGAAGGAATATAGGTGTCTCCCTTCTGAAAGTTCTCATCTTCTAGCCAAAGTATAAATACATTGAAGAGCCTAAAAGATTAAAAAAGAAAGAGAAAAGCAAGGGTAAAATGAATTATACCTCTCTTTACACAGAAACTACATTTTATCTAGTGAATAAAACAATAAGAATCAGGTTCCCAGAACTCATAATAATTCGCTATGTTTTAATTTACATTATGCCCATTTCTCTCTCTCTTTGGGACTATCTTTACCAATCTAAAAAATAAAGATAAGGCAAAAAGTGATGGATAAAGGTGATCTACAAAGCTTTCAATGATAATTCAGACTTTTTCCTTTTTCCTTTCCACAGCAATCAATGACACTGAGCAAGCCATCATGCCCAGAAAAACAAAATACAACATGAAAACATATGTATTCTCCCTCTATTCCAGAAAGAATGCTGAAAGCCAAATATATTATCTGGAAAATTTTTCTATTGCACCTTATCAGTTTCCAAAAGAATTTTTAAAAGCTAACTATCAAAAAGAATTATGATTGCAATTTAATTATAAATCTGTGAACTCTTCTTTCATAAATGGGTATGACAAAAAGAAATTCTTCTAATTTTATGTTCTAAATATTTTAAGTGGTACTTTACGAAAAGATAATCTACTTAACTGAAGAAGACTTCTTGTTAGTAAGAATACGTTATTAGAGAAGTGGCCTATGATATGTAATTAGTTAAATAAGCTCCTGATTTTAGCAAAGAAAGGAGGGGATGGTGTCATTCTTTCTATAAAAATTAGAATTGAAAATTACTTCCTTCTGATTTCATAATCAGAAGGGACATAGGCCTTCTACACTTAATACCACTACACAGAGCCCACTTTTAGCTTATGACATTAAGAAATGGAAGAAGGGATAATAATTAATATGCATTTCTTAATTACCTGTTTGGCCCCCAAAAAATTAAATAAATCAGACTCTGACTTTGTACATTCTATAGGGGGAGATCACCTGTACATATGTAAGTACATACAAAATTTATACATCACAATTTTTTTTTCAGGGAAACACTAACAGCTGAAGGAAACAGAAAAGAATTCACATAGAAGGTGCTGTGCTGATGGAGTTTTAAAGGATGCTAGGGATTCTAAGAAGTAGAGATGTAGAAAGAATGCCTTACAGACATGGAGAATAGCTAGCACAAGGGTACAGAAAAGGGAGATGGAGTATTATGGGTAAGGAACAAGGACAGTATGGACGGATCATAAAGTACATGAAGAGGAAAAACATATAATAGAACTGAAAAAAATAAATTGGGGCCAAATTGTGAATGGCATTAAATACTACAAAGAAGAGGTGATCATGACTAATGTGAAAATATGTTTAATAGGAATGTATATGTAGAGCCTATATCAGATTGCATGCTGTCTTGGGGAGGGAAGAGAAAATTTAAAACTCAAAAGCTTATGAAAGTGAACACTGAAAACTAAAATTAAATTAATTTTTTAAAAAAAGAGTTGATGTTGGATCCTATTCATGTTTGTCAAATTCCTAATAATAAAAAGGAATACTTAAAAAGAGGTAAGAAAAAAATATCAGATTTCATAATTAAGAGATTACTGAGAACTCTATAGTAAACAGTTTCAGCTCAATGATGAGACTGAAAGGCACATTGTAAAGAGTTCTGAACTAGGGAAAGAAGGAGCAGCAGCAGGAATAGAGTTCTCTCTTTTTCTTTTTTTCTTACAGACAGTATCTAACTCACCAGGGCTAGAAGTGCAGTACTAGGTATGCACAGCCTCTATTCCTCTACTGTGCAGCCCAGGAGCTTTGGTTGACTCCATTAATGACCTAGGCCAGAGGTGTGGAACCTGTGGCCTGGAGGCCCTTCATATGCAAACTTCATAAGTTTGGATTCAGTCAAAGGGTTGCACTTGAGGACCTAGAGGGCCACATGTGGTCTCCAGGCTGCAGGCTCTCCATCCCTGGCCTAGGCCAGTCTATCCTTCCGTGGGCAACCTGGTGGCCCCTCCACTGTCAGGGACTACCATACTGATATCTGACTTAAAGTCGTCCACCTGGCCCACTGCAGCTCAGAACTCCTGAGCTCAAAGATCTGTAGCATCAGCCTCCCCAGGAGCAGGGATTACAGGCTGCACCCCCACATCAGCTAGGGAGCTTTTTCTAGAGATCAGACTGAGAAAGAAAGACTCATAACATATGATAGCTTGAAAGGATGGGAGGGTCAGGTGAGGTTTTTTAAGCACAGGCAAAACATGAATGTGTCTATAGGCAGAAAGGAAAAAAAACAGAAATAGCAAAAGACTGAAGATTAAAGAAAGCAGGGGAATGACTGTGGGGACAATCAGCTAGAAAAGACAGAACAGGGATGGGATCAAGGATGTATGTGCAAAGGCCTTAGCAAGGGATGTGCTACCTCACCATCAGAGACTAAGGTAAAGGAAGAAAGAATGAAGGATAATGTCAAAGGCTAGAGAGATTTGGAGAAGCAGAGGGAGTTGACAGAAAATGGTCTCTCCTTTCTCAACAAAGAATAAGGCAAGGTCTTAAGACGAGAGGATGGTGGAAGGACTGGTGTGGGAAATGGGGACAGATGGGGAAAAAGCCAAAAGGAGCAGAATATACATTCTTTAAAAATCAGAGGTTGAAGAAACCCACTAAAGACTTCATTTTAATGAATTTAAGCAACCTACAGCAAAAAGGTTACCAATTACAGATGTGGTGAAATGGTGTCTATGGCTAGCTAACAGTAAGGTTACAGAGTTTAAGGCCAAAGCTGGTCTAAAGCCCTATAATGGTGCATAAGCCTTGGGAAAATTGAGACATCAAGGTGAAATTTAGGTTAAGTTAAAAAGAACATTCTAATCAAGTATATATGTGAGATTTGGGTAAACTTAAAAATTACAAAGAAAAAATTATTGATTAGTGAGATACATGTGATTTCTTCTCAAGCCTTGCTCCAAAAGTGGCTTCTTTAATAGTTTAATATTTAACTGCCTTAATAACAAAGTATTTTACTATTAAAAAAAGCCAAAGACCATGCTAATCTTTTAAATATACTTAAAGTTTATACCATGTGAAGTAGCATATGACTGCCTTCTGATGTCATTATATTTAAAACTACAGGTTCAGCTTTTAAAATGTGAATAAATTTTTTTGGAAGCTAAAATTGCAAAACTAAAGTAATCAAGTGACAACAAATGTGGTAATATAAGCCTAAGATATAAAAATGACCTAGTAATCATACAGGTTGGTCCAAATCAACTGACTTTAATTAGATTCACACTGCCTCCAAATATATGATGAAGCCGGGACCCTCTTTGTCAGACCTCAACAAATGCTTAACCAACTGCTACTACTTTCCGCATTCGGCAAATAACAGCAATAAAATAATAACATCCTGCAATACACAATAGGTGACAGAACATCCTTGACAAAAGAAAACATTAGCTTACATAGCTGAATATGCTTTACCTCACAAGTTCTGTATGCAGCTCTGGAGAAGCCAGATACTCTATGGGGCAGTCATTATTTTCACCTGGTCCTTCACTGCCATCTGCTGGAACTCGGAGGGCTTTACTGGCAGCATGATGGAAGTCAGCCACTTCAACCAGACGTTTCTTCATTTCTTTCAATAAATTAATGTGGGCTGGACTTTGAAAAAATCGTCTTCCAATACAACCATCTACAGGCAATCTTGAAAGAAATTAAAATAGGGTTCTGTAAGCTATTTAAAAAATCATTTTTTTTTCTACTTAAAATCAAATGGTGTGAGCTCATTAGAGCTACCAAAGATAAAGGCGCATTTAGCAAAACTGAGGTGCCCTACCATTATCTATAAATTAAGAAGTGCAGCAAGCATGGCTATACACAAACTGCCCTATTTATCTCACTGGGTTGTCATAAGGAAGAAATAAAATGATACATATTAAAGAACTTTTTAAAAAATATATAAATGCTGTACCAATTCAAAGTATTATTATCATCTTCATACCACACTTTCATGTGTTGGGCCAATAAAACCTGACCTCTGCAAAACATTCTGTACTATCTGTTCTCTGTAGTCTTCTATATCCTTATTCACTACATATATATGTATATATATATATATATATATATATATATATATATATATATATATATATATATATATATATGGATAAAAGGATAAAGAGAAGGAAAGTAAAGTCCAAAGAGAACTCACAATGTGAGAATGCTCATAAGGCAGAAAGTTGCAGAGTTGGGGTTTGAACCCAAATCTTCTGGTTCCAAATTCAACACTCTGGCTACTGTTTATCTATTTTTGTTTCTTTTTTTTCTTTCTTTTTTTTGTGAGGCAATTGGGGTTAACTGACTTGCCCAGAGTCACACAGCTAGTAAGCATTATGTGTCTGAGCTCGGATTTGAATTCAGGTCCTCCTGACTCCAGGGCCAATGCTCTATCCACCCCTTGCTAGTATTCTGTTCCAAATTTTTGCATCAACATTCACTAGGGAAATCAGTCTATAATTTTCTTTTTCTGTTTTAGCTGTTTCTGGTTTAGGTATCAGCACCATATTTGTGTTATAAAAGGAATTTCGTAGGACTCTTTCTTCACCTATTTTTCCAAATAATTTATATAACATCGGAAATAATTTTTCTTTAAATGTTTGGTAGAATTCACTTGTAAATCCATCTGGTCCTGGAGCAGTCAATGATCATAGTAACCTAGTGTTCGTTAAATCCAGCTTTTGGGATAAGAACTCATTATCTGACAAAAACTTCTGGGAAAACTGGAAAACAACAGGACACAAACTAGGTATAGACCAACATCTCACACCTGATACCAAGATATGGTAATGAGGTTTGGGAGAGCCGTCAATTTTTTTCATGGAAATATCTTCACCTCTTCATGATCTGCAAGAAATGTTGCTGCTATACATGCTGTAATTATCTTTTTACACATCATGAGCACTGTTAAATGAGATGACCCAAGAAATGATTTGTTTAGATCTGCTTTTGTATGAAGTGTTTTTAAATTGTGTTCACATAGGTTCCTGGATTTGTCTTGGCAAGTAGACTCCCAAATATTTTATATTGTCTACAGTTATCTTAATGGAATTTCTCTATCTCTTACTGATGAGCTTTGTTGGTAATATATAGAAATGCTAATGATTTATGTGGGTTTATTTTATATCCTGCAACTTTGCTAAAGTTGTTAATCATTTCAAGAAGTTTTAAAATTAATTCTCTAGGATTCTCCCTCTTTTCACCCTGTCCCTCCTCACAGTGTTTTACTTCTGACCACTGCCTCCTGTAATCTGCCCTCCCTTCTATCAGCATCCCCACACACACCTTTTTTTTTTCCTTTCCCCTCCTACTTAGGGTAAGATAGACTTCTTTACCCAACTCAGTGTGTATGTTATTCTCTCTTTGAACCAATTCCAATGACAGGAAGGTTCAAACAAATGCTCATCCATCCCTTCTTCCCCTCTACTGAAACAGGTCTTTCATGCCTCTTCATATGATATAATTTACCCCATCCTGCCTCCCCTTTTCCTCTTTTCCCAGTACAATCCTTTTTTTCATCCCTTAATTTTTTTTTATCATTTCATCAAAGTGAACTTAAAACCCACACCTTCTAAGTATGTTCCTTCTAACTGCCCTAATAGAGATACAGTTCTTAAGTTACAAGTATCATCTTCCCATGTAGGGTTATAAACAGTTTAACCTTATCAAATACCATCTTTAATTAAATAACCCTCTTTTGCCCTGAAAGAGTATGCTCAATTTTGCTGGGTAGTTGATTCCTGGTTGTAATCCAAGCTCCTTTGCCTTTCAGAATATCATTTTCCAAGCCCTCCAATCCTTTAATGTAGAAGCTGCTAAGTCCTGTGTAATCCTGACTGTGGCTCCTTGATATCTGAATTATTTCTTTCATACTTTCTCCTTGATCTGACAGTTCTGGAATTTGGCTACAACATTCCTTGGAATTTTCATTTTGGGATCTCTTTCAGGAGGTGATTGGTAGATTCTTTCAGTGACTATTTTATGCACTGGTTCTAGGATATCAAGGCAGTATTCCACGATGATTTCTTGAAAGATGCTGTCCAGGCTTTTTTTTTTTATCTTGGCTTTCAAGTAGTCCAATAATTCTTAAATTATATCTCCTGGATCTATTTTCCAGGTCAGTTGTTTTCCCAATGAGGTATTTTAGATTTTCTCACATTTTTTCATTCTTTTGCTTTTGTTTGGCTAATTCTTAATGTCTTATAGTCATTAGCTTCTGCCTAATCCTAATTTTTAAGGAACTAATTTCTTCAGTTAGCTTTTGTACTTCCTTTTCCTTTTAGCCAATTCTGCTTTTAAAAGAGCTGTTTTCTTCAGTGGATTTTTTTTTCCATTTAGCCAGTTCTATTTTTAAGGAGTTGTTTTCTTCAGTCACTTTTTGTGCTTCCTTTTCCAAGCTGTTGACTTTTGTTTTCATAATTCTCCAGCATAACTCTCATTTCTTTTCCCAATTTTTCTTCTTTTACCTGATTTTATAAATCCTTTTTCAGCTCTTTCAAGAATACTTTTTGGGCTCGAGACCAATTCATATTCCCCTTTGAGGCTTCACATGTAGACATTTTGACACCGTTGTCCTCTTCTAAGTTTGTATGCGGATCTACCTTGCCATAGTAGCTTTCTAGGGTCAGGGTTCTTTTCTGTTTTTTACTCATTTTTAAAAGTTGAGATCTGCTCCTGGGGCACAGGAGACACTGTCCCAAGCTTCTTGTTCTGGGGGCCAGGGGCCTAGTCATTAGCTTACTGTGGCCAGGGCCTGAGGTGCTGGTTGCTTCCCCAGTGAGCTGAGGTGGCCTAGCCTAACTGTACCTGTTGTGCCCTGAGTTGTGGGACCTGCCTGCTGTGCTGGGGTTGGAAGCCTCACAGCTAGCCTACTATGCCACTGGCCTGTGGAGCCCAGACAATAGGGCTTTGGTTACTGATCTGTGCTGTGGCTAAAGAGGCTCCTGATGGGTTGTCTGGACCCTGCCTGTGCTATGCTGCACTCTCCTTTTACCTATGTGAGACAGACTTTTCCTGAAGTCCTTCTAGGTTATCTTGGGCTGGAAAATTATTTTGCTCTGTCTTTTTGTGGATTCTGTCACTCCAGAATTCTTTTAGAGCAGGGCTTCTTAAACTTTTTCCACTCATGACCCCTTTTCACGTTTTGGCAGTGTTTGTTGGCATTGCGTGGCCAGAGGGCACGCACAGTGCAAGTGCAAATGCTTTGTGTTCAGAATCAAGGCTGCAGTGAAGTCTAGCAATGCAACACAGGCAAGCACTGCCAGAAACACCTTGGATTCATTACACATCTAATTTATAATTAAATTTTGGTCACTAAGAGTTCAGAAACCTTTTACTGTTGCCAACTATGGTGTTGTGACCCACAGTTTAAGAAGTGCCGTTTCAGAGATTTGATTATTGTTTCCAAGGTAAACTGGGGAGAGCTCAGGCCGCTTCCTGACTTCTCTTTGCCATTTTGGCATAGCCCCCCCAAAAATTCTTTTTTAAAAAACAAAATTCATAGGTGAAGAACCTCCGTCAGATTTAGAAGACCTCTGAGTGACTCTGTCTTTACTATCCAAAATTTCTGAGGTAGAATATCCCATCGGCAATTGCTCAAAAAGGATCATAAATCTGAAAAAGGATACCGTAAGTACTATTTGACAGAGGAAAAACTGTGAGGTGAGAAATGGTTATCAAATAATGGTTCCAACTCACATATAAAAATATAACACGGGAGAGCACACACAGAAATTTACTGCAGGTAACAAGTACCTTACCCATACTGAGGCCCTGGTCGGTGAAGATAAAGGAGAAAGAATTTCTGCCAAATAAGTGGCAAGAGAGGATGATCAGAAGGTGTAACCAAAGCCTGATGAGCCCAACGATAAATCAGCAGTCTCTGAAGAGATGGTACAATAGGAAGCTTCAACTGTGCCTGGGCTTTCTACAGAAGAGGAAAAAGTTTAATTCCAACAACTTATACATTCAACTCAGTCAGTCAATCACTACATTTAAGTTCTAAGAAACTTAGGACACAATATTAAAGTCCTACAAAATATCCAAATGGACTAGCTGAGTATGTCATTTTAAATTTAGTTTGACAAACAACAAAATACTTCTTATAATAAAACACTTATGAACCTCCATTTCTAGAATACATACCTCCTCCAGACTTAGGGATTTGACAGTATTTTTAAAAATCAGATAATTAAAAGATATTTCTACTAAAAAGGAATGGAGTAACATGGAAATCTAAGTTTCACTGTCAAATCACCATCAATCTTTGGAAATAAGGAAGTTCAGAACAGACTTCCAAAAGTTAGAAGTGTCTCAAAAGCCTGTGTACCTTACATCAAAAAGTAAGGCCTACCAGCTGAAGACCTTTAACATTCAAGAGCTGGCAAACTATAACCCAATGGTCAAATCTGGCCCACTCCTGTTTTTTTACACAGCCTGTTTCTATACAACTCACAAGAATGGTTTTTATAATTTTAAATATAATAAATTTTATAAACAATTTATAAACAATTTAAATATAATAAAAATTAATAACATAATAAAATATAAAATAAATATTTATATAATAAATATAATAAAAATATAATAAAAATGTAAAAATCTTTCTTACTTCTCAGGTGCAAAACTATAGGCTGTAACTTGCTAACCTACTCTTTCTAAATCACAAAACCAATGGTAACCATTCCAAGCATGTAACCAACATTGTCTCAAAATAGTTACATTATGGCTTTCATTTTTAAATAAACCTTGGAAAGACCTGGCATAAGTGATATCTATAGCCGTTTAATAAACCATGTTTTTGTTGTGCTCTCCAAACACTTATCCCTCTTAAAAGTTACAAAACTTAAAGAAATGTCTATCCCCATCAAGAGCTCAACCAACCTCCATTTCAAACACATGAAGTGATTGCTTTCTGTACCTTGAGAGCCTGCTCAGGAGTAAAAGTAGAATTAATGACCAGTTCCCCTTCAACAACTCTACGAAGCTGAGAATCCTCTTCAAAGAAAGACTCCATGTTCAGCACAATCCATGCAAGCCAAACCTGCAACCATAGCAAATAGAGGCAATGAAAATGACCAGCTTTTTCTGAATGAGTGAATATGGCTGTAAGTATATAACAGTATTCCGTTAATTTATGCTAATTTTTCTTTACTCTTTTCCACTTAATCAAAAAATATTTGCTGAAGGTGTAAAAGAACTATAGTGACACTGTTTTTGAATCCTCAAATTCAGTAAGCTTGAGTCAGAGAAGACATAAACAAATAAAAGTGAAGAATTAAATTAAAAACAAGAGATGTGATTTCTGGGTGTCAACAGGAAATCACAACTTCACAAAATTTACATGAAAATTAGGCTTATTACAAGAGAAATGAATATGCATGTGGAACCTAAAGAGTTCTCAACCCATACAGAAATTTGCATATTTATGACACTACAACAAAGGGAGGAGGAAGAAACAAAAATCTCTACCTAAAGGGGCACGGAATGGGAGGGGAAAAGGTGCACTAAAAGTGAGAAAAAGATAAAACCTCCCCAGAAGGGGAGGAGGAAGGCAATAGCACAAGCCACATTCTTCTCCCTTGGGAATTACTAGCATATGAAAACATGATGGTCTGCTTATCTACAAGGGTCCTAGCTACACAAGCAATTTCCCAGTCTAGTGCAGATTGACCTGGTGCCTGTCTTGGCTCCCACAGGAAATCCAATTTGGGATGCAAACAAATTACATCAGCTCAGCGGGGCTTCATCCTTGATTCATTCAGGGCCTCCTAAATATTCTGGGTCCAGTGTTTCTAGAAAATGTGGTAACTCAAAAGACAAGTTTAGGGGGCCTCTTAACATTTCTTAACATGGGTCACATGAGCAACAAGATAGGAGACTGGACATTTTCTAATCCTCATGACCTCTCAAACTCTCCAAAATACAAATTATGTTCCAAAGATAAAGCAACTTCAGTGTCTCCACGGTCTAGAATAGCCAAAATCCAAAATTCACTGACTGAAGCTCACTAAGCACCCTCCCCAACCCCCCCCATGCTACCAGCAACAAGGCTGCACTGGCAGGCCCAAGGACATGACACAGACTTACAACGAAACACATCCCTATACTCCTGGTTGCCTCTCTCTCTTTCCAGTGCCGTAGAGACTGCAGCTTTAGGCTGTAGAAATCTGTTGAGGCCTCAAGAGTCAACTTGACCACAGCACTTCAGAAGCAAAAATCTGCAGGGAGCTTCAACCTAGAAGCACCAGAACTGTAAAGCAGTGAAGTACTGATGCCAAGGAACAGAATGAACTGCTGGTGCTAGGCCAGACAACTGAGGAACAGAGCAGGAAACACACTGCCCATGTGGGAAAGGAACTTGGAGGAGGAAAGAAAACTTGGGGAGGTGGGGAAGAGAAGAGATACAGCACTCCACCAAGCAAGATGACAACATTCAGTTGGTGCCATTTCTGACCACTCAAAGTCACTTGTAGAAAAGAGCTTAGTGAAGTATAAATTACTCAATGTGGAAAAGAAGCTGAGATGCTCTGAGATCCATCCATCAAAGAAACCACAATTAAAAGTGGAGGGAGTCAGGAAGTGAGTGATAAGGTCAATATGGGTGGGAGAGTAGGGTAAAACTGAAAATATCAAAGATTTCATGAAGAAAACCCAAAGACCTAGCACATAAATAACAACAAAAGGAAATATGCCCTCCAGATCTAGTAAATGAGTTCAAGTACCTATGAACAAAAATTATGAAACAAAGGAAATGGGTCCAACTCTTAATGACCCAGAGGACTCTGTGGAATTCGAGAACTGAGAACCATAACATGCTATTCCTGAGTGGTTTAGAAAAGAAATAAGAATTATGTGAACAGAATTTACATCCTATACAGCAAAAATAATGAACAGAATAGAAAAACTTGACTCTGCAATGGCAAGTAGAAACAAAAGACAAAATAGATTAGGAATATAAATACACAGAAGTAAAGGGCAATTTAGAAGAATAGAAGCATAAGACAATAATATTAAAAGAAAATAAGTTCATTATGCAAGATGCAGAAACAACCTAAAGAAGAATTCAATAGGACAAAAAACCTTAATACCACAATAAAGCAAATAATAGAAGAAAACTACCCAGAACTTCCATATGTAGAAAATAAAATTCCAATTGAAAGAATTCACAGATGCCCTACAGAAAAAATAAACAAACTCAAGGCTGAAAACTCCAAGACACATAAATTTAACAATTCAATTCAGAAACAACAAATTCATTAAGCCATCAAGAAAAAGATCTTCAAATAAAAAGGAAAGGGCATTTGAATAATGCAAGACTATAACATACCCACTAGAAAAAAGGAGGAGGGTGGGGCAGCTAGGTGGCAGTGGATAGAGCTCCAGCCTTGGAGTCAGGAAGACCTGAGTTCAAATACCATCTCAGACACTTGACACTTATTAGCTGTGTGATCCTGAGCAAGTCACTTAACCCTGAATGCCTCACCAAAAATAAAAAAATAAAAATAAAAATAGGAGAGAATGGAATGTGCTCCAAAGACAAATGGAACTCAGGCTGCAGCCCAGGGTGACCTAATCTGCAAATCTGAGCTGAATCATACAGGCCAAAAGATGAACAACATTCAGTAATAAAGAAGAGTTTGAAGCATTTTTAGAAAGAAAACCAGAACTGAGGTGATTATTTGCTTCCCCCAATAACAGAAATGCAGGAAGAAGTAAATAAATGCAGAAGGCAAGAACAGTAACAGAAATAGAATGACAATAGAGAGACCAGTAACAGACTTTTTTCTAAGTCTACTAAGAAGACAAAAATCTGGAAGGGGGTTCAGGAGCTTTATGGACAAAATCTGGTGATACCCTGCCTTGGCTAGGTAAGATTTGGATATGTAGGGGAGATAGGGAGGGCATTCCAAGTAAGAAAAAGTAAACTGAGGAAAACTACAAAACATAATGAAAAGAGTACATTATTATTATAACAGCAACTTACACATACAGCATCATATGAATAATAAAGTCCTTGCCTCATAACAACACTGTGTTGTTGGGCAGTACAAGCACCATTAGAATTCTACATTTTACACAAACAGATAATGGGACTTGGAAGTTGAAAACTCAAGATAAGCGGAAGAGTCAGGACTTGGAATACAATCATCATCATCATCATCATCATTACAAATGAGGCCAATTTCAAATATGCCATGTTGCCTTCAGTAAACAGACCAGTGTATCTAACTACAGTAGAAGGGGGGGGGGGTTTCCACATACAGAAATTATGTAATCTTGTGCTAAAACTAAAAGACTTGAGAATTTATTTTCCTTCTAAGTAGAAGCAGTAATACTTTACAACCCATTTGCCCCAAACAGGGACAAATATCATCCTGCTTTAACAAATCTTTAACTCTCTAAGTTGCCTGAAGTTTACTTTTTTTAAGCCTGAACATTTTAAATAACCATCTGAGTATTACAATCTTCACCATCTGACTTCAACTTCCTTTTCAAGCCTTCTTATATATTAGTTCCCCTTCTATCAAACAATAGAGCCAAACCAGCCTTCTTGCCCTTCCTCCCACACTGACAATAGCTTTTCCCACCTCAGTGCCTTGGCAAAGGCCATGGACTCACTTCATCTTCGCCTTTGCCACTTAAAATCTCTAGTTCCTTTCAAAGTTCACCTCAAATGCCATTTTTCACAAGGCATTTCCTGATATTTCCAGCTGCTAGTGCCTCTATATCCAAATTATCCCGTGTTTATTTTGCATATTTTGAATACATATATATGTGATATTGTCCAAAACTGTAGAACGTAAGTCAAGGACTATTTCCTTTATGTCTCTGTAATCCCACTGCCTAGCATGATTCTTGGTCCATGGTAGGTGCTTAATAAATGCTTATTAATTGATTAATTCTGTTTTTAACAGAAAAATGAAAGAAAAAAGATTTTGGGAATTTCCCAAACAACATATCAAGTAACTAGATATACATAACTTATATGTAATGTTATTTTATGCCAATGAAACTAACTTAAATAAGAGAGCAAAAAATATCAATGACTTCTTGCTTCTATTTTACCTTCAGAGAAAGTATTTTTACAAGCTCTGTCTTGGTTTGATTTTTGGTATAAATTTGTGATTTCACTGGTGTATGCAAATTCTCTCCAACAGTATCAGTAGCTCATCTACTGACAGAGCTTTCATCAGGAAAACAGGGGGTACATATACTACATTTAACAAAATCCTGTAAATTAATTGAGTGACAGAATGATAGCAGAAGCTACAAATGTTCTTAATTAGCCTTGTACTTTCCTTATCTTAAAAAGTGATCTGATTTTCCTCCCTCTTCATTTTGATCAAATTAGCTGCTTTTTTTGCTTACCAATTCTATTGTCTTTTCATTTTCCATTTAATCTATTTCTCCTTTAATTTTCAAAAATCTCTTTTATGCTAATTTTGAGCTTATTTGCTTATTTTCTAGATTTTTTAATTGGATACCTTAAATCATTTTCCATTTTATTGACATTTCTTTGTAGAGATATAATTATTTCTCTGCAGACTGCTTTAATTGCATCCTCAAAACTGTCTCATTATCACTCTCTTTTGCATAGCTATTATTTCCATTATTTTTTTCTTTGACCCACTCATGATTCAGAAAGTCATTGTAAGGGCTCAGTGTAGGTCTGTATCTTCTGTTTGTGTTTCCTGTATTAATTCCTACTTTTTTTGCATTACGGTCTGTAAATGATGGCTTAGTATTTCTGCTTTTTTTTCACATTTATTCATAATTTTCTGGACCACAAATAATTCTTATATAGCACACAAAATGCCTTATACAGAGAAAATTAGATTTCATTAAACAATAATTTGGGCTTTCAAAAGAGTATTATCATGTCATGGAAAAAACTGATTTAGAAATGAAGTTACTTAAATCATTCACAACACAAGTGAATGAGACACAAATCACTAAAATTACAGATTTAAAGATTAAAAATCACGTGGATGGCACAATGCTAAGACCTAGTCAATGCAGTGTATCATTCTAATCTCTCTAAAGATTCATATAGGATTTCTTTGCAAATGCAATAATCCTATATTAATAATCCTTTAGAAATGCTTACAATAATGACAATACAGAGTGTTTTAGGGTTTTAAAAGTGCTTAACATGTGTTACGTCAGTGAAGCCCCCAAATAATCCTGTGCCATCACTATTATAGGTAGTACATTGTCCTTATCTTACACTGAAGAAAACAGATGCTATAAGAAATTCAACGACTTGCCAGGGTCACAAAGCTATTAAGTGTTCAGGGAAGGGTTTGAATCTAATCATTCTGACTCTAAGCCTAGCATTCTATCAATTTTACTACCCTGCCAGATATAATAGTTCTGTGGCTCACAGACAGACTCCAAATGCAGAAGCAAACATCTGGCAAAAGAGCAGCAGGGATGTGCTTAGAGGGCATAGACTAGGTGAGGTCAAGACCAACTACAGGTACATCATGGAAATAAATCTATTATCCCTCAAGTAGTCTGTATTTCTCTGAGATGACTTTCCATAAAGAATGAGTAATAAGCTTGAGTATTCAGCAAAAGAGGCAACACAGTATAATGACTAGAGATCTGTCCTTGAAGGCCTGGGTTCCCTCTGACATATATGGCTGTGTGACCATGGACAAATCACTTAACACCTCAATTTTCTAGGCAACTCTCTAAGACTCTAAGTGGCAGAGGAAGTAAAGACCTGCACTGGTAGAGGTTTCCTCATCCAGAATTCCCTATGCCAGGGAAAACACAGGTCGTCTCTTTCTCCATCCCTATTTAGCAAAGAAGAAATAGTGAAAATTATTCTATGCTTCTACAGGATTTAAAATCAGTCCTTGAAGAATTCAATTCACTTCAGACTTCCATGAAAATCCTCTTTGTGAAAGGCACTGAAAAACGGCTAAAGACTGTTAAGTAGACAGAGCTGGATTAACAAATTCTAGATATAACCCCTGAGCAAGACTACCTCAAGACTTAAGACAGGAACTTGGTTGGCTTTAGCTCTGCTACTTAATACCATTTGAAATATTCAACAAGCCACAAAATCTTTTCATAAGCATCCCATTAACTGAGATATTGATAAAGTATATGGGAAAGTAAAAAGCCAAGTTCTTTTTTCTTTTTAAGGCAATTGGGCTTAAGTGACTTGCCCAGGGTCACACAGCTAGTAAGTGTCAAGTATTTGGTATGAGGCTGGATTTGAACTCAGGTCCTCCTGACTTCAGGGCCGGTGTTTTGCTGTGCCACCTAGCTGCCCCTCAAGTTCTTTTTTCTAAGAGCGTTTAATTTTAAAAAGAGGTGCTAAGTAAGCTCTGTAGGTCATTTCCATGAGTTCCTACCTGAGAGGGAGCAGCAGCTCCCTCAATGAAAGATGGGGTCACATTGCCAGCCACAATCCAGCTCATCAAGGAAGAGAGCAGGCTCCGGTCACAGTGATAACCTAACGCATTCTGCCCAGTCAGGAAAACAAAAAAGAGAAAAGCTGAGAAGACAATAGGAAGAACTTTAAACAACTTCAACCACAATCTCCTAATATAATAAGGCTCTAAAGCTACCATGAAAAAGTACACGTCCTAGGACTTAAAGGTATCACGGAGCCCCAAGAGAAATTTAATGTGTTTTTTATATATATATCTATATTTTTTATATATATATATACACACACACACACACACACACACACACACACACGCATACACACACACACACATACATATATTTTTTTTAAACTTGCACTATGATATATAGTAAGAGAGTATATGGCTAAAGACACCAAACCTGTATTCTCTCAACCTAATGGATGCATTAGAGCAATTAGTAGTAGAAGATGAGTATGAAGTAGACCTAGGGATGGTAGAATCATTTATAGAATGATCTACAAGCCTGAAATGTAATCAACAATCATAAACAACAAATATTACAACTGTTTTTACCTTGTGCTGTTGGTAAAGTAGTTTCTGTACACAATCTTCTTGCATATACTGAAAAGCTGCCTTGCATAAATGGTCCATCAAGAAAAGAATGGGCTGTTCTCGGTACCAAAGCTGTTGGCTTATGAGAGCCTGGACCCAGAATTCAAAAACAGCAACAGGCCCCACTTCATTGGGTTTAGTGCTTACAGAAATGTGGGCCTGTGGAGAAAAGTTCCAGTCAATCTGAAATGAAATTAACTATGATCCCACCTCCTATTTCCTAGCATTTTTAAAAGCATTAACAAAAACATCCCCTACCTCCACTACTAAGTCTGAAAACTCCATGGTATACCAACATCCATGGTATCAACTAAACTACAATGGTGCTAAACTGTATATTAAATGGAATTCAACTAGAGTTTTTAGGATTATACCAGAAGACAAGCATATGTCTCAAGATGATGATGCCCAATGACAAAGACTAGATCTGTTTCCTGACCTGGATCATGCTGTTGAGAAGCTTCACATTTTCTCCATAGTTGGTTCCTGTCAAGTGCTGAGCCACTTTGTGGGTAACTTGTTGGGTCACTCCTTGAGGAATACCACTATCCAAGTGCAAAAACAGGTGAAGATATGATAAAAACCTACATATCAAATGGAGAAATACAGCAGACATTTAAAGACGTTTTAGGAATCAAAGAAATTTTAATGATTAACAGTTGATGAATCAACAAGGAATGAGAAAGAATTGAACCAATCCTTACTCTTATGAATTGAACCAATTCTTACTCTTAAGAATCTAATCAGAATAAAACTACATGGAGAAGAAAAGGACAAGAAGGGGAGGGAGGCGGAATTAAGAACTGGAAACAAAAATCCTTTGGGGAGGCTTGTACAAATCAGAACAGTCCAATATCATTCACAAATTAAGGTCTACAAATAAACTTTAAGGACTTAAATCAATCTCTTTTAAAGAAAGCCTTCAAATACAAAATCACAAGGGGCTCACAATGAACAATTCTCAACAGCCCTTTCCTGAATATGAACATCCATAAGATAATACAAATTAAATCACAGTTTGCAGAATATGAATGGAAAGACCTTGCTTGGCAAATAGTGAATCCTTTTTTTTTCCCCATAAAATGAAATCCTACTCCCTAACAAATTTTGGGCCCAAATGGGCAAACTGTTATATTTCAATAAGAAAAAAGATTGTTCTCACCCTCAAAATTTTACAAGAAAAACATTTTAGGCAAAAATTCACAAATATCTACAGAAAATGCCTAGTACTCCTACTTCATGTCCATAACTGTACTGTAGTGTCTAATCTCCATCTATAACTTACAATCAAGACCCTCCCCCACTTTACCTGTCCCCAACCTGTTACCCAAACTTATCTTTAACTGCTTTTCATCCAGCCCACTGCTCTGGAAAAAATTCTGGATTTCTCAGTACCCTTCAAACATATCCTATTCTTTTCTACCTCAGCCTCATTTTCTCCACCAATCCACACCCTATGCACTCTCACTGACAGTACAAGTCCCACTGCTTCCATGACACTGCCCCTAATCTACTCTCAACTCTCACCCCAACTGGTTCTTCTCCCTGCTCTGCATTCCCTCTACACTTAGGAATCCCACATTAGTATTCTTTTGCTATTGTATTACTTATTATAATTATTATAATAAATTTTAAATATATATAATTACTCATTATTTTATAGATGTTTCACATATTTCCCACAACACTAGAGTGACGTTAATCTGCTCCCCTTGTATGTTCCTCAGTGATTAATTCAACAGCACATACCAGAAAAAGAAATACACTGAAGATGTTTAAGATAAACGCTAACTCTAAGTTTTTTGTTGCTACTCCGACAACTCCTTTGCTAACTGCTACCAGAAGCATCTTCTCTCTAACTGGAAGAGTTGTTCTTTCTAGTGTCAGGCTTTGGGCAATCAGGAGATATTTGTTTAAACCCATTATGAAAAAACTAAAACAATACTTGAGCCTTTAGCAGATATACTGCTTACAAGCCTAAATACTAATCCTAGGAAGTAGCATGTTTTGCTCCACACAAGAAAAATGTTTGCCAAAACATTATCACTTATACATTGTTGGAGAAAACAAAACATAATGCCCATACCACAAATGGCTAATCCACACAGCACAGGCTATACTTACAGTTCATTCTTCAAAAGGTAATACTGGCAAGGGTAAAACATGGGCAAAATCTTATCCAGAACATGTACTACTGTTCGCAGATGCCTAGACTGGACCAGGATCCCCAACAATGGAATGCCTTCTGCACAAAATTTCTCAATGCTGCCAGGAGAAAAAAAGGTAATATGGTTGTAAGTATAAAACGCTGAGACTGATATGCTATTGTACTAAACATGTTTCAGGTCTTCAATATAGCCCTTCGCTGCTACTAAGAATTTTCAATCAGTAAACAGTAAGCTGGATAAGTTTCAGAAAAATAACTAACTCCTGCAAGATATAGATGCTACTCTTTCTCTAGATAGCCGCCTGATCTATCTAAAAGACATTACAAAAATCAGCCATGTCTCATATCAATCCTGCCTTGATCAGTGACCTAGAAACCACACACTGAGTTTAGCCACTGAAGTTCTTTACTCGTGCTTTTATCTAGAAATCTGAAATGCAGCTAAACTATTATGTTCAGCTAGAAACTACCAACAGGCAACTAGGTTGTACAGTGGATAGAATGCTAGGTTTGGAGTCAGGAAGACCTGAGTTCAAATGTGACCTCAGACACTTACTAACTGTGTGACCCTGGGCAAGTTAATTAACTTTGTTTGCCTGAATTTCCTCATTTGTAAAACGAGCTGGAGAAGAAAATTAAACCACTTCAGTATCTTTGCCAAGAAAATCCTAAATGGGATCACAAAGAGTCAGACATGCCTGAAAAATGCCTGAACAACAACAACAAAGAAACTACATCTGTGTTCAGCCCTTCTACCCAGGGCTAAAAAGATAAAATTCCAAATTTAAAACAGATACTAGGTAAATGAAGAAACGTTTCAGAAAGGGGGCACTCCTTAAGGGCAAGAGAACTGGACAAGATCAGCACCTATTTGAAGCCTTCTTAAAGGCACTCAATAGATTATTCTCATCCTATTAGTCCCCTTTTCTCCATTAAAACCTACAATGACTCCAAACTATCTCTCACAATAACCCACAAGATTACAGGGTCATACATTTTAGGGTTAAAAGGGGTCTTAAGTCAGTCCAATCCTCTCATCTTAGAGCCCATAAAGGCAGAGTGATTCGTCTAATGGCACACAGGTAGTAAGTAGCTGACCCAGGATTCAAACCTAGATCCTCTGACTCCAGATCCAGGAAATCAGAAGTCAGATGTATGAGCCAATATGAGGATTTGAAAAAAAGAAAAAAAAGTCCCACTGTCTGAGACTACTATCACTTGAAGAAAATATTCCTTATGATCATATACTTTGCTTTGATTTTATATTTACAAAACCTTATGATTTTATTCCAGCTTCCCAAACAAAATTCTCTTCTGATGGGCTGACATGAATATTTCAGTCTGCCTGACAATTATACTTATTACAAAATAATAAATTAGCTTTCTGGTACAGATGATTAAAAAATTGAGTGTCTACAATGTACAAAGTCCTTTAAGAACATAAGGATGAGAAAGACTTAATTTGCTCTCAAAGATCATGAGTTTAGGCAGCCTGAATCACCTTCCTCAGGCCTGATCACCCTAGAGAAGTTGTTTAGTGACATCTTAAACCTGTGAGATCTTAGAAACCTCTACTGAGTCCACAAAGGTTAGCAATTTTTTGTAGGCACCTCGTCCTTTGAAAACAAATACTATTAGATATAAGTATTATTCTGTACCTATGGCCCACAGTTGTCATAGATAAGGCTAGATAACAGCCAATGGGCATGCCTGCTTTCACAGCCTTCAGTAGGGGATGAAATGTGGGTGATTCATTCATATCCGGCACAGTGCTGGAGAAAGGAACTGTTGGACAATTCTGTTGCATTCCATAATCATTTTTGTGAAGCTTTAATCTCAAAATCAAGTTCCAAGCCCATTGGTTAAATGAGGTTTCAGGTGTCTCTCCATAACGTACAATACTGGCCAAATACGAAACCTAAAACAATTTTAAAAAGACATCATCACGACAAATTTAATTAATCCCCTAAGTCCCTTTCAGTTCCCATTAGACACAAATTGTATCCATGTGCTAGAAAGTGAATAATGCACTGCTGGTACTCAGTCTTTATGAGAAAAAACAATAATAATAATGCTTACCTAACACCACTTAGGTCACTTGCCAATACTTCATAATGCACACTTAGTAAAACCAAGCAAAAGAAAGAAACTGTGAAGGGCATATGAGGAGTAGGAAGAGTCGTGTTTAGGTACAACTCTCCAGTGGTAAGATGCTTGTACAAAAGCTTTTCCTCAGAGGAAAATTCCTCGTCCAGTCCCAGAGTTTAATTATTGAACAATTTTAACTTGTCATGAAACATGACGCTACCGTGATATAACTTAATTTTTCCAACATCCTCAAAAAGCAAAATTTTACATAATCAATATTTAAGTAGTCAGAGGAAAAATAAATACCTGTTTTATGCTTTCAGAAAGTAGCCCAGCATACGGCTTCTGAGCAAGGTACCTCTGGTAAGCTTCAAGAATCATTAATGCCACTTCAGCATGAACAGTCTGATTCAGATGAAGTGTATCCTTTTAAAAAAGAAAATAATGACAATATACTAGAGGTCTTCCTCTAAGTCTTTTTCTTATACTTTATAGGTACCAGGGCAGCCCTCAGGCTATGTTATCCTTTGCTATAATAACTACAATAACCCTCTAGTTTGTCTCCAATTATTCAAAAAACATTTACTGAGTACCTATTACACACAAGGCGCTATGTGAGGTGCTGCAGGAGACACAAAGAATAAATCACAGTATTTCTGTCCTCATGTAGCTTACAGCTCAGTCAGACAAATAAAACATGCACAAATAACTATAAAAAGGGTACAACATGAAGTGACAATAACAGAGGAACAAAGTGTGAGGTTAGTTTTTCAGGCCTCCAGTTTCTCCCCATTCCATCACGATAGCTGATAGTAACCTCTCAGTTGCCTGTGGCAGTAAAGTATAAGCACTACTGCCTGGCTTTCAAAGTTCCCCAATTATCTTTACTCCTACTCAATTTTATTCCTTACTATACCTCAACACATACCCTGCCATCTAGTCAGAATGGCCTTCTCGCTATCCCCTAACACACACTATCCTCAACTCCATGTCTTTTTTCTTAGCTAAAAATAATAATAACTAATGTTTATACAGCACTTTCAGGTTTACAAGGCACTTTAAAAATACTACCTTCACAACTTTGTGAATTAAGTGCTATTATCATCCTCCTTAAAAATGAGGAAACTGAATCTAAGATGTTAAGTGATTTGGAAGGGTCACACAGCTTATGTGTCTAAGGCAAGATTTGAGGTCAGGTCTTTCTGACTCTTGATCCTGCACTCTGTCCACTGTCATGTAGCAGCTGCTTACTGTTCATCTTCTCCCCCTAGAATGCTTCTCTTCATTCTTCAAGTCCAGTTCATGGCTGACCCCACCCTGCCACCCAGGTTATGTTCCATCCTCTCAAGGATGTCTTCTCCAACTATACCAGCTCAAGCTGGTATCATTCCTTTCTCTGAATTCCTATAGCATTTAAACTAGGAAATTTCACTGTATAGCATTTAATTTGTTCTTCTCCACTGTTCTCAGCGCTCCAACTAGATATAAGTTCCGTGAAAGCAAGGACCACAGCATATACATCTCTACATTCCTCCTTTCAATATCATACCATCATCACCAACATTACAGTGATGGGCACAAAGTAATCATAAATTTCTAACTGATAATCACTCAACTAACAAATGATGAACATAAAATAAGTCTACTGTCTTTTTTCCTAGTCAGAATTATATAACTTCAAAGAATTATATAATTTTTAAGACCATATATTCTGCTCCCATCATTTTATGGATAAGAAAATGAGGCCCGGGGAAGAGAGTGATATGATAAAAGTGTTTTTAAAACAGTAAGTTGGTAGCTTTGTGAAGGACATATAAGAGAAGAAAGAAAAATATAAAGGCTAAGAGGGTATCATAAGTGGGTATATATATCAAATAATACGTGTCTAAGTATTAATGAAAGCATGCTCAATTTGTTACAATTCATTTTCACTTAAGGGCAAGTTCACGTTACAAAGAAGAAAGTGAAAAAAATTCTAAATTCTGAAGTAGATAAAAATTATTTACCTTAGAAAGAAAAGCATTTATATAATAGCCTCATAATTTATTATCACTAAAATCACATTGTTTTATTAAAAAATATGCCTTTGAAACCACAGAATTGGCCATTTCCATAGCATACTGTTTAAGGCATACCTGTTCTCCAAATCCCCAATTCATTCCTTCCAGAATAACACAAGCCAATTTATTCTTCACAGCTGACAAACTGTAATTCAGTAACCAATCCCGCATCACAGCTATTTCAGAGGTAGATGGTTGCCACAGATACAAAGGCAGCTCTTTGAACAAGTATAGGGAAACCTTAGTAAAAGGGGATAAAAAAATTAATGAAGATCAAGAATTAATATAAAGATACGAGTAGTAATGGAGAAGGAAGGAAGAGGGACATTTAAAAATATTTAAGGGAGATTCTAAATTGGAGCTCTTCATTTCTAACTCTTCAACTCCTACTTTCTTCAAAACGTAAGTTTGTTCTGGGGCACAGCAGCATATGTATGTAATCCCTGCTACTGGGAGGCTAGCAGATGGCTTGAACTCAGGAGCTCTAAGCTATAGCAGGGCTAAAGTCAACTAGGTACCTGAACTAAGTCAATCAATGAGTTGATGGGTAGGGGGAATGGAAGTAGGAAGAGAGAGGTCCGCCAGGCTGCATAAGGAAAAGTCAAACTGACCCACATCAGCTTCCTAGCTGACCAGCAGTAGGATTAGGTCCGTGAGTGTACATTGTAACGTTCAGCCTGAGTGAGATAGAGGGAACTAGGCTAAAAAAAAAAAAAATCTTGTTTTTGTTTCTTTGTTTTTTAAAACAAGGGAAATAGAAAACAAGAGGAACTATCAACACAAAATGGGAAACATGGGGGCAGCTGGGTGGCATAGTGGATAGAGCACCTGCCCTGAAGTCAGGAGGACCCAAGTTCAAATCTGGCCTCAGACCAAACACTTGACACTTACTAGCTGTGTGACCTTGGGTAAGTCACTTAACCCCAACTGCCTTAAAAAAAAAAAGAAAAAAATTGGAAACATGATTGTTGATACATAAAAGGCAAATTTTGTAACCCTGTTTTCAGATCAATTCTCTTTTTTATATAAGAAGTAGTAACTCCTCATCTGAAGAAAGCCATAATGCAAAAGTGTAGGCTTATAACACTGATAAATGTGAAGTAATAACTCCCTTCACAAAAAACATTCAGTACAAATTTCCTTTATACAGACAAGTTCTCAATTTCATTAAAAGATGATTCCAATGTACAGGACTTTTCAGGAGCATGCCTTTTATTAAAGTCAAAATAAATTTATATTCTTCTAATAACATTCCACTCCAGTGACTCATTGTTGAGTGGAGATGGCTCTGGGTTCTTAAAGATTATGCCAGGAGAGGGTAAACTGGAAAGAAATCTGATAGAAATTAGGTTTAAACCAACACCCACACCATATACAAAAATGAGCTTCAAATGGGCACATGACAGATAAAAGTCATATCATAAACAATTTAAAAGCAAATACAGTTTCAGATCTACTAATTGAGAAAAAGTGTATGATCAAATATGGGATTACAGATGGGTTTGATTAAACAAAATTAAAAAGGTTTTGCATAAACAAAACCAATGCAATTAAAATTCGAAAGGAAACAGGTAACCTACGGGGGAAACATCTTTGCAGCAAGCTTCTCTGAGAACACTGTCATTTCCAAGATATATAAAGAACTGAATGAAATTTCTAAAATCGTAAGCCATTCCCCAATAGATAAAGGGTCAAAGGACATGAACAGGCTGTTCTCAAAGGAAGAAATCCAAACTATCAACAAACAAAATTAAAATGCTACAATCACTAATAAGTGAAATATAAATTAAGGCAATTCTGAGGTTCTATCTCATATTAATAAATTAACAAGTATAATAAAAGTGGAATATAACAAATGTTGGAGGGACTACAGGGAAAACAGACACTAACGCACCATGGGCAGTAGTTCTGGTTCAATCATTTAGGAAAGTTATTGGAATTTATGCCTAAAATGTCACTAATTGTGCATATCCTTTGACCCAGCAATACAACTATTAGACCCAGATCCAAAGAGATATATAAACATAAAGGAAAATATTTATATATTTAAATGCCTCTAGCAATACCTTTTCTTAAAATTAAGGGGGGACCTATCAACTGAGGAACAGGTGAACAAATTATGGAATATGAATGTAAATAATGCCATAAGAAATTATAAAAAGGATAGTTATAAATAAATCTGGGAAGACTGTACGAATTGATGCAGGTTAGCTGAATCAGTTATAGTGGCCACAAAGACACCATGGCAAATATAAATATAAAAAGGAAAAGTCCTTTTAAAACTCCAATTTTAACATTTTACTAAACTGAGATAACTAATCATGACTGCTAATTCATTGCTGGAATTCAATAAACATTAAACAGGCCTACAATTTACAAAACATCCATGTTTTTATCTATTTCATTTTTTAACCTATTTTTTCTATCTGTATCTACTTTAAGCATGTGATTAATATAAAATAAGCAGAACTGAAATTTTAGTGGATTCGTACAAAGTTATGATAGAATCGTGAGAAGGCAGGGACAGCTAGGTGGTGCAGTAGATAGAGCGCCGGCCCCGAAGTCAGGAGCACCTGAGTTCAAATCCAGTCTCAGACCAAACACTTGACACCTACTAGCTGTGTGACCCTGGGCAAGTCACTTAACCCCAATTGCCTAAGCAAAAAAAAAAAAAAAAGAATCTTGAGAAGGCGACAAACCAAATTGGCCTAGATCCAAAGCAAGTTAAGTATTACCAAATCATTAATTGTTTTTTGCGTCTCTTTCCATCCAAGGTTCAATATTGATTGACTTTTTTTTAATCTTTTTCAACCAAAGTTGCTCCTTCCTAGTATGACAAACTTGAGAAATTCAAATAGAATCATTAAAATAAACAACTCTGATTTACTAATGGCACATAATTGAGGCAGAATTGCTTGGAGGAAAAAAAAACAGCTCCAAACAAAGAAATGTAAATAAAAAGATTCTTCCTTCAGTGCACCTGAAAGTATTCAGTCTTTGGCAGATATACTCAATTCCAATCTGTTTTCAAATAAAATCCTTACCATCCCAACTTGGTCAATGGTCTCTTTAACGCTGTCCAAAAGGACAGAAATGATTGCAGGATGAACAGCAGTAATAGCTCCTAAAAGCTCTCGACCAACTTTTGAAAAGGTCTCTCTGGTGGAAAGGTTAACATAAGATACCTAAAGAGAAGGAAGATGGCATTTTTAATATCATTCACTAAAACAAATGCACTTGCAAAGTGTATTCAAGAAAAAGAAAGATTATTCTATATCAAGTTCCAGTTCACAGCTTTATTCCTAAAGATTACTGAAATTCAGTCATACAAACTGTATCCTCAGAGGACCAGCACGTACATGTCTACCCCATGATGATATAAAATACCCAACTAAGTAAAAGCATCCTAAGTCTGCAAACAGGAGAAAAGTTACTTCAGATGGGTTGAGTAATATGTTAGAATTAAAAAAAGGAAGACAAGTTTTATCAATAAAAACAAATCTTTTAATGGAACTACCATCTGTAAAATGAAACTCCTAGTTACAATATTATAAACTACCAATGCTTCTTTAGTATGCTTGTGGGAGCAAATTCTTATTAATGAATCCCATAAATATTTATTAAATATCTTCTCTATATAAGGCACTATGCTAAGCACTACAGAGAATACAAAGAGGACTTTAACATTTCCTGGCTCTCAAATTTATAATCTAGTAAAAAGAAGTAACACACAACTATTGTCTTGGTCTAAATACAGACTGCACAATTTTTGCCCAAAATCTGACTTGTAAAAAACCTGAGTACAACCACTAAAAGTACTCTTAGTACCAAAGACAGCACACTGGGATTATCCCAAGCAGCGGCAAAGCTTCTCCAATACTTATACACATGCCCAAGCCAATGCTGGATGTAGCTGGCACTAGTGTGAGCCAAAACAAGTAGATTTCTTCCTCTTGTCTTCTAAGAAACTGCCAGCATCCCTGCCCTCATAAATAGCAATCTCACAGCAAAACCTACCAACTCTCTTTCCTTCCCCTCATGTCCCTGAACCTAGAGAAACATTAGGTAGGTAGTGGCAAGAGTACCCTTCTAAATCTCCCTCTCCAAACAGTCTGCACTTTCTTGTATAACTCAGTCTCTACTTGCCTAGACTGCTGCTCATAGCAGCAAATGTGGCTCTTGGAACCTCAATGCCACAAAGCAGATTTGTTTTCTAAGTTAATCCCAAAAGACTCAAAGAATAAGTGAGGAGAAAGGAGTCTGGCTGGTTGTTCATCCCAGATTTGCTCACCTCATAAATCTCCAGCACAATAACTTTTATAAAGTCCTCATCCACATTGGTCTTTCTTGCCTGAGCCATCTGAGCAAAAGTAGTAAGAAGGCAAATTTCTTCTGAACTATTCATGGTAGAAATATAATTCTCAAAGCTCACAAGATGCGCTGGGTCTGAAAATTCAGATCAAAGCAATTAATGGGGAGAAGGGCAGGGTAAATAACTACATCACATTAATATTATTAGCCTATTTTGCCATTAATATAGTATAAAAATACAGAGAACTTATTAAATCTAAAGGGCATTTTGTGCTGTAAAAAGGACCTCAGAATCTGAAGAAAGTTCTATTGGAGGTTCTGTAAGCTCCATTACAACTCCAAAACACAGCTGTCTGACTTTAGCCCCAAAATATCTTTTTTACTAAAGAAAAAAAAAACTAGAATGCAAAAAAACTAGTTAAGAAAAAAAAATTACTTGTAAACTGATATCTATTCAGAAAATAGAACTGCACTGCATTATTCAAAAACTGAAAATATGAATCTTAAATACGATATGTTATTTGGTGTTGGTTTCTCAGAGAAAGGTCCCTACATATGGAGTACTGTATTTTGCCACCAGAGGGCAGTACATATATGCAGCTCTGTGGAACATTTTCTTGTGGCCCAAATAGAAACTCTTTGTAGGGAAGCAGGGTAATCACTTGCCTATAACTTGTTGGGTTAGAGAGCTGGGGGGGGGGGGGGAGGGACGTGGGGGGGGGGTTGCCGCAGGGAAGGCAGGGGGTATCTGACAAAGGATTACAGCCAGGTATTCTGACTCCAAATCCAGCCCTCTATCCACTCTGCCATACTTCTCTCACTGCAATCCATACAGAGGAAGCAACTCGACACAACAAATTATAAGTGCTTTGAACACTTTCTGGTGGAACTTTCAAGACTGATACAGAAACAAGCCAAAGATTTTCTTTTTTGTTCAATACATTTAAATTCTACCACTTGTAAGCATTAGACATTCTCTAATACAAAAAACATTTCATAACCTTTGTAAATCAATTGAATTCCCCCTAAAATGGATTTGTAATGGAACTTATCAAGAAACATTTCTAGCATAAGGACTAACAGTATAACCTGCACTGTCTCAGGGCACATATCAAGGACTATGCACCTCACATTTTAAAAGACTTCTCTAAAAAGAAAACAAAAGGGGCAGCTTGGTGGCGCAGTGGATAGAGCACCAGCCCTGAAGTCAGGAGGACTTGAGTTCAAATCGGGCCTCAGACCAAACACTTGACACTAGCTCTGTGACCCTGGGCAAGTCACTTAACCCCAATTGCCTTAAAAAAAAAAGAGAGAAAGAAAGAAAGAAAAACAGTAAAAAGAAAACAAAAGGGAAAGAGGACTGACTGTACATTATAAGCTGACAACTTATGGCACACATAACAATTTTTACTGGTACAGTGGCCAACTCACTGGAGATCAAAGTGTGGATGCACCTAGGGAGGGGAGGCATCAAGTTATGAGGAAGAGACTCTTTCCTACAGTCCTACCGCTCTTCCTCTCTCCTCCTTTCCAGCATCTATACACCCAGTCCAAGAGGCCTAAAGGGAACTGGGTAGCATTAGCATAAGAGATCACGGCGACGGCTCCTCAAAAAGGCTCACCCAGGCTGGGATGACAGGCTTTCCAGATATAAGCATTTCTTCACTTCACTATTCCCTCTCACTTCAAGGAATCATTTAAGTAGATAGTTGCAACACCCCTGAGACAGAATGTAGACCCTACTTCTATTTCTTCATTAAAAAGGAACCAGGAATATACCCACAGTTTTGAGATCAATAAAACAGAACCAACTATGACCTGATGATGCAATTTGTGGATTTTCCAGATTTTAAGTGTTTTTAAATGGATCTTAAGCATTTTGCTGTTACCTAGCATTTTTGCCGTATTGGACACCAGGAAAAAAAGTGAAAATCAAGTTAATTTTACTATGTGTTAAAAATCCTAACGGGGTAGCTAAGTGGCGCTGTGGATAGAACTCCAGCCTTGGAGTCAGGAGGACCTGAGTTCAAATCTGATCTCAGACACTTCACACTTACTAGCTGTGTGACCCTGGGCAAGTCACTTAACCTCATTGCCTAGCAAAAAAGCAAAAATAAATAAATTAATTAAAGTCCTAGTAAGAGATTAAAGTACTGAAATTAAAGGCTAAAGTGAGGTTTGGGAATTAACAACAAATTTCAATAACTACTCTGTAATCCAAATTAATACAGACAACTAACGAGTAGTATTACAGTATTTGAATGTATTATGCTGAAAGAATTTTTAAAAGGGGAATCCAGTTAAGATATATGGGGGAAAAAAAGATATCTTTCCTATGAATTAATTCATTCAACATCCACTTTAAAAGTAAGCTACTAAGCAGGTTGGTTATGGAGATCATAAAATAAAAGCTCCTTAAACATCCCTAAACATTAATTTCACATCTCAAAAGTGGTCTGTGAAGGTAATTAACATATAGTCTCTGACCTCGTGATGCTTAAATAAGCCTCCTAATTAAATCTGAAATGCAACCTGAGAAGCTGAAGTCACTTGATTTTAAAGAACATAGATTTTAGTAGAAAAAGTAATACATTAACAAAAGAAGAAAAGCCAAATGGATTATCACTTAAATGTACATCCTATCATGTCAATGTGTCTAGATAAACAAATTATCCTCCTCATTCCTTATATTTATGTAAAAATTTTAAAAGTATTATCACACAGAATATGTCATTTAATTCTGTGAATTTGAGCAAGCCTTTTTACTTCTATTTTACAAATGATGAAAATAAGTTTCAGAGAGATCTGAAACCATAATAATTATTAAATTATTAGTTTTCCTTTTACACGTGATCAAACTGAGGTTCAGATCAGTTAAAATTGCTAATAAGGGATGAATCTGAGACTGGAAACCAAATCTGCCTCCTGTACCTAATAATGCTCTTCGCCATCACAGTAACAGATTTCATTGGGAAACCCATAATAGTCCACATTCCATAGATGATATGATTTTTACAAATAGGCCACAGATAGATTTTGACAATATTTATTAATGTGTTGCCTGAAAAAAAAAACTTACTTGACAGTGATTAGAACAGTTATTTGGCATGAAATGCCAAATGCAAAAGCTTCTGCAAAATGATAAGAAGAAACTTAATCAAACAGCCACTTGTAAAAGGCGTGACTAGGGGCAGCTAGGTGGTGCAGTGAATAGAGAACCAGCCCTGGAGACACAAGGACCTGAGTTCAAATCAGGCCTCAGATACTTGACACTTATTAGCTGTGTGACCCTGGGCAAATCACTTAACCCCAATGCCTCACCAAAAAATAAATAAATAAATGAAAGGTGTGCAATGCCCTGATTCCAGAGACTTCCAAAGGAAGGTAACAACTTGGATTACACTGACAGGAATAACAGTCCACAACATTCAAAACTATTTCACCTAGAGAAACAACCACCAGGGCAGCTAGGTGGCACAGTAGATAGAGCACCGGCCCTGGAGGCGGGAGGACCTGAGTTCAAATCCGACCTCAGACACGTAACACTCATTAGCTGTGTGACTGCGCAAGTCACTTAACCCCAAAGGCCTCACATAGAGAGAGAGAGAGAGAGAGAGAGAGAGAGAGAGAGAGAGAGAGAGAGAAGCAACCACCAAAGAAAGGGGGAAAGGCTGGGCAATCCTTTACAGTATCATTAGGTGCAACAAAGTGATTCAGAGGAAAATAACCCAATTTAACACTCTCCACTGTAGCAAATTTCAAAATATTTTCTACATCAAGAAAAAATAAGAAAGGGAGCCTAGCCCAAGCCACAAGAGAGAAGACAAAATAAAAGAACAGGAAACAGAACAGGAAAAAAGAATGAAGTATACAGATTACAAAAAGAAAAATTAAAGAGAAAAACAAGGGGTGAAAATTATACTTATTTATCAAAACATTGTCTTTATTCAATAAATATTTTTTATTTATTTAAGGCATGACACCAACTGGGACCTTATTTTAATTCCTACTCTAATGGCTTCATTATGGTGGTGACCTCAATTTCCAAAAGTCTATATCATCTTTGACAAGCTGGAAAGTCTTCAGTAGGTACCTAGTGACAGACCGTATGTCTGGATCCTAAGACTAGCCTTATTAGTCTCACTCACAACCAGGATAGCTATACTACAGGATAATTAATTTTTCAGCCACAGCAATTCTGGAAAACCATCCACCTTCTTACTAACTTACAGATGAGGCTGTCTTCTACATTTGAGGAAGCACCAACAGATCTTACAAGTCCTAAAGTAAAAAACTGAATAAAGTAAGTTACCACTAAAAAAGCATGCTTCTGAAATCCTCTGGACTACAGATTAATTTACTCAACAGCACTACCTTCTTAAGATATATGTTTAAGGATATACACTATTTTCAAAACAAAGCTCCATTTCTAAGATAATTCTAATCTCCTCCAACCCATCTGACTTCCCAGATCCTTCTCAGCAGTCAAAGAAAAACAGGAACTGAAGAATTAGTATGTTCTAGAACTAGTAAGTAAGTATGGCTTACTTTAAGTCTTTCTAATTGTCATATACCAACACAGACAGAAACCTACTTGAGGTCCATTGAAATCAAATATTCAACAATAAAGGAATAACATGGAACCCAGGTTAGTTATTTCTAAGCCCTAAGTAAACACTTATTGACCAGAATAATTTCAATACAAAGGCAGAATCCTTTCGGAGGGATAATCCCACAGAGTACCTTAATTTTACCTGTACTTTCAAACTGCCTGTTTATTAATACTCACTCTATCAAATGATTTGGTCAAATCTAAATTTCAAATATCCAAGCTGGCTTCCAAAATCAAACCCAAAAAAAGTTGAATGGCAGTATAAATTTTGCTACTTTTTGGGACAGCTAGGTGGTGCAATGGATAGAGCACCAGCCCTGGATTCAGGAGGACCTGAGTACAAATTCAGCCTCAGACACATAACACTAGCTGTGTGACTCTGGGCAAGTCACTTAACCCCAACTGCCTCACAAAAAAAAAAAATTTTTGCCACTAAAAGACATGGAGATATGAGTACAACATATACACATCATTCCAAAAGCCAAAAGATTTTAGAAACTACAGGAAAAAAAAATAATTTTAACAGCAAAAAGATGAAACTATTTCAAGTATTTCAAAAAGGCTTGCCAGGCGGGATTTACCTTGAAGCTGGTGCTTGTACTCATTAGCCTGGACTGTAGAACAGAGCTTCTCCAAATTTTCATCTTCTGTATGGTGCATGAGGTAAAAGAGTTTCCAAAGCATCTGGACTGACAATGTTCCAAAGGGCATCTCTGACATAAATAGCCAAATGCCCAACCTATTGTTTTTTAAAAACAGTACAAAGTTTCAAACCTCACAGAAAAAATGTTAAAAGCACAACAAAAAATTCTTCTGTGTACCTAAGTATAAGACCACCCACATACTTACAAATTCATAGATAGAACTACCTTCTGGATTAGAGAAGGCATCTCCAGAGATGAAGTTGTTTGTTTGGTTTTTTTTTAATCACCCTTTAAGATAGCCATAAACTCCTGTGGCAGTCCAATAAAGATTATGGACCCTTTCTTTCTCAGAATGTCTTTAAATGCATAAAATAAAATATGTAAGCCATAATAAGGAAACCAACTGTACTAAAATTCAATTATCAAATTTTTTTTTTAGTTCACAAATACCAGGTTAAGAACTCCTACACTAGGCCATACGGCAGTATTGCTTGTGAGACAATTTAATCAACCAGCACATCAAAGAACAAATAATTATGTGAGTATGCTATATATTGTGAAGAATGACAAGAAGTATGATACATAGTCTATACCCTCCACTGCTGAGGGCTGAAACCATACTGTGAGAATCCTCATAGCACTGCTCTTGATCAGTTATGACCAAGTGCATAATAAAAAGAATGCTGGGTTTGGAGTCAGGAATATCTCAGTTCAATATACTGCCTCAGACACTTACTAGATGTATGGCCTTAGGAAAGCCACTTAACCTCTCTGTACTTCAGTTTCCTCACCCAAAAAATGAGGACAATAAAGCACCTACCTCCAAAGGTTGTTGTGAAGATCAAACGAAATTATTTATGTATATGTGTGTGTGTGTGTGTGTGTGTGTGTGTGTGTGTGTGTGTGTGTGTGTATATATATATATATATATAAAAATATATAAAAACATTCTGCAAACCTTTACATACTATATAAGTGTTAGCTATTGTTATTATTGCTGTTATTGAAATGTGCCGCCTAGACTTTGATGATACTGCTGGGGACAGTATGCTTTACAAAACTTTCATTTTGGGGGCGTTAGAAGGCAAGATGGTAATTGGACCTATGATTTTGTCACTGAGATTGCACTGTGTGGAAATTCCCTTCACCAATGTACATCAGTAACTCACCTCTTAGAGGGCTAACTGGAAGGCTGAAAGGCCAAAGTCACTATATACAGCTATTATGTATCAGTGCATGACTAAAACCCAGGTCTACCTGACCCCAAGACCAGGCCCCTATTCACCATGCCATGCTCCCCCTATATAACTATTAATGTATTAATAATTATTTTTCTCTCAACCACTTCCAGCAGGCTACATACCTTTTAGCTTTCAGAACATGCAGGACAGCCCTGAGAAACAGCTCATCAAATTCAACTTGGAGCTTCTCCAATGAATAAGGTTGCATACCCAATCTATAGCCTTGGTTATGGCTCACAAACTGGGCCCAGTGATCACTCACATAACAAAGTGTCATTCTATATAAGAAAATCATAATAAATCATTTAAATCCACTGGTTGAGCATTAGTTTATTTTTATTAGACATCCTGTTTAAAGCATTTAGATTAAGAGGGGGTAAAAAATTACTACACTAGGGGCAGCTAGGTGGCACAGTGGACAGAGCACCAGCCCTGAGTCAGGAGGACCTGAGTTCAAATCCAGCCTCAGGCACTTGACATTTACTAGCTGTGTGACCCTGGCAAGTCACTTAACCCCACTGCCTAGCCAAAAAAAAAAAATTACCACACTAAATCCAAACTGAGTCATTCAATCACTACACAGATAAACCCTATTTTCCATTTTAATAAATAATATTCTTCTGATACATTTAAGTAATAAGCGATTTATAACAATCACTGCCATGACAATTATTATCTACATCATGACTCTGGGAGTCACCATAGGTTCGATTCTTAAACCATAGATAAAACCATAGGAAACCCACCAGTCCCATTCCCTGGCCCATCCTGGCCCACAGGAACCACAATCCAAGCAGATGTTGGAAGGGAGAAAAGAAGAGAAGTGAAAGGCAGAAAGAAAGAAGCTGCACTTTCCCCTTCCCATTCTTCTCTAGCCTGAAATTCAGTGCCAAGGACAGAGTTTAAGATCTTGGGCCTAGGAACAGTTAAAATATCAAATCAATTAACTTTGAAACAGTTTAACAAGGTTTTGGATACAAACATTTATAACATGCCCATTAGGTACAAGACAAAAGGATACAAGTTCTTAGATTAATGATGGATCATGCAGATGAGAAGCTACCATTAAAATGATGATTGTTTTCAGTCAAGAGAAGAATTCAAATAAATATGAAATATTTACCTAATCATAAAACCAATTCGTTTCACAAACTGCCTGTAGCATGCTCTATTAAAGGTTTCTAATCCTACAGCTAGAAGTTCCACTAATGAGTTGGCAAAGGCAAAAATTTTCATCATCTCTTGAGGTCTTGTTGTTTCAGGTAAATAATCATCTATAAATTAACAACAGAAAAAGTAAAAATTAAGGGGGAAAAATTATCAAAGGTACAACACAAAGACTTCAAAAGACAAATTCATAGAGCGTTTGACAGTTATAGGATTGAGCTAACAATCATGGGAAGATATTTTAGGTGTCCAAGCAACAAAATGAATCCACATAGCAAAGATGGAAGAGTTCTGATGAAGTCAAGTAAACTGCCAACTCACCAACTAGGGAAAAAAGAGGTGAAAGAAGTTATAAAAACAGTAGACAAAATGGGAAAGAAAACTATAGGAAAAAAAATGTAACCAATGGCAATCAAGACGACTCAAGAACAGTGTCACATTACAGCTAACCACAACACAACCAAACAAGAGAAAAAGAGCTCAAAGACAAGCACTGTCAGGGCCAGAGATATAAATACAAAAAACTATTAGCCAAATTCAATTTTTTTTTCTTATGTTGAACAATTTACCACAAAGGCACTCTCTTGACTGCGAAAATTATACAGATTCACCCATATTTGGAAGAGATTCCTTCCACTGAAATTCTCTGCATTCAAGACCCAAGGTACCATGAGGCCCTCCTTTATCCTCTGGCTAAAGGTGACACGTCCTTTCACCAAACCTCTCATGCCCTTCTGACATTTCCTATGTACTTATCTCATTCCTTACACTTTAACTACTTGAAGAAGTCTTAACAACTTTTCAAATTGTAGACTCCTTGGTAGCAAATATGGAGTCATTTTTATCCTCAGTATTTAAACACTGACGTGTCGTTTGTAGCGGCTTAGATAATGTTTGCTGAATTAAGGACAAAATTCTCCGTATTTTTCTTTAGGAATCAATTTACCTTTCCCTTTAAATCCAAGGAAGTGTTTAAAGAGTTCACGAAATGGGAACTGCGACAAAAGAGCAATCAAGTCATCTTCACTAAGGAGAATCCAACTTGTCTCAGGATCTTCATCCTACAGGAAAAAATCCACAAAATCTTAAGGAGCAGTCCTTTGGGCGTCCCTGTTGAAAAATTATCAATAAAATTTCAAAAGACTTCTTCCTTTTCTGGATACCAAAAGATCTAATTGAGTTTCTTCCTCAGGCTAGGGATCTTACTAAAGGGATATATACTTTCACAGATACAGTTTCAACTGAAGTTATAATACACTACACTGCAAAAGTCAACCTTTAAAGTGAAAAATATCTTTACACCAGATAATAGTGGGTATGCGCACATGCACACCCGCACAGACGCGCTCGCGCACACACGCACACACACACACACACACACACACACGCACACGGCAGCTGCACCTTTCTCCAGAGCTCAGAAGTTTCAGGCAAATGGTTTATTCTACCTATCAGAGGCTGCTTCAGTGACAAATTGCCCAAAGTTCTACTCTCTATCAGTTAAAAGAGCTTAAAACAACCTAAACAAGATATACTCACGTGGCAAATATAAACCAAAATCTGAATTTTTATCCAGAAAAGTACAAGTCAGATTGACTTATCTCCTTAATAATTCCTAATATTCCTAAAGGTAGCAGAAACTGGTACACAACACAGATCTTGATAAACATGACACATCAACTTTAACAAAAGTAACAATGCAATTTCACAAATAAATGTTTTCACCAACCACACTCGTCTTCCTTTAGGCTGTCCCAAAAGGACTTAGAAACTGAAGCTTCAGAGACTTCATGGTAAAGTACAGGAAACAGAAAATGACCCTTTCTTTTCTCAACCTCTAATCCATAAGGTTCTTAATGGTTGCCTATCTCTGGGATCAAATTCACTAGGATGAAATCACTGGAAAAAGTTACTATTTCAGAAATTTCACCACCCCACCACATCTCAATAACATTCATTTTGCATCAGCCTCTGAAAAGCTTGCTTTAAGGCTAACAAGTCAGCTATTAGTAACAAGCATCCTATGTTCCTGATCATTGACCATCACCATATTACCTCTACCAAATCTCAAAAGGAGGAACATAAAAAAAGCAAAAGATTAGTTTTCCCCTTTGGTTGCTCCTTTAAGTATCTAGTTACAATAACAAAACATGTCTCAAAATATCCAGAAATATATAACCACTACCACCACGAATACGATGGTTGCAGCTTTGAGATAGTGACTGCTGCCCACTCCGTACTTTTCAACTGATTAGAGAGAAATTACTTTGAAAACCTTTCTCTAGGGGCAGCTAGGTGGCACAGTGGATAGAGCACTGGCCCTGAAGTCAGGAGGACCTGTGACCTCAGACCAAATATTTGACATTTACTAGCTGTGTGACCCTGGGCAAGTCACTTAACCCCAACTGACTTTAAAAAAAAAAAATCCTCTTAACCTTCTTGGCTAGACGCTCGGGAATAAAGGGACTCTATGCACTACCGTATATTATCATCTGGAACTGCCTCGAATTTATTAGCCAAGGACACTAAAAGACTTAAGTTTAGACACTAACATCAAAAACTCCATCACAATGAGGCCTGCATAAGTAAATTCTCACCAAAAAACAAGAGGAAGACTTTCTATCTTCCAAATGCAATATCCATGCTACGGTTTTCATTACAAATCTATAACATCTAAATAAAACCCTGCCATAATGCGGCTCATTATTATACTAATTTGGATATACAAGTCAAATTCTATTCCCCCAAAGCAAAGGAAAATATTCCAGTATCATGGTTAGCCTTTCAGGCAGGTGGTCAGTCTTATCCTCCAACGCTAAGTTATGTTTAATTTTTAGTCTTTACCCTTCCAAGGTTAATAAAAGCATTATGATTCTTAAAGTTAAGTACCTCTTCTCCTCCTTCATCTACTAATGTCCAGTTCCCAGACTCAGGCCCAGGGGAGGAAGGTTTCCATTCATTTGGCTTCATGTGGCACATAAACTCAGCTCGATTTCTAAAAAAGGTAGAAAAATCACATTAATGTCAGAAGTAATGTTCACATAAAAAAGCATAAATTAACTCAGGGTTTTCTTCTCATCTGAGATATAGTCAGATATAAATGCACTGTTTCAACTCTCTTAAAATAGAGAATAGAAGAAAATTAGCAAAACCCAAGTAGAATAAAACCTCATTAATTCAAACTGAAGTATAAGACTAATAAGCATATCTGTCTAAACTAGTAAAAAGTCTGAATTACAAAACAGTTTTTAAAGAAAACGCAGTTATATTAGCATCATTCCTCATACAGGCTTTAAGATCTACTATGTGCCAGACAGACACTGGACTAGGGCTGAAGATACAAGTCCAAAATGAAATAAATGCCTACTTGCAAAAAGTTTACATTCTAATGAGGGATACAAACAAGTACATAAATAAAATGAATTAATACAAATATATACAAAGCAATTAAACACAAGGTAGTTTGAGAAGGCATAAACCAGGGGCAGCTAGGTGGCGCAATAGATAGAGCACCAGCCCTGAAGTCAGAGGACCTGAGTTCAAATCCGGCCTCAGACCAAACACTTGACACTTACTAGTTGTGTGACCCTGGGCAAGAGGAGGAGGAGGAGGAGAAGAAGAAGAAGAAGAAGAAGGAGAAGGAGGAGAAGGAGAAGGAGAAGGAGAAGGAGAAGGAGAAGGAGAAGGAGAAGGAGAAGGAGAAGGAGAAGGAGAAGGAGAAGGAGAAGGAGAAGGAGAAGGAGAAGGAGAAGGAGAAGGAGAAGGAGAAGGAGAAGGAGAAGGAGAAGAGAAGAAGAAATAATAAACTAGCAGTGAAGGGGGCTCAGGAATGACTGAAGCAGAGGGTGATGCTTGAGCTCTGTCTTAGAGGAAGAGATCTAGGGGTGGTTTTGTGAGGCAGAGGTGAGGAAGGCCTGCATTCCAGGCATAAAGGAGAGCCAGAGCAGAGACCCAGTATAGCGTAGGAATTGTCCTATGTGAGGAAAAGAGGAAAGGGCAGCGTGGCAGAACACAAGAAGAGTGAGAGACTAGAAAGATATATCAGGACCAGCTTGTGAAGGGCTTTAAAAGTTAAACAGAAGAAAACAAAAGAAAGTCACTGGAGTTAATTGAGAAGGGAAGTCACACAGTCAGATACAAGCTAAAGGAAAATTCCTTTGTATAGAATGCACTAGAGTGGTGATATACTAAAGCAAGGTAATTAGTTAGGAAGCTGTGAAGAGGGCCTGAACTAAGATGTTAGCTAGGTGAAGGGAGAGAAGGGATGATATGTGAAACACATTACAAAGGTAGAAACAGCAAGATTTAGCAACTGATTGGACATGGAAGGAGAGGTAGAATGAAGAGTCAAGGATAACAACAAAGTTACAAACCCAGTCTGCAAAAATGGTGGTGACTTCAATATGTAAGTTTCCAAGAAATGAGGATTTGAGGGGAAAGATAATGAGTTTAGTTTTAGACAGGTTGAGTTTAAAATGCCTCCAGAACATCCCATTTGAAATGTCTAATAGGGAAATGGCAATACCAGATTAAAGTTTGGAGAGAAACTGGAGCTGGATATAAAGATCTGAGTCATCTGCATACAGGAGATGAGAAGAGGGTATCGAACAAAACCTCAGGAAATACCCACAGCTATGGGGCATTATATGGATAATGAACCAGTGAAGGAGATTGAGAAGGAGCAGTCAGACATGTAGAAAGAAAACCAGGAAATAGCAGAGTTGTTAAAACCTAGAGAGGAAACAGGATCCCAAAGCAGATGATGGACAGTGTCAAATGCAACAAAGACTTCAAAAAGCATAGGCTTCAGAAAAGGCAGGAGATTTGACAATTAAGGGAACACTGAAAAAAGTCTGAAAAAGTGCAATCAAGTTATGCTGATTTTTTTCCTCTTTAAAAAACTACTATTTGTTATATGGGATGACTTTTTGGGAGGTGAAGGCAAAAGGATACCAGGGTAACTATAATGATGTAAGAAACAGAAGACATCAAAAAACTTATTTTAAAAATAATATTATTTTTTAAAAGATCATTAGTAACTTTGGAGAGAGCAGTTTCAGTTCAGTGATGAGTTCAGAAACCAAAATGCAAAGGGTCAAGGAGTAAGAGGAAAGAAAGCAGCAGCAGCAGTCACAGATGATTTTTTCTAGGACTGAAACAGAAACACAAGAGACTCAGGATGCTATCCCGAGGTGAAGTACAGTAAATGTTTTTAAGGACAGGTAGGACTGAGGCATGTTTGAAAGCAGTAGAGAAGGGAGAAGTTGAAGATTTAAGACCAAGAGATGACTGAAGACTGAATCTGCTGGAGAAGATGGGAAGAGAGACAGGTTCAAGCAACATGCAGAGGGATCTGCCTCAGCAAAAAGATGATCCACCTTTTTTGTCAGAGATTGGGGGAAAGGAGGTAAGAGTAGGAAATGACATAAAGGGATTTTAAGAATCAGCCAATATTTATCTGAGTAAACAATTCAAACCAGATTATATGAGAATTGTTATTATAAGGCAGCATTATTAACTACTGCTGTAGGATAACACTACACAGACATCATGAGGGGACTTGCCTTAAGGAATAAAAAATAATAATTTGTAATTAACATATCACTTTGTTCTATAGCAGCTACCATTTATAAAACATTTTGAGGTTTGCAAAGCACTTCACAAATATTACCTCATTTGATCCTCACAACAACCTTAGGAGGTAGGTGCTATTATCACCCCCCTTTTACAGTAAATGAGGAAACTGAAGCAAATAAAGGTTAAATGACTTGCCCAGGGTCACACAGCCAGTAAATGTCTGAGGCTGGATCTGAACTTAAGTCTTCCTGATTCTAGATCCAGCTGTCTATCCACAGAGCCACAAAGCACCTTTAAAATACTAGAAAACACTTCAGAAAAACCTGGAAAGACTTGCATGGTCTGATGCTGAGTGAAATGAGCAGAACCAAGAGAATGTCATACACAGTAACAGCCACATTGTGCAACAACTAATATTGATAAACTTAACCCCCTTCCCAGGAATACAAGGATCTAAGACATCTCCAAAGGCCTCATGATGGAAAATGTTATCCACATCCAAAGAAAAAACTATGGAATTTGAATGCAGATCAAAGCATACTATTTGCTATTTTTTTCTTCTCTTCTGCTGAGTTTTGTTTCCTCTTTCTGGTGGTTCCTACAACATCACTAATGTGAAAATGTTTAATAGGAATGTATATGTACAGCCTATATCAGATTGTATGCCATCTTGGAGAGGGTGGTGGGGAGGAAGGGGGAGAAATATTTTAAACTCAAAAGCATATGGAAGTGATTGCTGATAAATCAAAATAAACAAATTTTTAAAAATAAAATAAAACGCTAGAAAACCAGCTATTTAGCATCTACTATGCACAAAACACTGTGGTAGGACCTATATGAGCTAAAGTGATTGATAAGACCAGGTATTTGCCATCAAGGAGTATATCATTTAGTTAGTTTGACTTGCTGTTAAAAAGTTTACCAGCATAAGTCAAGTTTTAGGACCCCTTTGTTCTTCTCTCTCCCTCACAGGATCTACTCACTCTCTTCAGCTTTGTTGATGACTCCAAAATTGGCATCTCCAGTCCTGTCCTTTTTCACATGAGCTCTGATCAAATTTCTCCAATTGCTTACTGAGCATTTCAACTTGGATTGTTAGTGGACTCAAATTTTAAATGTATACAATCCAAATAGTCATCTTCCTTCCTCCAAAATTGGCTTTAGCTCCTGATTTCAATATTAATGGCACCATCACTCTCAGTTACGAGGTATCATAAAACGCTAAGTCATCTTTGGTTGAATCTCTAACTCATTTCTTTCTTCATTCATTAAGTTACCAAACTATTTCAATGTTTTCTTCAGAGTGGCTCTCCCTCTCTGTTACAAATATGGCCATTCCAGTTCATACTCCCATCACCTCATACTGAGATTATTCCAGCAGGGCTTTCTAAGTCTAGGTTTTCTCCATTCCAATCTCACTTGCAGACTAATCTTCTTCAAATAATGTTCTTTACCAAGTCACTCTACTATACAAAAGAGTTTGGAAGGGGAAAGTTGTTTCTAGGAATGACTGTGATATAATAAAATGCATCAATATAGTTTGTTGTAAGGGAGAAAAGACATAGGATGATAGCTTGAAGGGATAGCAGTCAAGTAAAGGAGTTCAAATCCAGCCTCAGATACATAACACTTACTAGCTGTGTGACCTTGGGCAAGTTATTTAACCCCATTGCCTAGACAAAAAAAAAAAAAGCCACATCAATCGAGGAGGAATAAAAAAGATTACCATGCAACAGTAAAGACCCTGCTGAGATTAAATAACAAATTTGTAGGGAACCCATTCAGCAAAATCATTCATCTTCTTCCAGTGGCATTCGGTATCATACGAACACCAGTGGAGAAAGCGTAAGGTAGAGGTAAGCCAGGACTGGAATTTGGCAGTGTGACAAATGAAAGGCCAAGGGGACAAAAGATTCAAAAGTAATGGACAGTATACAGTTGAACTGGACAACTATGAGGTCAAGACAGTAAAAAGAAGAAAGTAAGGCCAAAGCAAGGAAAGACTAGTATTGAAAACAGAGGGAGGGGTAGAGGGAATGGAGGTCATGGTGTGGATGGAGAATTGGTTTAAGGAGAAATGAGGCAAGATGGCACAACAGTCAGTTGTGATCAGAGAGAAAAATTTCAGAGTTTAAAGTCATTAAAACTATGATCAAGATTAGAGCCATCTCTCTATACTGATGAAGTGGTATGAAGATAGAGATCATGGAAGTTTAGAAGGTTGATGAACTTGTAGGGTAGAATGTTCAAGGGGATATCTACTTGCATCTTGAAATCTCCAAGTATGAGAGCAAGGGTTGGACTAAAAGGAAATATATGGAAATCTAAAGGAAATCCAATTACTGAACCCCCTGAAAAGAGAGGGAGATGTTTCTGAAGATTTGTAGGTGATCACAACAAGGATTTGACCTAAGTGATAAAGATGGTTAAAGAGAAATTCAAATGCCAGTGTCACATGACACTGACAGAGGGATAGTGTCTGGAAGTTACATCAAGGAACACTCCCATCCCTCCCCTTGTCCCAATGTTTTGTAGAATGTAAGAAAAGAAGCACCCATTACTAGAAAAGGATGCCAGAGATGAAAAGTCTTTTGGGGAGAGCTAGGTTTCTATTAGCTCAATAAGATAGAAAAAATGTGAAATTAAAAGATAAATGATAAACAGAAGTTTACAAATGATAGACCAGGGATTCCAGGAGGAACAGGGAAATACTGGAAAGCATAGGAGGCTATGGAGTATGGAAGGGTAGAGTGGAAGCATATAGGGATAAGAGCATGGGGAAAGACAGGAGGAAGAAAAGCTATTCTACTTCTAAGGACATTTGACTTTGACCACAAAGATAAGCGTAACAGGAGCTGGGAATCTAACTACTCCAGAACAGATAGTAACAAGTTAATCAAGACCCTGCCTGATCCTCTAGGGCCCTTCGATGATCAAGGTCTTTATGTGTTATTACATACCTCTGGTTCTCAAAGGCTTCAGAACTCTAGTGATAGTTTAGAGTCTCAGCAGTAGAGGCCATCATTTACCTCTGGAGACCACCTACATGAAGTGCTTTGGGGCTACTCTAGTCCATACTGTTCACTTCATTCCCTGAACTCTGACTGTATTAATTGTGAATACCTTCAGAATTTAACACTTTATTGCATGTCTCCCCAACTAAATATAAGCTGCTTGAGGGCACAGATCATGTCTTAAGATTTTTTTTTACCCCCTCACAGTATCTAGCACAGTGCTAAACATGCTACTCATTACATATCTGGTAATTATTTAAAATTCATCTTCTACAACCTTTTTTACATAAATCATCTGTACTCTATGCTAAGCAAATTTACCTAGCCTCATTTTAAAGTATTTCACATTCTAAATTACCAGTCTACCTCACCTTAAACAGTTTTAATATACACAAATCTAGATTTATACAAAAAATAAAACAAAAAGTGATAATTTACTTTAACAAAGGATTATAATAGGAATCTTTAAAATATCAGGCTCCCTTTATAGAAGGGGAGGAAAGTTGGACCTCAAACAGACTAGAATTTCTGGGACCCATGGAAGGCTAACCTGGTACTGGTGATCAGCTAGAAGATTCACTTGGGCTCAAGTCTAAGGGAAAATCAGAAATGCTGAAGTACTGGAATTCCCAATGCTCCTTTGGCAGAGCTCCTCTGTATGTGGATGGCTTTTATAAGACAGTGTTCAAATGTAGGGCAGCATTTTAAACTGCAGTGCAAACCTCTTTCACACTTACTTGACAGGAGACATAAGCAAGGCAAGGGACTGCATAAAGTGAAATACCCCTGATGAATTATTCAACACTTTGATCTGAAATCAGAAAAGGGAGGGAAAAGGATTAGAGAAGACCAACAACCTGTGTATAATTTAACATTAACTCATTATTACTGTGACCAGGAACAAGGAGTTTTAAAGAAGACTAGCAGGGAGTAGCTAGATGGCCTACATAAAACAACGCAGCCTCCAGAAGTTTTGTGACAACATTTTTGCTCAGCTACATTTGAAATTTAAAAGAGGCCTAACAGACCACATCAATTATCTATACAGCAAAAGGGGGAGTGGAGTGAAAAAAGAGAGGACAGCACTGGTAATTTAAATCAGAGATTATCAAAGAAACTTTTTTTTTCAGGCAAGAAGTTCACTTCTTTTTATAAGTGCGACTAAAAACAAAAATCTTGGAATGGTTTAAATTTAGCATGCTTTTATTTTTCTCCCCAATATATCTCTGCTGAAAGAGCTAATTAAAAACAAAATGGCCTAAAGAGTAGTATCAGAAGGGTAGGAAAATCAACAAGCATGGATAATCCACCAAGTGATTCAACTCCTGGGTATATGAGAGTTGACTACACAAATCCATAACCTACCATAAGTAATTAAGCAGCATTGCGCTGGTCTCTATTAAGTCTCATTATATTTTCTAGAAAGTGGGATGGGATATAAAAACCTTGAAATGTTAAGTTGAGCAACTACTGAATAAGCCTCTGCTATGCTTCACTGAACAGGGATTTTGCAGAATTAAATTCCATTGAACGTGTTCCAAACTAGGAAACCACTGAACTCCAGCAATTCTATTATTACTTCATCTCTACTGAGCTCAACAAGAAAGAGTCCTACCAGGCTCATAAATACATTCAGTGTTTTAATTTTTAATTTAATGTTTTTCAGGGTGAACTTTTTGTGCTTCTTTCTTGTAAGTGCCTGAGAAGAACTTTTACCAGAAAAATATCTGAACACTGAACCATGTGCTATGAGGAAGTTACCAGTCACATATACCTGAATGAAAGGAACGGCCCATTTACTAACACCAGCCGGACATCGAAGAATGTGGTTTAAAAGGAATAGATGATCCCCAGGGCATCCAGCTCTTTGTAACACTGATACCTGAACAATATAAAAGATAAATAATCTAACTATTCAAGAAAAGTAAAGGAAACATTTATTACAAGGATGAGGGCCTACTATAACAGCTGAATCTTATCAAGTCAAGACACTACTAGAGATTACAGAATCTTAGCTTAAGACCCCAGCTCTGCTATTTACTGTCTATATTATCTTGGACAACTCACTTCCCCCTCTCTAAGTACCAGTTTCTTTATCCATAAAACAAAGGGGTTCATTCAACTAGAAGATCTCTAAAGGGCTTTCTAGCCTTAAATCCTATAATGATTTGTCATGTATTACCATATTAAGAGAACACACACCTTCCAAAAGATCCATGCACCATTTCACAACACTACAATGGAAACTAAACATAAAACAACTTTACTACACTTGGATTTCTACCAATTTAGAGTCAATGTGGGCCTACAAATCTGAGAACTAGTATAAAAACATCAAAAGTACCTTCTCCAAATAGATCCAATTTTGATTGCCTTATAAGTACAAATCCCTGAGGTTCCTGGCCATATGTGATAGAATGAAAAAATACAAATTAAGAATAAATATCTAGCCTTTTGTCCTTATGAACATGTTGTGTCTGGAAGAAAGCTCCAAGTACATAAGAAATCTAGTGAAGGCCAAGACATTTTCTTTGGTAGGTGGGAATTGCCAATCTATTAGTTTTTTTGGGGGGGTTAAAGTATTTGACATGCATTTCCTTTCTTCTTTGCCTTTTCAAGAAACTAGCATTCGTATCACTAAGACTACTAGAAGCTAACAGTAAATAATATATTTTTCTGAAGTTTTATGTTGAGAGGTAATCTATACTTCAAATGGCTTCCCAGGCTTAAAATGTGGTAGTTTTATCCAGCAATATACTCCTCTCTAAGAAGGCTCAAAGATCAAAGGAACTGAACTCAGAGGCCTCATTTTCCTTACATAACAAAATACCACTAAATATGAATTAGGAAAAAAAGATACTCAATAAGTACTAATACAGTAGGGGGAAAGATAATTTATCAGAAGCAGTCACTGAAGAGAAACTGGACCAAAAATAAAAGCAGTGACCTCACGTATTTCAGGAGTGGGGAGGGAGAGGTAGAAAGTACTGCTGGTTATCTATCCCTTACCAATTTCTGTAGCCAAAGAAGAACATCATTGTAGAACTGTGTATCTTCTATAACTCTCCGGGTGAACATAAATAAAACACTAATACACTCCTTCAGATGACACAAATCAGAGGGAAGACTTTCTGCCTGTTTAGAAACTATAAATTAAAAGAAAAGACTGAATGAAACCTACACAAATGGTTTTTAGTAGCATCTTGAAGTACTGACTAAATCTTAAAACTTTAAAAAGTCTAAGGAAAAATACTTTTATTTAAAAATATTTTGCATTAACATGCTAATTCCAAAATATGCTAAGAAAAATACAGTTAAGTCAATAAAGAAATGAACTTTAAAATACTATTCATCAGAACAGATTTTGAAACAAACTTGGGCAGTTATTTTAACATTTCTGGGCCTCAATTTCCTCAGATATAAAAGATGGTAGGACTAGAGCCAACAAAACAACAAAAAAACCTTTATTAAACACTTACTATATACGAGGGACTGATGAGCATAAAAGGAAAATAAGACATAGCCCTGTCCTCAAAGAGACTTCAATCCAACAAGGGAGAGAAGACATATACACAAATAACAAGGATACAAAACAATAAAATCATTAGACTTCTACATTAGCAAGATTAAGCCAGCGGTAGTGCACAGGATACAGTAAGTATAAAAGAAGCTTTCAAATGTGTCAGAGAAGAATTTATGGCAAAAGTGGCCTGTAAGTTGTACTTTTAAGGATAGATAGAATTTAAACAAGCATAAATGGAGAGAAAAGCATTCCAGATATAGAGAAGGGTGTGACCAAAGACTGACACAGAAAAAGTACAGGATGAATTCAAGTCTCGTTTGGCTGAAGCATGGAGTGCAGGAGAGTGTATGATCTAATACAAGGATTCAAAAAATTGAGGCAATATTATGAAGGGCCTTAAATGTGAGTTTAAGTTTTCATTTTATTCAGCAGTCAATAAGGCTGAAGGTTTTGAAAACAGAAATAACAGCATCAGACTTCTATATCAACAAGACTAAAATCTAGCAATAGTGTAGATGTATGGGGGGGGGGGGGTGACGCAGAGTGGAGAGACTAGAAGCAAAGGGAGTGGTTAGGAGACTTTCATTAATTGAGGCAAAAGATAGTAAGAGCTTGAATTACACCGCTAAGGAGGAGGGTGGATGTGAGAGACACTACAGAATTGAAGGGACTATGGCAACTGCTCAGATTGGGGTAAGATTCAAGACAAAAAGGGAGGAGTCAAAGGCGACTCAATTCAATTAAACAAGCATTTATTAAATTCCTACCATGTACTGGAGCCCTAGCTTAGGTGCTGAGGAGACAGAGACAAAAAGCCAAAACATGCTTGCCCTAAAGGGACTTTTTTCTAAGGGGAAAACAACATGCACAAAGTCAAAATAAATACAAAGTAATTTGGAGGAATCAGAATTAACAACTGGAAGAATCAGAAAAGGCCTCTTGGAGAAAGTGGCACTTGACCTTACTCTTAAAGGAAGACATTCTAAGAGTGGTGGAAAGGGGAAACAATGTTTCAGAAATGGGGTACATGCTGTACAACAGCCCAGAAAGAGGAGATAGAATGCTGCAAATGGTGAGCACCAAGTAGGCCAGTGTGTCTGGAGGATTAACAATATGAGATCAAACTGGAAAGATAAGTAGAAGCCAGACTGTGAAGAACTTTAGATCCCAAAGAGAGGAGTTTTTATTCTATCCTAGAGGCAAAACAAAGTCACTGAACTTTCTTGAGCAGGGAGTAACAGGGCCAGACCTGTGCTTTTGGAGATTATTTGGCAGCTATGTGGATGATGGATTAGAAAGAAAGCAGAGAAGAAGCAAAGAGATCAATTAGGAAGCTATTAGAATAGTCCAGGCAGAAGACGAAAGACTGAATTAAATCCAAAAAGATACAAAAGTTCTGTTTCTGTGATTCTACATATTAAAAGCCACAATAGTATAAAACATCCAGGTCATATAATAATCTAAACTTAACCTGGAAAATCTGAATTGAAAAAGCAAAAGGCCAAACAGAAAAGCGATCAATGGAAGTGACTACAATATCATTAGCTTGAGGTTCAAAAGCTATAGATGGACTATCAATGACAAAAGAGCACATAAATTAGGACAGCAAGATATAATGGTATCAGCATGATACAAAAACACCAAACACAAAAATAAAAGAAACAAAATACTGTTTCAGAAAAAGGTCATTAGATACTTCTTCATTCAAAAAAGAACATCAGAACACATTTTTGTCACAGATGAAAACATTACATCTTAACACCAATTCAGCTTAAAATAAAAGTTACTGATAAGCTTATATTTTATTGCTGATCATAAGAAAGGGAGAGATTTCAATTACCACATACCTCGACCTTGCTGATGAATAGATAAAGACCTCAGAACAGCTGGACTATTGAGCAATGCAAAAATATAGGACTCTACTTGCAAGCGGGAGAGCACAGATGTATAAGAATGCAGAGCTAAAGTCTGATGTAAATGCTCAGATTTTGCTTCAAATGCCTTCCTTAGCTCTCCCAGGGCACTCTCATTCATCTCCACTGTCTGGTAGCGATGATATCCTGTAACTTTCACCTGGTCTGCACAAATACCCTGAAGGAGAAAAAATGATAAAATATAAATTCAGTTACCCAAAAATTTTGGTATCAAGCAAGAAATATTTATTAAAATCTCTATTAAGTGCCTAGCATGGTCCTAAGAACTATTGTCCATACAGAAGAAGTATAAGATATCCTGACTTCCAGGCATTTATAATATAGCAGAGGATATAAAAATAACAGAGAAAATGAGCAGAAACAACACAAAACAGGATTGCCAAATGGTGCAGTATAGATAATTATTATGATTGAAGTCCTGAGAAAACACAGATAGCGAGAGTAGCTGAGAACAATTTTCCTCCATCCTTTGCTCTCATTATCCCCACACGATAAACCCATTCTTGAAAGACTTCACCTCCTACTTCACCAATTGAAGAGCAAGGACACTGGTTATGAACTCCTTCATCTACCTTCCTCACAATGTCAAAATCCCTCTTTATCCACAACCACCTTTACCCCTGTCTCTAAATAAATGTCTTCTCCTTTCCATAGCTAACCACTCTCCCTGGGCCCCTAACACTATACCACCTTCAGGGCAGCTAGGTGGCACAGTGGATAGAGCTTTGGCCTTGGAGTCAGGAGGACCTGAGTTCAAATCCAGCCTCAAACACAGTTGACACTTACTAGTCATGTAACCGTGGCAAGTCACTTAACTCCAACTGCCTCACCAAAAAGGAAAAAAAAAAAGCACTAAACTACCCTCAAGTTATCCTCTTTCTGGTACTCCCAATCTGCCTAACCAATGTATCTTTACCTTTTATCTCCAGATATACTCAGGGATTCCCTTACCCTGAAAAATTCTTTCACTGACCATGCTGTCATTTATAGCTCCTGTCATATTTCTCTCACTTTTTCACTGCTAAACATTTCAAAGATGGATTACATTTGCTACCTTCATCTGCTCCACACTCCATCCCTTCTCAGCCCTCTGTGATCTAATTCCATACAGATCACTTTAATGAAATGGCTTTCTTGGAAGTCACCAATGACCTCCTTGTTGCTAAATCCAAAGGTTATTCTCTAACTACATTATCCTAGTACCTTCTACCTTATGTGACACTGACCTTGAAACTTTTTCGCTCTACTGATATCTTACAGAACATCTTAGTTTTCTTTCTATCTTTCTAGCTGCTCCATTTATATCTCCTTTGCTATCTTCTCTTCCTCTACCATCCCCTAAATATGAGTCTTCCTCAAGGTTCAGTCCTTATAAATTTGTCATTTTCACATCTTCAACTGTCACCTAAATTTATACATGACTTCCAAATTTATGAAACTTCATTATGTTTTTTCCTAAAACAAAATAAAAAATATTAAGTAATCAGTAAGAAACTTCTCCATGTTGCATATAAAATCTAAAATGTACAACATAATTCAAAAAACTATAGTGGTACCTAATCCTTTAAGATAGGAACAAACACTAAAATCTTTGCCTATGGTCTAGAATTATCTACCTCTTTAGGGAAAAAGACTTGTAATCAATAGAAGAAACATAAGAATAAGCAGACTGCAAACCAAGATAACAACTCAAGTAAAGCATCTATATCCCAAAAGTGCCAGCTTCCAGAAAGCTTTAGTCATCATACCTGTACAGTCATTTGCTCTTCCTTAAACTGCCATAATCGGCTTTTGATATTCTGACAATCAGATGTCAAGGTAAGCAGCTCAGCCTCAGCCAGCAACAGCTGTTTCCTGCATCGTGAATAATTCAAAAGCAACTCATAAAATTCATGACGGTCCTGGTGAGCCATACTGTCAAATTCTTCCAAGTATGATTCAACATTTTCTAACCAGGAACAAGGCTCAAAAATTTTCAGTTGTTCCTTAGTAAATGGTACTAGTTCTGATTCAGAAGGGATTTCCGGATACAGTCGTTCATTCCGTAACAATGGTTTTACTGCCATTAAAGCTGGTCTTTCTCCAGAAAATTCAGCTGGTAATTCAGGATAGAGTTTTTTCAATCTAGTTGGCTCAAAGACCTCTTTGGCTTCATAACAACTCTGTAAGTCCACGTTGTGTAGCACCTCTGAAGAAAGGCCAACAGATTGTCTATAATCTTGTCTACTCTCAGTTCCTCTGTCCTTTAAATGTCCTACTACCTGCTGACTGTAAGGACTAGGATGGAATGTGGTTTCTGAGAGTCCACATAGTGCTGATGGATTATCGGCTCTATCTCTAAGGCCCTGAGAGCCTTCTGCTTTGGTGCTCACATCTTCCTCAGGGTTGTACTTTGGCTCAGTTTCTTCACACAGCTGATGTTCTTTGACCTCTTTCCCTTCTATTACTGTCTCTAGGTTATGTGTTTGGAATACTTCAATGTCTAAAGTTAAAGAAGTGAGTGGGACATCAAACATTTCCTTCACAGTTTGTAGGCTACTGACGTCCTGCAACTGAACCTCAGTTAATGCCTCAGGACATGCTGCTAGGATTTCCCCTGCTGGAGATGGTATTTTCTGCTCTCTACAAGTTTCAGAAAGGTCCACCTCATCAAGTTTTTCTTTCTCAAGAGCTTCATTATATTTCTTCTTTTCCTAGAACAAAATTAAAAACATTAGGTAATCAGTAACAAGCTATACTTTAGAAATCATTTTTCTTGATATTGCATATAAAATATAAAAGATGACTTCTGTTTAAAAAAAAAACCAAAATCTTTTAATAGACAGCATCTTACACAGCCTGTAATCTTACTAATTTGAATATTACACTGAATTTAAAAGTTAACTAGCAGGGCAGCTAGGTGGCGCAGTGGATAAAGCACTAGACCTGAAGTGAGGACGACCTGAGTTCAAATCTGGCCTCAGACCAAACACTTGACACTTACTAGCTGTGTGACCCTGGGCAAGTCACTTAACCCCAAGTGCCTAAAAATTTTTAAAACAAATATTTTTTAAGTTAACTAGCAGACAAGAACTGCCATTAACAGACTAGAATTGAAGCGAAATTCTGATTAGATCATTCTCAATTCTGTTATAGATTAAGGAAAACTCTAGAATGTGAGTTCCTTAGAAGCAGAAGCTGTTTCATTTTTGGTTTTGTATCCCCAGCCTCTGACACCATGCCTCGTACATGGTAGGGACTTAATAAATGCAAACTGAATATGTGAGGTTTGAAAACTCTATTTAAAGGTACCTTCTTTACAAAATATAAGCTAGGAAGTCATACAGAAATACTCACCGTACTCATTTTCTATGGCCCACATTGTATAAAATGTACACCATGCACTTTAGTACCACAGTACCCATACACTTGTTAAATGAATGAGCGGCTTTTCAAAAGAATAGCTGATAGTCTCTTTGAAATTTCATATACATGTTCTCAAACGTTTTTGGTCTCAAGAACCTTATACTCTTAAAAATCATCAAGGACCCCAAAAAGCTTTTGTTTACATGGGTTACACTATTAATATTTACCTCATTTGAAATTAAAATGTCTTAATATCATATGGCAATAGTTTTAACCTCATGGATCCCCTATACATGGTCCCCAAACTGCTGATGAAAACTGTACTGCGGGCAGTGAAGATAATCAATCATTTATCTGCTAAGTGACTAAAAATTTGAGCTCCAGTTAACTGTTACATCTCCCAGCTGTGCTTAAAGGCTTTATCTCTCTCATGGAGGCACAAAAAGCTCTGTAACTTACTAATTTCAGAGCTCAGTGCAAGTAGATAGCAACACACATCAGGTTTACTCCTAAATGTGGTTTTAAAGGTAAACCCAATTTGGTCATTGTAGGGTGTTAGCAAAGCATCAAGAGGTCTTCCTTCTCCTTGACAAGGCAAACCCCTATCTCTATATGCACCCAAGTCCCTTCCTGTCTTCTGAACAGATTGCCCTCATTTTCTCAGCTTCAATCTCTCTCTAGCCATTGGCTCCTTCCCAGCTACCTACAAACAAGCCCTAACTAAAAGGAGCCCTCACTTTGGTCAAAGGATATAAATAAACAATTCTGAAAAGAACAATTGCAAACTATTAACCACCGTACAAAATAACACTCCAAAACACTAACAATGAGAGAAATGCAAATCAAAACAACCCTGAGGTTTCACCTCACACCGAGCTAACTGTAAAGACAACAAGAGATGGGAATAGGTAATGTTGGAGGGGTTGTGGAGAAACAGGCAAACTAGTGTCCTGTTTGTAGAGCCAGGAATTAGTTTAACCATTTGGGAAGTGCATTTGGAATTAGCAAAAAAATGTTACCCAGAGATTCCACTGCTAGGCATATACCCCAAAGGAGGTCATTGATAAAAAGAAAGTCTAGACTTCTGCTTCCGGGAGCCAAGATGGAGGAGTAAGAAGTCAGTTGCTCTTATTCTCCCTTATCAACCTCTGAAAGTCCAGAAAATATCACCCTAGGAAAAACCCTGGAACAGCTGAACCAGAAGAAAGATGGGGTACTGCAATCCAATAGCCCAGGTAGTTTAAGGGATTAACGGGAAAGTTCCCTCTTGCCCTGGGGGAAGGGGAGCAGTATGGAAGGCAGGCACCCCAGTAAGCTAGCAGAAAGCCCTACCTCAGCACACCAGGAGAAGATCCTGAAACCCAGGTAGTAGAGCAAACAAACACAAACACCTGGACCTGTAAGTGCCTTAATGAAGGCAGGGGAACCTGTGGAAACCATCGTGGAAAATCACTAGGTGCCTCAGCATTCTACAGCAGTCTCCCAGTGCCTCAGCAAAACTCTGTGAAGCGCTCCAAGTGGCCTCAGGCGGATAAACATTCTGCAACACCCATCTGAAAGGAGCTGAAGAAAGCTAAAGGAAAGGAAAAGCAGGCAACTTCCAGGGACCAAACTACCCAATCCTACCCCTAGAGTTCCAGTGTCGCTGATTCCACCAGATAAGCTGTCAGAACCTTACAGCCTCCAACTGCGAACATAAGAGGCCCCAGCACACAAAGCCAGTGACCAGGCCCTAGGCACCCAACACAAGAAGCTTGGATCAATGCCCTCTGCTCCCCAGCAGAAGAGCTCAATCTCTTTAAAGGCCAGGGAATAAAGAAACACCAGGAGTAAAAAGAAACGTACAATAGAGTCATATTATGAGAAGAGTGAAGATCAAGGCAGAAATTCTGAAGAGGACAACATTGTCAACAAACCCACATCTGGAACCTCAAAATGGATTATGACTGGTCTGAAGCCCAAAAAGCCTTCTTAGAAGAGCTCAAGAAGGATTTTAAAAGTCAAATGAGAGAAGTAGAAGAAAAAATGGGAAGAGAAATGAGAGGTATGCAAGAGAGAGTCAACAGCTTGGAAAAAGGGCAAAAATTAACTGTGGAAAAGAAGTCCTTAAAAAATACAACTGGCCAACTGGAAAAATAGTATACTGAAGAAAACAAGTCCCTAAAAAATACAACTGGCCAAATGGGGAAGGAGGTACAAAATCTAATAGAAGAAAACAATTTGTCAAAAATCAGAATTGGGCAAATGGAAGCTAATGACTCTATGAGAGAGCAAGAATCAGTCAAACAGAAACAAGTGTAAAATACCTCACTGGTAAAACAATTGACCTAGAAAACCTATCCAAGAGAGACAATTTAAAAATCATTGTTCTACTTGAAAATCATGATGAAAAAAAGAGCCTGGACAGTATCTTTCAGGAAATCAAAGGAAAACTGCCCTGAGGTCCTAGAATCAGAGGGTAAAATAGTCATAGAAAGAATCCGCTGATCACCTCCTGAAAGAGATCCCAAATTGAAAATGCCAAGGAATACAGTAGGCAAATTCCAAAATTATCAGGTCAAAGAAATACTGCAAGCAGCCAGAAAGAAACAATTTAAATATTATGGAACCACAATCAGGATTACACAGAACCTTTCAGCTTCTACATTAAAAGACCATAGGGCATGGAATATAATATTCTGTAAGGCAAAGGAGCTTGGATTACAACCAAGAATCAACTACCCAGTGAAAATAAGCATGATCTTTCAGGGGAGGAGATGGATAGTCAGTGAAATAGGGGACTTCCAAACCATCCTGGTAAAAAGACCAGAGCTCAACAGAAAATTTGATCTTCAAATACAAGACTCAAAAAATACATAAAAAGGTAAACGGGACAGAAAAATACAACATGTTATGAACATGGGCAAACTGTTTACATCCCTACAAGGGAAGATGACACATGTAACTCTTGAGAACTGTACTGTTACTACACACCATGTTCAAGGGGTTAAAGGGAATGGATATAAGTTGACTTTGATGTAATGATTAAAAAAACAATCTAAGTAGGTTAAATGGATCCAAGTAAATGGATTAATCTGATCTAAGAAAATGTACTGAGAGAAAAGGAAAGGATGAGGCAGACAAGAGTAAATTACATTACAGGAAAAGGAGCAAAAACCTATTATAGCAGAGGGAAAGAAGGGAGGGAGATGAGCATTGTTTGAACCTTACTCTCATCAGATTTGGTTCAAGAAGAGAATAACATAATAAGGTATAGAAATCTAACTAGCCCTATAGGCAGAAGGAAGGAAAAGGGGAAAGAAAAGGGAGGGGGGAAAGAAAAGGGAGGGGGGATAGAAGGGAGGGAACAAGGAGTATGGGAAAAGGGAAAGAAAAGGGAAGGGGCTAATAAGGGAGGCAGGACTGAGGAAGGCAGTGGTCAAAAGCAAAACACTAGTGAGGAGCGAAAAGGAGAAAGAAAAGCATAAACGGGAGGGGGGGGGAAGGATTTGCTATTTTTTTCTTCTGTTGTGTTTTATTTCCTCTTTCTAGTGGTTCCTCCTATTAGTTCTATGTGTATAACCTATAACAGACTGCCTGCCATCTTGGGGAAAGGAGGTGGGGAGGGAGGGGGAGAAAAATTTAAAACTCAAAAGCCTATGAAAGTAATTGTTGATAATTCAAAATAAATTAATTCATAAAAAAATAAAATAAAATAAGAAGAAAGTCTCCATATACATCAAAATATTTTTGTGGTAATACTTTTTGTGGTACAAAAGAACCAGAAACAAAATACATGTTCATAGACTGGGAAATGGCTAAACAAATTGTGGTACATAAATATAATAGAATATTACTATCCTGTAAGAAACAATGAATGTGATGAATATAAAACACAGGAAGCGTTATATGAACTATAAGAGTGAAGAAAACAATATGTAAAATGACTACAGCAAATGTTAAGAACCACTACCAGAAAACAATCAAAAATGAATGTTACAAATTATAAAGAACAAATATGAAAAGATACTTCCCCCATTCCTTTGCAGATGTAGGATCACAGATAAGGTAACTGCATACATTTTCAGATTTGTTTAATGAATTGATCAGTTATAATTAGTTTTTGCTTCTTCCTCATTGTTTTTATTTTTTTTAATTATATGGAATGGCTCTCTAGGAGAGGGCTGGGGTACATATGAAGGAAAATTTGGGTAAGGTAAAAAACAGAAGATAGCAATAAAATGTATTTCTTATTTCATATAAAAAAGATGCACACCAACCCCTTCCCACCAAAAACTTTACTTGATATCATGACCACCATCTTCCTCTAGCTATCCTGTTATCTCTCCTTCCATTGGTGGGTAAACTC